CGTACTCTTTTTTCCTTTTTTTACGTTGATTTTCGGTCTTTGGTGTTTGTTCGATCCCTCCCGGCTTGGTAGTTGTTGAGGGCGTTCGCGTTTTTGTGTGATTTCGTCTTGCTGGCGGTGGTGTTGGTGCTGTATTTTTGTCGACGTCCTGTTGGTGGGGTTGTGTTGGAGATCTATGTTCGTTGTTGTCTGTTTCCTAGTGGCGGCTGACTCGTGCGCCTGTGCTCCTCTGTTCCATGCCTTTTTTGCCCTTGGTTTTGCGGGGCTGTTTTGGGTCGTCGTGACCGGTGCTGGCGTCTGTGCGGATTCTGTTCTTGTTTCTGTGGCCTCGCTGTCCTTCACTTCGTCTGCAGTTGGGCGGTCGGCGCTGTTGTTGCTTTGGTGGTGGGCTCTTTCTTCTGGGTGCTTTTGTGTTTGATGTCTGGTCTCTTTTCTTTGTGTGTTATTGGTTCTTTTTGTTTTGTTGCGGGTTCTTCTTTGGGTTTACGTTGCTGTTCGCGTTTTTTTTCTTTCTGATTCTTGCTTGCCGGCGTTGTAGTCGTTTTTGGCCTGTTCCCTTTCTTATCCTCATTTGATTTTTTTCTTGTGTTTCGGGATGTTCTTTTTTTGTTTCTCCTTGTTTTCTTTGGGTTTTCGCTCGTACGTATTGTGCGGGTTTCTGGTTGGTTCTCCGTTGTTCCTGCATTTCTTTTTTTTTTGTTCGCTTTTCGCTTATGGTTTCTTTGGGGCGCTGTTCGTCTTCGGTTTGAGGGGTTTTGACATCAGTATGTGGGTTCTTTGGTTGCGAGGTCAGGTTTTTGCTTCCGGTGTTCATTTTGGATGGCTTGATGCTGGGCTTCGTTGTGCTGTGGTTGTGTTTGTGTTTTCTTGGGTAGGTATAGTGCGGTTTGTGGCTTCCGCTTGTTGGGGCTGTGTTTTTTGTTTGTTGGGCCAATTCTTTCGGTCTCGCGCATCTTGAAGGCGTCTTTTGGAGGCATGCTCTCGGCATGGTGGTTTTGGTTTTTGATTTTGGTTGCCTTGTGGTGCGGGGTCGTAGTTTTTTGTTCGCTTGTTGCATATTGGTTTGTGTTAGTTTGTGCGGTGGGCGTCGGCTTGATAGTTTCGTTGGCGTCACTTCTTTTGCTGTGCTTGGTCCCTCTCTTTCTTGTTATGTTTTTTCCGGTCGGTGTTAGCTTCTGTTCTTCCTGACTTCCGGCTGCCGTTCCCTTCTCGCATCGCGGGATGCTGTTTGTGCTTTTTTCGAGCTGCGTCTAGCTCTCGTGTCGGCTTTCTTTGTTTTGGTTTTTCTGTCATCCTTGCCCTTGTTTCTCCTTACTTGTTGGTTTTGTTTTTCGGCGCTGCCTGGTTTTTTTTGTCGGTCTGATTCGCTGTGTTGTGGGTTTTCCGTCTGTGGGATGTTGGTTGGGTGCCCTTTGTGGGCTTGGTGTGGGTGGTCGTTGGGTGGAAGTAGGTGGTCTGTGTGGAGTGGGTTTCCGGCGGGGTGTTTGTGCTTTCCTCGGGCGTGCTTTTGTCTTTGGACTTGTGGGGGATGGTTGTGTTGTTCGCGGCCTGGTCTAGCTGTTCTTTTGTGCCTTGCTTTCGGTGCGAGGGTTTTGGGGGTTGGGGTTTGCGCTGGGTGTTTTCTTTGGGCGGGTTTCTGGGGTTTCTCGTGGCTTGCTTCGTCTGGTCGATTGCGGTTCTGGTTGGTTTTTTCGTGTGTGGTTGTGGTGGTTTCTGTGGGCTGGCACGTGGGTTGTTTGCTGGAGCCTTTGCTGTTGTGGGGCGCGGGTCTGTGGTGCATGGTGGTGCTTTCTCGTCGCAGATTGGATTGGGGTTTTCCTTCGTGCTTCTTTGGGTGGCTAGGGTTTTGTCCATGTTTCGCTTTCTATCGTTATTGTGCGGGCGTTCGTTTGGTTACTGGCTTGACAGGTGGTGGGCCAGAAGCGTTTGGTTTTGTTATGATTTTTTGGGGGGCGTATTCCGGGGCGTTTCTGTGGGGAGGTGCGATCGCTGCCCGCGTTTGCACCGCCCGGGAGCCCTCTTGGTGCGCCTCCAGCTGTGTCGTATGGTCCCGCGGTGCTGCCTTCGGCGCCTGCTGGTGATTCTCGGGGTGCGTGTTTCATTGTGCGGTATTTGATGTTCCTCGTATCATTAGTTCTCAGGTTGTGTTGCTGCTTTTATTGCTTTGTGCTGTGATCCCTTTTTTGGCTTGGTTGTTTCATTGGTTATTTCGTGCTGATGGACGCCTGTGTGTTTTTCTTACGGGGTCTCTTCGCTGGTTAGATCTGCCATCGCGGGTGGTGTTGGCCTTTGTTGCCGTGTTGTCGGTGGTTTTGGTTTCTTTTGCTTGCGTGCGCGTTGTGCCTGCATCTGTGCTCCGGTCTTTTGCTTCTGTTTTCGATTTCTGTTTTGGTGCTGTGGCTCCTCGTAGTTGTTTTCGTGTCCCTCGGTCCTTTTGTTTCTGTTTGTCGTTTTTTTGTTTCTGGGTTTTGTTGGCCTTCCCTTTTTTCTTCCCTCTTCGTGTGGGGTGGTGCTCCTCTCCTGGTGTGGTGTGTTTTCGTGTTCAGGGTTTTGGTGAGGGACTGTGTGTCCCTTGTCTGCTGGGTTGTTTGGGTTGGGTTTTCCTGTGGCTTGCTTTCCGTTGTTCCATGTGTCTTATCCCGGGGCGTTGCGTACTGTGTTTTTTGTAGCGCAATTCTCTTTCTACTTTTTGTGTTTTACCTTTTTGCGTTCTTTTGTTGTTATTTTGGTCTTGATGTTGATGCTTCTTCTGACTTGATCTTTGTTGTCTTAGTTTTTGCTTGTTGGGTCTTGATCTGCCGCCTTCCTTGCTCTTGGCGGTTGTTTTGGGCAGTCTTTGTTGGCTGTGTGCTTGTTGTATGGTGGCTGTTGCCCAGCTGGACTGGGATTTGGGTTGATGTCTGGCTCGCTAGTGTTTATGTGCTCTGGTAATTCCGGTTTCGCTGCCGTCGGTTATTTTGCGTTGTTTCGTTTCGTGTCATGTCGTCGCTTTTTCCGCTCTTTGTGTTTACTTGTGCGGCGGTCTGTTTTGGGTCGCTAGTTTTCGCTGTGCTATCATCGGTGTTGCTGTGGGTTGGGGGGGGGGCTCCACGGGGTGTTGGGGGTATGTACCGCGGGGTTGTGCGCTGTGATGTGGTTTGTGTTGTCGTTCGTGTTCTTTCTGTGCTTGTGTTGTTTTCGGGTTGTTTAGACGCGGTTGTGTGTTGGTTTGTGGGGGCTTATTGGGGGTCTCTGTTGTGTTTGGTCGGGGGTTGGGTTCCTCCTTTGTTCTGCCTTGTTGTTGTTATGTTTGTGTTTCAGGCGGGTGCCGCTCTAGTGGTGGTCATGTGCGTTTCTTGCTTGTATTTTTTGGAGTTTGGGTGTCTGTCTCCGGGTTTGGTTTTCTTTGAGGTGGTCTCGGCCTGGTAAGCACTCCGGCTAGCGCTGGGGTTTGGTGTTTTGGGGGCTCTTTGCGAGGTTTCGTTTGGTGGGAGTTGGATGTAGGGGTTCGGTCTTGTTCTCGATTTGCGTGTCCCGGTGGGGTTGCTTCTGGGTTTGTTCATTATTTGATACTGTGTATTTGCTTGCCTGCTACCTCCCTCGGTGTTGTTTACTCTTCTTTTCTGTTGTTTGCGGTGTTTTGTTGTTTTTTTGGTTTCGTTGGAACGATGAGGTTCGCGTTTTCGGGGGTAGTTCGTGTCGTTTCTGTCTGTGGTGGGCGTTTGTGGCTTGTGTTATACCGCAGGGTTTTCCTGTTTTGGCTGCTGCTTTTCTGGGTTTATTCTTGGTTGTTATTGCGTGCTTGATGCCTTCCCTCATTTGTTTCCGTGCTTTTGACTTTTTTTGCTGTTCGTTCACGGGTTTTTTAGGTTTTTTCGATACTTGGGTTTGGATTGTTTATGTTGGCATGAGGCGCGCCTCTTGTCGTGGCCGTGAGGTGTATTAATTTGTTACTGTTTCTTGCATTATCTTTTTTTCTTGTGTTTTCTACATTTTCTTTTGGTCCCTTGAGTTGCTTTCTTCGTTGTTGTGTGTGCGTTTTGGGCTTTCTTGTTTATGGTTGTCTGCCGTCGTCTGCTTTGTGGTTAGGGGTTTCCTTGCGGTTGGGTACGGCGGGTGTTTGTTTTCGGATAACTGGCTCGGGTAGTTCAGAGGGCTGTCTGTTTGTTTGTTGTTTCTCTCTTGCGTGTGTTGTTTTTGGCTTTTCGGCCTTCTGCTTTTACTTCCTGTCTTTGTTGGTGCGTGTTTGGTTGCTTTTGGGTCTGGTTCGTACGTCCTTCTACCGTCGTGTTACCTGGGTTCGTGAGTTTGCTGGGTTTTCCAGCCGTTGTGCGGTTGCTTTCTCGCTGGCGTTGGTTACTGTTCGGTTCGTGTCCATTTGGTCTGTTGTTTAGGTGCTTTTGGTGTTATCCGGGGCATTTCCAAGTTTACGGGGATTGTTGAGTCACGGATGTATACTCCTTTGTTAGTGCGTTTGTGGTGTTCTTCGTGGGTTATCGGTTTGTTGCTTGGGTGGGTTTTGGGTTTCTTGCACCCTGGGGGGGCTTTTGTTACTGTGGTCGTTATTCTTGGTCTTCTTGGGGTGTGTTCTGGTTTGGGATTTTTTCTTTGGTTGTCCGCTTGCTTCACTTCTCTCATGTTGGTTTTAGTTCGCTTGTGTGGACCGGCTCTCCGGCGTTTGTGGTTTCGGCTTCTGCTCCTTGGTTAGTCGCATGGGTGTGTTTTTCGTTTTTCGGGATAGCTTTAGGCCCCTTCGTTAGTGGTTGGCTATTTTTAGTGGTTGTTTCTTAGGCGCCTGTGTAGCCGGCTAGCACGGGTTCTGAGGTGTGCTCAGGGGTTCGCTGGTTGTTCGCCGGGGAGTGATTTGCGTTTCTCCAGAGCGTCGGCGGCTCCTGTTGGCGTGGGGGGTCGGGCTTGTTCATGTTGGGTTGTTTTTATTGTTGCGATCGTCTTTTTCTTCTGCCGTGTCTGTCACATTTTCAATACCCGCCCAACTGTCACGCCCTTCCGTCATTTTCAAACCCGTTCTCTCCTAGAGGTTTTTGAAGTTTTGATCTCCTGCCTTCGGGTTTTTCTGTTGTTGGAGCAGTTTTGGTGCCACTGTGGCTTTTCCCCTTCGTGTTGCTTCCTTCTCGTGGTCCTTGTCCGTCATTTTCTCAATCTCCTCTCCTGTCGTTTCTTGTTGTGTGATGTTTCTGCTCTGTACTGTTCTGCGGTGGTAGGTGCGGGTGGTACCGCGTTCAGCTTTGGTGTTCTCTGTGCCTGGTTTTGCGCCGTTTTTGAAGGTTACGTTGGCTTTGGTGTTTTGCTTTTGTTTTTTTTGCTTGTTTTTGCTCAGTTTTTTGTGTGTTGTGCCTATCCCTGTGTTTGTGCGGTGTGCATTGTGGTGGATTCTTGGGTGTTTTGCCGTGCGCGTTTGGATGATGCTTTCGCGGGTGCTGGTTCTCGGTTGGGTGCGGGTCTGCCGGGGTTCGTCGTGGCGGTTTCCTACGGTTGGGTTCGGGTCGGTGCTGGTGTTTATTCTGGTTTGGTTCCTCTTGCGTCGCGCAGTCGGTGTGTTGTTTCTGTACTGGTTTTTTTGTAGTGTCTTGGGGCGTTGTGGGTTTCCGGTTCAACTTGACTTTGTGGTCTTTTTTTTTTCGTGTTGATCGGCGTGGGGGGTTGTTGCCAGTGTCTTGGTCTAGTTGCGTGTGGGGAGTGTTTGGTTCTTGTGGTGTGGGTTTTGGTGGTGTTGCTGGTGTTTTCGTGAGTTTTGCATTTTTTTCGGTGTGTTCGTTGCAGGTGGGGCGTCGGGAGTGGTACTTTGGTTGGTGACGCGCAAGTCTTCGTATATGCTGAGTTGCTTGTTTGTTGTGTTTGCGGTCTTGCTGTCTGGGTTGTTGCGTTTTGTGCGGTTAGAGATCTTGGTTGGGTTTCGAGTGCTCCTTTCGGCGTTTTGGTGATGTGGGTTTTGGGTGTTGGTTGGTTGTTTAGTTTTTGTCGTTGTGTTGGGTGGTGTTGTGGGGGGACTTGTGGTTAGGTAGTGTTTTGCGGGTGGGGTTGGGTTGTGTGTTGAGCGCGTCGGGGCTGTGTTTGTGGTGTCGGGCTCGGAAGGTTGGTTTCGTGTTTGGCCTATCGTTGCGGGCTTGTGTTGTGTGTTATTGAGCCTTGCGCGCTTTTCCTTTCGCGGCTTGGCTGTCGCTGTGCTTTCGTGTGGTCGCTTTCTTGCTGGTGCTTTTTCGTCCTGTTTGTGGCCTTTGGGGGGGTCGTGGTGAGGTTGTTGGGTTTGATCTCTTTTACGTGTGATTTGTTTCTGGGTGGGTTCCGTGTGGGGCTTCCCGTGGTGTCGTTACGGGCTGGCCGCAGTCGCTGGCGTTGGTGGTTCTGGGTTGCTGTTAGGGGGGCTTTCGGCGTATTTGTGTTGTTGCTGTTAGGCCTAGCTTGAATGGGTTTCGTGGTTTTGTTCTTTTGCGTTTTGTTGGCCCTCGTCGGGGCTTTTGTCCTTGCGTTTGTGGCTTGGTCGATGGGCGGGGTCCTGTTCGCGCTGGCTTTTTCGCGTTTTTTGTGCGGTTCAGGTTGCACTGTTCCTCCCTTAGTCCGGGCCTTGATGTTGTGGTGTTTGCTGTCGTGCGAGCGCTGGAGCGATAGTCTTGGGGGCTGTGCTTTTGCTTCTGCTGCGGTTGGTTTCTGGTTGTGAGTTTTAGGGTTTCTGTGGCGTTCGATCGTTCGCTCTCGGTGATGGGGGGGGAGTTTGGTGTGGCCGTGCCCTTTGCTAGGCTATGTGTACGGGTCTTATGCTTGTTTTTATGAACTCGGAACTGCTTCTTCAGCCCCTTGGTGTTGCGGCCTGGTCCGTTCCTGGGGGTTCGTTGTTCCGCCGGCTTCTTCGTTTTGCCGTTCTTGCATTTGTTCGTTCTCTTCGTTTCCCCTGCGATCTGTGGTTCTTCATCCTTTTCCTTCGTTTCTGTCGTTTTTGGGTGTGCGTGGGATGCAGCAGGATTGGGGATGTTGTTGGGTAGCGGGTTATGATTGGTTGTGTGTGTGTTGTTTTTCTTTTCGTTCGTTTTGGCCCGCGGGTCGTTCTATCTCGTTTTGTTTGTTGTCTTTTTTGTGGTGTTTTTGTCTCGGGCCTTCAGGGCTGGTGCCTTGGTGTGCGGCCGTTTTCGCTGCGTCGGTGCATTTTTGCTGGTGTAGGACGGTCTGGGCCTGTGTGTGGGCGATCGTTATGTTTCCGGCGGGTGTGTTGTTGTGCCGCGTTTATTAGGGGTGGCGGTGGTTGTCCTTTGCTGCGTCTGTGGTTTGTGTGTGGGTATGTTGCCTATCTGATCCTATCTTTTGTTGAAGGTCTCGCTGTCGCGTATGTCTCGTTTTGCGGGCATAGTCGTCCTTCTTTGCTCTCCTGTTCCTTCTTTCCTGGTTGGTGCTTCCTCGTGTCGTGAGGTGTCATCTTTCTGGTGTGTGTGTCTCTTTTTGTCTCGTTTCTGCTTTCTCTGCAAAGTTTGTTGTGTTGTGAGCGTCGGCTGCTGTTTATGTGTTGCGTTGTTTTGGGTTCTTTTCATTTCGGTTCGTCTTAGTGGTCGGTGTTGATAGTGACTTATGTGTTGGCCTCGGTTGGTATTGTCGTGGTCTGCGGATCGGGTTCTTATGCTCGCGCTTGTGCGTTTCCTTCTTTTTTCGCCTTTTGGTTCTTGGATTTCTTGCAGGGGCGCTAGGCTGGTTTTGTGTCTCCTGTTCGAATCCGGCGTGCTGAGGGTTTTTGGTATGTGCGTGGCTATTATTGTGCGGGTCTTTTGTTTGGGTTGGTATGGACTTTGGGCGCTGGTTGTCGGGTTTGCTTCTGTTGTTTTGTCTACGCCTAAGGTGTCGTCGTAGTGATCTTTGTCTGTGGCGGTCATAGTTTTGTTCCTTGCGTTTCTCGTTGGCATCCGAAAAGGTTGGCTCCTTCGCGTCTTTCTTTGGTTTCCCTTTCGTGTCTGGCCAGGTGACCGCGTCGATGCGTGTTCGCGGTGTCGTTCCCTTTTTTGCCGTCATCATCCTTGGCGTACCGGGAGTTTTCGGTGCGTTGTTTGTTGGTGTGTCACTTCGTCTGTCTGTCTTCTTTTTTCCTTGCGGTACGCTCTGGTTTTTTGCTCTCGGTGTTGTCCTCGGTCGCAGGCTACGCGTTTTTCTCAACACTGTGTCGGTTTGCTCTGCTGTTTGGGCTGTGGTGTCGCGGTGGGTGCTTTGCGCTTTGTGGAGCGTCGCTCTTGTTGTTTTTTTTTGCTTCCTTTTTTTTTTGCTTCTTGTTGCCTTCGCTGTGTGTGTTATGGCGGTGTCCATGGGGTTCAGTGTGGTCTTGTTTGTTTTGTTTCGTGGTGTTGTTTTTGTGTCCAGAATGGTGGCGTTGTTCCGTGTGGGTTTTGCTGGTCGTCTCGAGATTTCTGTTCTTGATGGCGCTTGTGTCTATAAGTTTGTGCGTGATGCTGCCACTTGGGGCTGTTGGCCGGTTGTTGTCAGGTTTGGAGGGGGGGGGGCGTTTTGCGTTTCGGGCTGGTCGCTTTGTGGTATGCTTTGTGCTTGCCGGAGGCTTCTGGCTGACTCTTTTTTCTTGTGTGTGTGGGGTGTTGTGCGTTTGTGATTTAGTCTCGTTTTCGCCTTCTCGTTGGGGTTTGTGTGCAGCGGGGTTCATTTTTTGGTCGCGTACGGTGAGGCTGTTGGCGCCGTCGTTTGTATTGCGGTCCTCTGTGTTTCGCGGCCCCTTTTGGTTGGGATTTTTTGTGTGATTTGGCGTGTGGTTTTCTTTGTTTGCGTTTTGGTTTATCTTGTCGTCCCTTTGCTTTCTTTTGACGGTGTTGTTGCGAGTTTGTTTGTTCCGTTCTGCGCCGTTTGCGGGGCCGTGATGTTTGTGGTTTTTTTTGTCGTCTTGGTCTTTGCTAGTGATCTGAATTGGCCCGTTTGGTTTCTCCGTCGCGCTGGTTCGGCTCCTTTTCTGGCGCCTCATGATGGTTGCGACTTTGGGGCTTTCACCGCTTTCCGTTATGGACGGTTTCGTGTTTTCTTTTCCCGGGCTTTTGGCGGCTCTGTTTTTGGTTGCTGTGGTGTTGTTGGTTGTGTGGTGTTTTGGGTGTTCTTCGTGTGCGCCTGGTTCTGCGCTGTTTCCCTGTTTTCGTGGTTCTGTTGTCGTGTGTTGTCTGTCTTTGTGGCCCTCGTTGGTGACCTGGGGCTCGTCGGTGCTTTCGCTGTGCTTTTTTTTGTGGGTGGGTGTGATGTGGTTTGCTGCGAACTCAGTGTCCCGTCGATTTTTGGTTTTGGTCTTGCTGGTTTTGTGCACTGGATTTCTTGTTTGGTTGGCCGGGGAGGTCGGTTTTAAGAGCTATGTTGTGTTTGTCCTGTTGGTGGTCATTGGCGATGTGTCGATTGCTTGTCTGGGGGCTGGTGTGCGGGGTTTTTGTTTGGTGTTGGTGTCTTGCAGTCAGTTGGTTGTCCTTGTGGTCGGTACTGCGCGTTTTGATGTGGTGCATTCTGGTGGTGTTTCGCTCGTTTTGTTGTGAGTCGTTGGGTGTTGTCTTTTATTTAGCCTGTGTTTTTTTATCCTTTGTTTTTTGATGCTGGTTGTTGTCTGCTGAGTTTGTTAAGGCGTCGTTTGTTGGCGTCATGGTGGTTGTTATGGACTTTTGCTTGAGGTTTGGGCCTGCCTTTATGATGGTGGGGTCGTCCTGGTTTGGTGGTTTGTTTGGAGTCGTCTCTGTTTTCTTGTGTGGATCCGGTAGCGTGTTCGTTCTGGCGTTGTTTTCTGTCGCGCGGTTGTTCTTTCTGTGTGAGTGGTGGAGGATCTTTTGGCTTGTCCAGTCTCCGGGTGACGTGATCCTCTTGAGGGCGTTTCTTTTATTTGCTTGGAATGCCTTGGTCTTTCTGCTCTAGCTCTGGCATTCTGTTTGCGGATCCTTTTCGTCGAGTATGTGTATGGCTGTGCGTTGCCTCGTTCCCGCGGTTCGGGTGTGGGATGTGTGCCTGAAGGCCGTAGTGTCTGGGCCTTCGTGCCCCGCTGCTTCTCTCGCCCTATCCCTGAGTGTGGGTGTTGTCTTATTTGTGTTGTTTTTGCTGCGTGGTGGTTTGCCGCGATGTCAGTGTTTGTGGTTCTTCAGCCGGTTGCGGGCTTTTTTCGCGTTCTTTTTGTTTGGGTTTTTTTCTGTGGAGTCAATGTTTTTTGGTTGGATTTCTTCTTGTTTTGTTTTGCTGTGTTTGTTCGGGGTTGGCAATTTGTTGCATACGGTCTCGGTCAGATGTCTGTGGTCTGCGGTCGTCACGGTGTCGTAAGGCGCTCCTAGGATTACGGGGTTCTGCTGCGTGGCGGTTTATCTGGCCGGGGTGGGGTCGTTGGTCTTTTTGGGCTCATCCTTCTCGGGCCCTCCTCGCGTTGTTGGTTTGCCGGGTGCTGCGTTGGGCTGAGGACGGTCGGCGGGGATCGGTTTGTGGTGGTTGATTTTGGTTTGAGGCGCGGGTTTGGGTGTTCTCGACCTCTTGCGTGTGCTCGCGGCCGCGGTTGCTGAGTGCCTTGCTGGGCGCCCCGTCATGTGGGTCGTGCGGTCCGTGGTTTTCTTGGGTTGCGCTCTGGTGTGGTGGTCTTGGTTGTTTGCTCCATTTTGGGTGTTGGTGTTGTTTGAGGTAGTTTTGCTGTGAAAGGTGTCTTGAATTGGCTTGTGCTTCTGTCGGTCCGCATGCTTTGGTTTTTGTTCATTGTCCTCTGGTCTGTCGGTTTATTTTCCGGTTGGGGTTTGATTGGCTCGCGGCTTTTTTGTTTGGATTATCTCGCTTTTCTCTTCCTACCCCGCCCGTCTATCTTTTTGCTGGTTGGGGGGTTTACTAACTTTGTTGCTGTCATTCTCTTCCCTTGTTTGTGCGTCTTGGGAAGGTTTTGTCCATGCATTTTGCTGGCTTGCTTCATTGGAGTGGTTTTCTGCGCCTTCCGCAGTCTTCTATTGGCTCTCTTTACTCTAGCTTGAGGCGGAAAGGTCCTAGATGCGTTTTTTTGCTTGGTGGTTCGTAGGAACGTTGTATGCGTTATTCTTTCGTGGTCTTGCCTGTGCGGATCCTCCGGTTTTTTGCGGTTTTTTCCTATAATTGGCCTTCTCCTTTGGTTTCGCTTGTGGGCGGTCTTTTTGTGCTGTTTGATTGTCGTGGTTTCAGGATCTCGTGCTCTTGTTCGTTGTTAGGGTGCCTGCTTGTCGGTTAGGATAGGGGGTCTGGTGGTATGTTGGTGATTTCTGGTGGTTATTTAGCTCTTTTTTTGGCTTCGCGCTAGTCTTTTTGTTGTAACTGGTTTGTTCGGGGGCGAAGCTTTCGTTCCTGTTTGGGGTGTCTTCGGCAGGGAGTTGGTGGGTGGTGTGGTGAGAGAGGGGGGGTGGTAGGTCGTCAATAGCCGAGCCGGCGAAATCACCAAGCTTCACATCAAGATTGTCATCAAGGAAAACATTGTTGCACGATATATCGCCATGCAACACGCTTCTTGAATGGATAAACCGCACTGCATCGAAAAGTTGTTCGACCCAACGAAGCCTGAGAGAAAGTGGAACATGTTTCTGCCTTGCAACGTATTGCCTAATAGAGGTCTGGCTAGCAAACTGCAAGATGATAGCATTTTCCAAGATGCCAAAATATCGAACGATGCCGTTGTGGTCGCGACCAAGACGTTGATAGATGAGCTTCTCCCGTTCGAAGAAGTGCAATTCCGACGGCCCGAAGAACTTGACGACGGCATCAAGACGCGCGACAATCGCCGTAACGCCTGCGCCAACCAGATCCTTGATGTCTAAACCAAGTGGCCATTGTATAACAGACTCCTGCATCTTCCTCTGCGATGTCTCCGATGGAATAGACAAGCAATCGCTCGGAAAGATGATATAGCGCTTAGTACAATCGACTTGAAGAAGAGGAAATGAGGTCGGTCGAAGAGGAGGTGTGAGGTCGGTACGAGAGGAGTGAGGTAAAGGTGAGGCGTAGTAGGGGGCGCCAGGATGAAAATAATGATCTTTGAAAGGAAAGGTTGTGCTTAGTGTCCTCTTTCTGTAAGCCACTAATTAGCGAAGTCACGTGTCAATAAGAAGAAGCATCTGACTTTAAAGTGAAGCGCAGATAGCTGATGGAAGTGGAGTTGTGTCGAGAAGTAATCGAGGAGCGAGTATAGGCGGGCAGAAGGGTGCGCGCTTGGGGTTTGGGAAAGCGACGCTGGCAATAATGGGAATGCCGGCCCCAACGTAGAGGGTGAGGCTCGTCGACGTTACCGGTCTTCGAGCAGGCGTATGCTGCTGTAGACGCGATCGACAGTGCTGTCAGTCGCTGACGGAGTTCGAGAGCGGTGGTGGATGGTTGTGACGGCCTGGCAATGTCTCTACAATCAGGCGTAAAGAAGCGGGTCAATGCGGTCTATCGAATGCTACATGCTACGAGCCGCTCGCGTCTCGTCGCACACGTTCAAGAGTCGCAGGCGGGGGCGAAAGGATAGTACGCGTCGTAAGGAACACTCTGCATCAGCTGTGATGACAGATCTGTGGCTATGCGAAGCCTTTCCTCTCCTGCAGATGCTCGGAATATATCAAAATCCGACTCCGTGGAGCATTAACGTCCAGAGGGAGCCAAAATGGGCCCCATGGCGCTGCCGCATCAGAATCGCTAGTGGGCTACTATCGCCAGCGTAAAGTGAGCAATACCGTTTGGAGGGAGCTAAATTGTCCCGTGGCGCTGGTGCATCAGAATCTCCAGCGGATTAGTTCTAGTTTCATCATCCTCCCGCCAACGTCCTCATAAACACCGCCCGGTCTCAATAAGTCACAGCACAAAGCTAGTTTACTTCGTGCCCTTGTAATCCCAAGACTCATATTACGGAAAGGATCATAACTTTATGCATGATTTAGATTCCTGGGTGCTCTTTTGGCTTTGCGCACGCCGGAAATAGGTCTAGGCAAAAGAGGAGCAAAACTGTAGAATGCGATGGAAGCCTTGGAAGATGAAATAATAGCTGTTCGATATCATAATCCATTTAAAACAAGCTATGGTTCGCCAGCTCGTGCCCTCTGCTAACGAAGCAATATCCTACCGACTCTCTGCGTCCAGATTCCCTTCATGTGCCAGTTGAATCGATACTTATTAGAATAGAAGTCTTTTTTTAGGCTCGGCGATTCTAATAAAAGGAGAGCTGAGTAAGTAGGGAGACTCCATCTCCTAATTCTAGCCACTTTCAACAAATCTTATCTCTTGCTGTGTTCCTTAAACCACCTATCCTGCAGTAGTTCTTTGGCTATAGGCCTGTTTCTTTGATTAAGTTTCATTATCTTGCAAATGAAATCCCTATCCTCTCTTAAAACCTTCCTTGCGCTAACCAGGCTAAAAGGCTTTCTTTCTAACTCTAGGACGTTGTCGAACACATATTATATAACAAGTTTAAGCTCCTTTTCTGCCTTACCTCCCCCAAAAAATTTAGCATACCTTAGTAGAAATAGCCTAAAGTACTTAAAGTGCTGTATTAAAATATAAATACTATAACCTTTATTATTAAAGGTAACTCTATAAGGCGTTATAATATTAAAATTGCCCCTATATATAAGCCTTATAAGCTGCTGTAAGACCTAAAGTTAGTAACTTATCTTCACATAAAAAGTAAGGTTTGAAAAGGTAAAATCTTACGCAAATCCTAAATAACTAAATATTAGTTAATATGTTCCAAGGCAATCTAAGGATCACTTTAGAGCTCCGCCAAACTAGAGCGCCGATAGGAACTCCCTTTTTAGCATATCTATGGTCGGCTAGGTAGGTACTACCGATATTAGCTAGCTCTATATCCGTGAATTGAATATTAGCCTAGTTATTGTTGGCCGAAACATAATTAACAAGGACATTATTTAGCTTTATATCTAGCACAAATATTAGAGATTGAACAGATAATAAGATAGGCGCATACCGGTATATACAAAGCCATCTTCATGCAGCGTGCTGAGCGCTTTAAGTATACTTTTTGACACGTATTTAAGCTTGTTCCGATCTAACTTCTTAGTATCTAAAGCATGGCGAAGGTCGTTATCAAGATACTTCAACACAATGGTAGTAGGCTCCAAAGGCTCTTTGATTTCATCGACCATCGGTCTTAGGTATGGCGTTCGACCTTAGCGGCGGAGGACATCGCGTTCATTCTCAACTCGAAAATAGCCTTAAACGCTCTTGATCACGACGGGATCATTCAGTTGTAAGATTTTGCATCGATTAGTCTTGGTCATTCTTCTCGGGCTTGATGAACCTACTTTGCAAACCGGACCGTCTGTTGAACCTGTTTTGTAATTTTGTAACTGCTCAACTTGCCCTTCAAGACTCTTAAGACTCTCCGAACCGAATGAAATAGCATATTCAGATATTTTCGATAGGCAGTAATTATTCAAGTTTGAGGCTAGATTGCTGCTCGGAGATTTGTCCAAACCCCAGAAATCGCCTAGCCCCACCTCCTTCTTCCATCCCTTCAAGCTACCATGCCCCTAGTTCAAGATCACGTCGTCCTTTCCAGCGCCTCAATGTCCCGAACCACTTCCTCGGCAGCTTCATATTCCTTCTGCCAGCACCTTAACGTAACAGCGCTGCAAGCATGTTCGTCTTGTGGAAACAGCTTGCTCGCAAATCTCTCCCTCACCTTCTCATACCATGCGTCTTCGCCGTCGATAATGTCAGGGAACACAGCATGGCCCATCATAATGAAGTAGATAGTGCACCCTAGCGCGAAAAGATCCGTTTTCACGTCCGCATCGAAAGGGTCGTCGCGAGGGCAGTAGAACCTGCAGGGTTCGCCGCTCCAGCCGTCAAGCAGCACCTTGCCGGTCTCCGACAGCTGCTTGCCCTGGAAGTCTGAAAGCTTGATGTGGAGGGTCTTGTCGAGAAGGAGGTTGGTGGGTTGGATGTCGCAGTGAATAACGCGGCTGCCATGAATCCACGCGACTGCTTCGGCAGCCTCGCGGCACCAGGCCAGGCGCAGCTCGAGCGAAGGGGGCGGTTTGCCAGATTCCAGCAAGTAGTGGGCGACGGTTCCGTTCACGGCCCGTTCCAGGTACAGGCCAGCCTCGGAGAAGCTCTTGAACCCTATGATCCGCTCATGTGGCCCGACAATCTTAAGAAGCTTGCTCTCTACTTCGAGACGGGTCATGTCTTCGCCCGGGGCACGAGGATATTTCAAGACGGTTGAGTCATCTACCTCGCCAATGAATGCGCTGCTTCCCGTGGCAAGGAATCGCTTCACGCCTGGGGGGCAGTAAACCTGGTAATAACTAATAGTTCATCCCCTTTCGTCCTTCATGGTAAGTTGGAAATTCTGAGGATGTTGGTGAAGTCGTAGAAGCCTGCCGTAGAGACCTTTGCGAATTCGAAGTACAGCGGTTGCCTTGGGTTTAAGTTAGGCCGCGCATCCAGGAGGTCTGCGGGCCAATCAGCGGTGTTCGTCTTCACGAGAGATAGTTGATGCTGCGAGGAGGAAAGTTAGTACACACAGCCAACTCACAGTCTTCCCATTCTGGGATAGTCGGATGGTTTTTACAGCAGACAACATTGATCGGTCTCAGCTGCGTTTTTAAAATCCATCATGAATGGTCCAATGGGTTTTGATCCTAGTCCATGACGTTCTTAGTCTCTTTGTTTGATAGCCCAGCTCTTCTTGCGAGATTATGAGGGAGGAACTCGATCCCACACTTCAGGGATCTTATACCCTCTTCGGGAGCGACGTCGTGTGGGAACACATGATATGAAGAGCACGTCAGATCACACGACACCTCCTGCATGGAATCGACCATCTCAGTCTTTGTACTGGAGCGGAGTTACATTCTATTATGATACAAATCTCATCATACAATCTCCCCAATACACCTTCCACAATTCCCCTTTTTACGCCTACAAACCCTTTCCCTACCCCTCAAACGCCTTTACCGCCTTCACAATAAATTCGGCCGTCTGCTTCGGCTGACTTAACATCACCGAATGGCTGCTTTGCGCCTCTTCAATCGTCACCTCCGCGCCCGCATCTTTCGCCATCTGCACAAACATCCGCTGCGCCTCGATCGGCAGCCCCTTGTCTTCAATAGTCGCGAGATAGAAGACGGGCACGTCCAACCATCCCGAGTACGCCAGATCGCTGACCTCAGTCAGTGAGGCGACTGTCTGCGGTCGGAGCTGCGCAATCAAGGCTTTGGCCTCTTCGTCTGGGATGTCGTGGTAGAAGAGGTCCTTGGGGTCCACTAGCAGCCACCAACATTGTTAATCTTTTTGCATGGCCATGACCATGTGGGGTGTTAGGAGGTATAAATACGTACCAGCAAGATCCACAAACCCCGTCTCCTCATTCAAGTTCCAAATTGGCGGCGGCTTGCCCCCAAACGCCCCTAGGAAGCTCACGCCTGTGGGGTTGAAACCGGTGGCCATGTACACCATACCAATCACGTGGCCCCTCTCCCCCTTTCCCTCCTCGCCTTTTGGCCGTGTGAAGCCCTGTATGGCACTGCTCCCGACGACGCTCCCGTACGACCACACGATCACGACGACGTCGTGGCCGGCAATGATCTCTGCTTCAATGGCAGTTTTGGCGGCGACGATGTCGTCTGAGAGATTCTTGGACCGGTCAGATTGGGTGGTAGGGAGGTCGACGACGACGGATTTGAAGGATTGGGGTTCGAGGAGGGCGATAACTTTGGAGTAGCATGAAGGGTCGTGCCAGGAGCCTGGGACGAAGACGAGTGTGGGCTTGGTTTGAGACATAGTGTTGAGATGGAACGGAGTGAGGTGATGTGAACGATTGATCAAAGGAGTTGGAAAGGCGGAGCAAGTTGAGTAGATTGGATGTTGAGCTAGTTTGGATGACTGAAAAAATAGTAAGGACCTGAGGAAACAAAAGCTATGCTCTTATACAAGGACTGGACCATTAAATCGGGCGGACTCGGACGTGCTTATGCGCCGGCTCGTCGCTACGAAGAAGCCCGAACCTGTGGGACGTTGAAGTTGCAGACGGGCCTTGTGACCTGCAACAATGCCAGCGTTCATTAGTCATTCATGCACGCACCTCATTGCTTTTAATAGAATTTTGTTTCTGTTTTGAGTCGCGATAAGTAAGCAGACCTATTGGGATGCAGATAGTTGCAGAGCTTTGGGCATGTTCAGGCGTGGATGCCTTTCGCTATAGCTTTGGTATTGGAGTAGACATGAGTTTTATGACCGCTTGATGGCGTTGACAAGGTTCCCGTCTTGTACGTACTACAGAACGCCTCGAGGATTGGATTCTTCCTCCCTGCTCCCTGTTCTATGCGGAATTCGAGGAGCTTGTAGTCACACGTACTTTTGATGTAAGGGCCAATACCCATTCTTACTCCAGTCCCCGGACTCCACTACATGAGAAACCAACTTTCGGGTGCAATAGAAGGAAATACAATGCCTAGTAGAGAATCAAGCGGAACTGATCATCCCAAGAATCCTCAGAGCTTTTGAACTCTCCTCTCAGAAGAAGATCTAGCACTGCTTTATGCAGGTCTTTCATGTCGAGAATACCACGCTTTTTCTCATCGATGTATGAAGCATCGATTACAATGTGCTTGAGATTTGAGCACTTTAGCGCGCCTACATGGATTAGAGTCTTGAACCTTGAATGAATTGAGGTGATGCTTACTGCTCTCTAGGAGCTCTGAGATTCGCTGTGGAGTGCCGACGCCGAAGTCCATGCTACGAAAGTCAGTAAGAGCTCCCTAAACGTAGAGAGATGAAGCCATACCCTTCTCGAGAACAGAATTCGATGGCTTCCTTTAGCTTGATATGCTTTGCGAACAGCTTGCCAACTTTCGGGGCCTTGACTCCCTCATTGGGAAGGCCGTCTTTCAGGGCTCTAGTAGTGGAATCAGTAGATGAAGTGACAGTCTGGAATCAGATGCCTTGTACCTTGCCAGATTCGCCGCTCTGATGCCTGAGCCAGCAACGATCAAAGTATGCGGGCTGCCCTTCGAGCTGGTCGAAACGGGCTTGAGCTTTCCGCAACTCTTCTTCAAGAACTTCGCCAGATGCTCTAGATTCCGGGGCCATTCCCACTCGCTGGTATCTTGGATAGCACGCACTTGGCCAAAATCAGTCCCCTGATACTACGACGTTATGTCGTTTTCCTCACTCACCTGGAATAAACCTATCCTCAAGCTCCACCGAACTCATATCCTTCCAGTAATGGGCAGTCCGCTGATTGATGTAATCGGCTAACAACTGCGCATCCATCCGCGCAAACGCAACATTGACACCCAGCTGCTCGTTCAAGTCTTCATCGAGGATGTTCTTGGGCTTCTTCTTCTTTCGTTGCTTGGCCTTCTTTTTCTTCTTTGCCTCTGCCTCGGCTTCTGCTTCCCGTTTTCGCTTCTTAGAGACTGACACTGTTGCTGCTGTGTTAAACTTAGGCTCCACGAGCGGGACACCGCCTTCTGAGTCGGAGCCTGACATTTTGGATGAATGTGGAAAGTTACTGGAGAATTTTGGTGGACCCGTGAATCTAGAATTTATGCCAAGCCTTGATCTTATCGATAACCACCGACGCCAACGCGTGGAACTCAACACCATGTCAACATCGCATACTTCCCCAAAGACAACTCCACTACCACCGTTGACCCCACCATTCATACACCAGCATGTCGGAACCCCCCGAGCGAAAGAGACTGCGAGTCACTCCTCGGGCTTCCAACGCCAATGAAGAAGCTCCGGACGAGGAAACGGAAGAAACGGCATTTGCGACTGTAAGCTTCTATACCCAATTATGACTTGATATCGTTATCCTAATTCCATCTCAGCTACACCAGCTCGGCCGAATCATTCGTCCGGCTTCTACTCCAGTTCGACGACCATCCAGCGCCGGTCCGCTCTCCGGAGGCCGCGAACGCAACAGAACCCCAAATATCGCGATCCGCACTCCAGGAAGTGCGGCACGTACACCGCGAGGCGGCCCAGCAACTCGTCCCATCACAGCGCGTCGCGGCGCTCCTACAACACCTCATGCGATTCGCGCGCTGCGAGAACGCTTGGAGGCTGCGCGGACCCCGGGTCAGAACAGGCGGAAGAGCGGGCGGGGGCAGAGGGAGACGCCGCGGGATACGCTGCGAGCGTTGAGTAGAAGTACGTTTACCACCAATGCATTTCAAGTACATCATTGCGATTCACAGTAACTAATCATTGCGCCGCTACAGTTCTCGCAAAAACCACCAAGCCCACGGTCCTCTCCCCTGATGGCGGCGCCCCACCTCCCCGCAATCGCAATCCCGCCCTGGACGACTTTGATGCCAGCCCGGACATGGAGCGACCGCGCCTTAGCATGCCTCTGGGTGATCTGTACGACGATGACTCCTTCCACGAGGCTCCACCGCGGCAATCGATGCTCCCGGACCTACCAGACGACGTGGATAACACGACTCTGCAATCACTCGAATTCGGACGGCGAGCACTGAGCGAGGACCCGAGACGGCGGTTCTCCACGCGTCTGAGTGGGTTCGGTGAGCTGAATGAGCTAGGGGCCGAGCCGAGCGAGTTCGAGATTGATGGCGCGTTCATCAATCAAAGGCCGAGGATGGACGAGGATGCGCTGCTGCTCGGGGATGACGATGTCGGGGATGATGACAACACAGTCGAGCTCCGTGCGCTCATGGACCGCAGGCAAAGTCGACTGAGTGAGCTAGAGGGGTTGGAAGACGACGACGACGAGCCGGATGATCCGACATTTAGGTTTACCATCCCGCAACGGGTTCTTCGTGAAGCCTCGCCGGCGGTTGCGGGTGCCGAGGCTCCGGATGATGATGCAGGTCAGACGGAGGATGGGGAGTATGAGGAGGATGATGACGATATGGTCCCGCCAGTCCAGGACGACGACGATGAAGCTGTGGAAGCCGAAGAAGACATAGCTCTCGACGACGAACCGGAATTTGAGGATCCAGACGAAGAGATGATGGAAGCAGATCTACGAGCGTACCGAGAGGAAGAGGCTGCCGTAGATCGAAGCATTCTCCCTGGTCCTGATCCTGCCACGGCCAAAAAAGCAGGACGACGACAAAGAAAACTCCGTGTCTCGAAAGATGGAACCGAGTACCCAGAGTTTCCCTCTGGCGTCGTCAAGAAGCTTGCAAATGGCTTCGCGAAGTCCCAGGGCATCAACTCGAAAATCAGCAAAGAAACGCTCACTGCAATCATGCAGGCTACAGACTGGTTCTTTGAGCAAGCTGGTGAAGACCTGGCGGATTATGCGCAGCATGCGAAGCGGAAGACAATTGATGACTCTGATGTCATTACGCTTATGAAGAGGTATGTTACATTACTGTACATATATACACCCAACGCTAACAAACTTTCAACAGACAACGACAGATCAATGCCAACACGTCGTCTTTCTCGCTAGCGCAGAAGCTGCTGCCCAGGGAGTTACTTCAGGAGATCCGGATGGCGCCGCCAGGGAAAGTGAAGCGGCCGAGACGGACGCGGATGGAGACCATGCAGGAGGAATGAATGAATGATGATAGATGGCGGCTGAAATCACCACTGTGTACTATGCCTCACCCTTGCTGCCGTATTCGACGGCGGCTTCTTAACGACCATCCAAAGCATCACCGTCGTGAACGCAGATAACGCATACCTAGTCCCATTAGCAATATACCCAAGCCCAAACTTCAATCATGAAACCCCCAATACATACCACGTGAAGATATACTGCGTATGATTATTCCTAATATTCACCTCGGCCGGCCTGCCAATCGGCACCCCTTTCGCCTCGCGATCGTACGCCAGCAGCAGATCCGGCCGCATCGTCTCCTCGATCCACACCGCCTGGCTGCCCGTCCACTGCGCCATCTCGCCGACATCCGGGAAATGCCACAGCCCCCGCGCCGGGCTGTTCACGGGCGTGAACATGTTCTTCTTCCACGGCTCCCTGAGCAACCCCTGCACCGTCACCTCGCCCCGCGGCAAGCCCTCGGCGCGCGTCTTCTGGTCCGCCTTGTCCTTCCGTATCCACCCCCGGCACACGAGGATCCGCGCCTTCTTCCCGGCGTCGTCGGTGCGCTCCAAGGGCGTGACGACGAGGTAGCCGTCGTCGCCGTCGTGCAGCCGCGGGCCGACGAGCATTTCGAGATCGTGGCGCAGGATGCCCGTCGCGTAGACGCGGCGGTAGTCGAAGGAGGGGATGGCGGCCGGGTCGATGTTGGGCGGCAGCGGCAGCGGGGGGCGCACGAGGCGGTCTTCGAGCGAGGCCAGGAGGGTGGTTTTCCAGGCCAGGCGCTGGACTTGCCAGGTGCCGAGGATGAAGGCGGTGACGGGGATGAGGGCTAGGAGGGCGTTAGTGGTGTTTTGGGGGTTGGGTGTTGGGGGCATGGGAAGGAGTTCATATTGAATCGAGTTGATCTGATTGGTTTTGAATGGGGATAGATAGATGAGAGTTAGAAGATGTACCCAGTATTATCAATCCCGGCCCATGCTGCTTCCCGCTCCTCATTATGCGAACCGGCTTGTCGAGGATAGACTCAAAGTCTGGATTATCGGCCGGCTGCGTGCTCTTGAACCGCCGTTGGAGGGGTTGGCGGAGGCATTGGAAGCGTGGTGTGCGGGATGCGCGTGTGAAGAGTGCTATGCTCGGGCCATTGGGGGTTGCTGATCGCCCCAATGCGCGCAGGAACGGCTGCGGCTTGGACATTGTGTTTGAATGGGGTTCATGGGGGGGAATGGTGGTGGTGAGATGTTCAGATCGGAGCTTGGGAAAAGTTGCCGAGAGCGGTGACGCCGCGGAGGTGGAGGGGGAGCTTCAGGGGAAGCTTCAACACCATGCAGTTGTCCTGAGAAAGACACGACAAGTGCAATATGGCGGAATTACTTACACCACCCCCGGAAACACCGTTGCAGATCGAGGATGAGCGAGACGAGCTCGTTACACGGCTGGACGAGCTGCTGGAGCAGTATTTGGAGCTTCTGGACCAATATATGAAGGCGCGAGAGCAGGCGTCGTCGCAGTTGTCTTCGGTAGCTATGCACCTGATAAAATACTCCAACGTTGCGTTCAGCTTACGAATATTAGGGCTATATGTCCCTCGCACAAGCAAATTACCACAACCGCACTCGGTTCGGACAGGATTACTACGACGAGCGCATGCAGGCGTCCAGACATGTGTATGTAGCTGTACTGCCTATACTAGTCCGCTTCTTATAATATAGGTCTCTGCAAATGAAAGACGACGTTCCGAGCTTCACAGTATCTAAATCTGAGCCACAAGAGACCCTCTCGAAAGACGAATCCGAAAAACCAGGTGCGCCTGAGCAGCCCTCGAAGAACGAACCCCAAGCCGATCGACCAGAGCCGTCCGAGAAGACCTCGGACGTCCGTTCGTCAGACGAGAACCCCACCAGCACCAAGTCTGTAGATCCCATCCGCTGGTTCGGCATCCTCGTTCCGCCCGCCCTCCGTTCCGCTCAGTCGAGCTTCGTTTCAGCTATTGAGGGACCTATACCGCGTCTCGCGACGCTTTCGAAAGAGCTGAGGAACTTACAGATTGAGATCGGGAGGGCGAGGAAGAGGCTACGGAAGATCGAGGGGTAGTCAAGAGCGAAGGTCGAAGCCACTTGCCCAGCCGTCGCTGCTCCGAGATATCAAAACGTATCCCACTCCTACTCCTGGACACAGTCAGAGGGACGGGCTTTTGGTGGGAGCAGCCAGGAGCAGATCTTGGTACCGGTGGATGTTCATCATAGGTGAGACTTTAGGGAATCGGCCGGATTTGGATGCATCGCAAAAGGGGGCAGGGGCCATTGTGATTCTATCATTGGCAAAAGATACCTAAGGTAGGAAAGCATCTAATATGTATGAGTAATTGACGTATTACGCGATATAGTATGGACTTCGTATGTTTCGAGAGTCTCTTAGTTTGTACTCCAAGTTCACGCGCTTATTAGAGGTGAGGTCACGGGCGTCAACCGAATGTAGGAGTTCAATGGTCTTCACCAGCATTCGAGTGGAGTATTGTCGCTTTCTCTGCTTATAGAAGAATAAAGAAGTTGAGTAGCTATCCAGAAATGACATCGCGGTGGTGGATGCTGCCTGGTCAGGCGCGCCTTCCGTTCAACTTAACGTCGAGCTCACCTCTTCCTAATCCCACTTCATCCCCAACTTCTTCATCCCAAGCTCTTCGCCACTTGCTTCCTCGTCTTCTTTTCATCCTTCACACTGTTCCCTGCACTCGTTTGTACCTGTCCATACTCACGAAGTCTCAAGATGAGCCTCTCAACCATCCCTCACGTCACGGACTTGCTGCCTATCGTATTGAGCTCACAAATTGACCACAATCATGATGGCGGTCGCAACGCTCATCCAGCCGTCACTTACGCATTCGAACCTTTGCAGTCGCAGCCTATCCAGTCCGCTGCGCCGGCAATCGTGCCAGACGACGACGACAAAGCCGACAGCATCCCCAAACATCGCGTCGGTGAGCCGAAGAACTCCTCACACCGTCTTCTTACGCTGATCACAAATCAGAGCATTCCCCTTCAAACCTAGCAGCCTGCCAGAGCGCGCCCTGCAAGCGAGGAGGCCACAAGATTGAGCTTGGCGAACTGCGCTTTGGGACTTACACGCTATTCTTCCACACCGGGGAGATGTTCTGGACCTACAAGCATTGGTGAGTAGATCCTACTCTTTATGCGTTCCGACGCTCACTGTCCAGGCGCTGCGTCACCAATAAACAGATCAACACCATCAAGGATATCGCCAAAGGCGAACCGCAGAATGCCCCGGGGTACGACACCTTGACAGAGCAGGCGAAGGAACATTTCCGGCTCGCGCTCGAGGCCGGTAGGGTGACCGACACAACGTTCAAAGGGATTCCGGAGCCAGTTTACAAGGTCGAAATTGCACCGCAGGGTCGAGCGACTTGTCAGAATAAGGAGTGTAAGGATGCGAAAGTCAAGAGCAAGAAGGGGGAGCTCAGGCTGGGGAATCTAGTGCGATTCCAAGGGCATAAGAGCTGGAAATACAAGCATTGGTAGGTTTGGATCATATTTCTAGATCGTGTTGGAGCGAATGCTAATACTAATAGGGGCTGTGCCACCGTAGATGAGTACAGGAGAATACGAGACGTACTCGCCGCCGGTGAGCTTGAAGGGCTCGAAGACTTGGATCCGTAGGATCAGGACTTCATTACCGGGTCGTGTGCCCTCGTAGATATTGGTGTTATTGGTATTACGCCGAATACTGCTTCTGGAGCCGAACAGGAGCTAAAGCGGAAACTCGAGGATCCTGCCCAAAGGGCAGAGGCTTCAGGTAGCGCTGCACCGTCGAAGAAACTCAAAATGGAGTCAAGCAAGCAAGTCATCAATGCGACGGTGAAGATGGAACGGAACTAGCTTTCGACACGAGAGGCAGGGCAAAAGAGGGGAATTAAGGGCGAGGACTCCGGAAGTGTTAGCCTTGAGCTGAGTGGCATCACGTTGGTCAATCACACTGCAGCTGTCACTGAGAAGCAGCACCGAGTTGGGCTCCCTGGTGATACCGCTACGAGTGTCTACGAGACTCAGGCCGACAACGCTACTATCGATGTGAAGCCAGCGAGCGAGGTAGCGAATGTGGGAGTGAAGATGGAGCCGAAATCAAAGTCGAAGCCCAAAGCCAAGCCTAAGAAAGGGACAAAGGCGAAGAAGACGACTTAAGCTGCGACCAAAGTAACCGCTCCGCCAAAGAAAGTGCCCGTGATAGCTCCAACGCGGACGTCGAGAAGCGAACGCGTGGTGAAGGGATCGTACAAGGAGTGAGTGTCACTCTCTATCAGTCTCTCTGCACCTTCATTGAGAATACATCCGCTGGGGTAATATCTTATGCCATGTTTCGCTATCGACGATTATCTGTACAGTTATGTAAAGCTTCCTTTGACCGGAGGAGGCTGGAATGGACCCAGGGCGAGAATTCATGTCCTACAATATCCTGGCTTGAGAGCATTAGCTTTTCTCAATCATACTTTTGTAGCCACCGTCTGAAATCTTTCAATGTATGAAGTGGAAGTGGTACGTGTTGTAGAGCTGGGCCTATCGTGATTCAGAGCATCGCTAGTATTGCCTTCTGCGGCCTGCTCACCGCTGCTGGATGTGCTCCCGAAGATCATGCCGCGATGTAGATTTCAACAAGCTGCGAATCGTGATTGTTTCTGTGCACTCACACTACATGCTCTCAAGAGTCTTTTACATAAAGCCGAACACCAGGGCCAGATACAACGCGGTCAAACTCGGTGGGAGGCTGCTATGTATTATAGTCCGCCTTGTTCAAACGTGGTCGGCCACAGTCTTGAGCGTTGCGGTTCTAGGCCATGAGCTCCAGCACAAGAAGCTATCCCGATATCTTGCCACAGTAATGGAGAGGAAAACACCTATGATTACGGGTAAAAGCAAAGCAGGACTATCATCTATAACTACTAGGTCTTGCGATACCTAGCTAAGCTAAACAACGCATAAAACAGCCGGCGCCCACTTCGTTACAGCAGTACGCATAGCTATCAGGCTCCAGCGCAGTCCTTAAATCACCCCCAAAAAAAAGGATGGAATTGTAGAGTGATGATCTACAAATGTTGGGAGTTGAGTGTATCTCCCCCCCCCCCCCTCCCCTCAAGCGGGACATTATCGTCGACCCGACTGAAGCGACACACACATAACCCTCCGGTGTCGCAATAGCACCCTCCCCTCTCTCACCCTCTCTCCCTCTCACCCTCTCTCCCTCTCTCCCTCAGCGCACCTCCGATCCCCGTGGCCTGCCCTCCTCCCTGCTATTCCTCCCGCAGCTTCCTCCGCCTCGCCACCTCGTCCTCCGCCGACGCCGTTATCGGCGCCGCGAACCGCGAGCTGAACGAGGGCCGGTTGAGGAAGGGCGTGTTTTCGAAGGGCGTTGGCGGGCGGCCCGGCGCGGTCGTGCTGGGTCGACTACGTTGGCGTTGCGCGGTGACGGGGTCGTCGCGGGGCGTAGCATTGCGGCTGGCGAGCTGCTGGGGAGGAGCCGGTGTGTCGGGGGTAGGAGGGCCAGGGGCGTCGACGGGCCAGGGGAGGAGGGGGTTTAGGAGGCGTGCGGGGAGGATGTGGGGGAGGAGCTTGAGCTTGGTGCGGAGGAGGAGGAGGGCCGGGGTGGGTGTGGAGGAGGCGCTGGGTGGGGGGGTTTAGTAGAGAAACTGGGAGATGGAGATGTGGCATGGAGAGGGGGTGGGGAGGAAGGACGTACTCGTGTCGCGCGACTTCCCACTTTTGGCAGAGGAGGAGGAAGGTGATGTAGAAGGGGGGGAAGAGGAGGATGTTTAGTAGTGGGAGGCGCCACATGAGGGACCACAACGACGGCGGCGCGTGGATGTAGTTGTTTGAGAGGAAGAGGCTGCATAGAAGCAGTGTTGGGAGTTGGGGGAGGAGGAGGCTCCAGGGGAGGAGGATGTTGGAATAGGACCACAGGGCAGAGAGGCCGGAGGTTTCTGTTTCGGGGGTCTGGGTTGGTTAGATGTGAGCAGGATAGATTGTCCATTGTATTCAAACTCTTAAAGTTGTATCGAGGTAGACCCGACGGGGGCAAAGAAAGACATGCGGAGAAGTGAGATGCCTAAGTTTGAAGTCGACTTACCTCCATCCAATGATCCCATATCCGCTCCGCGAACACCCCCTGGAACGCAAGTATGAACGTCAGGAACAGCCCACGTGGAGGCTGGAGTACGTCGCGCGTGAAGACAACAGCCGTCTCTTCGGCCATGCGGCAGAGTGTGAAGAGGACTGAGTAGCGAAAGATTTGGGAGTGGTCTAAGTCCTTCCAGGTCTGCACGCGGTTGGGTTGCTGGATGAAGACGATGAGGATAGCGACGAAGATCAGGAGTGGGACTGTCGCGAGGCTGACGTCTCGCGCTTGCGGGATGATGTTCATGACGCCGGTCGCGAGCCAGGATATGAGGGGGAAGAGGTAGGTGTGGAGAAGAGGTGTGAAGAAGCGGAGGCTTGCTTGGGTGGACATAGTAGTGGTGGGTGGGTTCGAGAGGGTGAGGTTGGAGATGATGTTGGGGATGTTGGCCGAGAGTGTTCTGTTTGTAACTGGGTAGAGATGTCAAAGGGCGTTGTTGTTGGTTCTTCTAGGCGAGTTGGTTGATAGTAAGTAGACAAACAAGAAGTAGGCTCACTAGAGTGAATAAAGAAATACGGGCGCATGCAGAACCTCTGGATTGTGTACCCAAGCATCCTTGTGTTCGAACTCTTTCAAGTCAGATGCCGTATACCCAAGAAAGGACAATCAAGACGCTTCTACAGGCAGCTCGGGCCATCGACACAGCCCGATAACATTCTGAAGCAAGGTCTGAAGGTAGGCAGTGTTGTAAACTTCATCGTTTCCAGCGATGCAAAACTGCGGCCTCGCCAGTGTTGGATGTAATAGCGTGAGGTGAGATGCTTCGAAAACATTGACAGCTGTGATGTCGCTTCCAGCGATGCAAAACTGCGGCCTCGCCAGTGTTGGGTGTAATAGCGTGAGGTGAGATGCCTCGAAAACATTGACAGCTTTGCAACTGCGGCCTCGCCAGTGCTGGGTGTAGTAGCAGCAGCGTGAGGTGAGAAAGAGAAAGAAAAAAAACACCCCTTGCGAATATACTTCGCCGGCTTTCCGTCTCATCGCCAGCTTTTTTTCGCACTTGAGAAAAAGAAATTGTTTAGTGCCACGACCCTCCCCTCCTGCCCTCGTGCCTGCACTTTCTCTCGGCACGTTTCTAGACCCCCGGCTTTTGGCTTTTGGCTTTTTTCCCCTTTCCCCCCTCCCTCTCTGTCTCCAGGCTCTGGGGGGAGCCAACGCTCTGCGCGGGCTCGGCTCGTCGCGTCGACAACCCCAGCCCTGAGGTGCTAATGCGCGAGACGGTACTGGCTCAGCAAGCGGGGGGCGGCTGCTGCGGGGAGGGAGGGAGGGAGGGAGGGAGGGCAGGACAGGACAGGAAGTCCCTCTATCGGCGTCTATTTTGTGGGCCCAAAAACTGGAAGAGGGGGGAGGGGGGAGCAAAGGCGGCGAGGGCGTGGAGGGGGTGGGCGAGATAGGTGGTCCGTTGGCCTGGAAGAGGAGGAGGAGGAGGAAGTGGAGGCTCCTCGGGGTAGAGGAATAGGATAAGATAGGGAGCCTGGTCGGTCGGGAGTTGGATGCCGAGATGAGGGAGAGGGAGAGGAAGGTGGCGTGGCGTGGCGATGGTGGCGAGGGCCGTAGATTATTAGGTTTTGGATAGCAAGATTGAGGTAGAAGCAGCTGAAAATCGCGCGAGATGGCGCTTTGAAAAAGTTGCCATGTTCAAAAGGGCAGAAAAGATCAAGATATCAGAAGGTCTTCATTCACGCTCACTCCAATTACTTCGCCCCCCCAATTAGAGCACCACTATATCCCGGCCCTCGAAACGTTCCTAGGGGCTGTAGCCCAGACGTGTCAGTCCGAAAGAAAACGAATCCGACGCTCCAAGCCCATGCATGCCAAAAAGTCCCAAGCTTCTAACCCTATGCCGTGCCGATGCCGAATGACGATTGTCGCTTCGTGCCGCCACCGTCCATACGCCAAAAGAATTCAGGGCTGGTATACAAACCCTCTGTAGGAAAACGGGCAAGGGTGAGAAGAAAGAAAGCAGAGGAAAGTCGATTTCCTACCCTTCAACCCTCCCACGTCTTGACCACAGCCTTCTCTTCCTGGCACGCAAAGATATTGATATGTGTATCGTGCAGCGCAGCGCCAGCAATCATCATGCGATGCGGATGGAACGCAGTCGTACTGATCGCCGCGCTGCGATTCTGGTGCAAGAAGCTGGAGTAGGGCTCGAAGGATGATAGCTTGAGTGCGGTATTGATGTTGAAGATTTTGACCCGGTGACGACCGGTGCCACTGGTAGCCTGTTAGCAGCATCCCGGTGACAAGAAACTTGAAAAGCTTACGTAGCAAAGACAGGAGCGTGTTCGTGCACGCTCAAGGTCCGTAGAGTGTCTTTGGTGGCTTCGATGGTCTTAATGCTCTGGTCCATGCGGATGTCCCAGAGTTTGACTTCGCCGTTTCGGCAGCCGCTCACTAGCTCACGCTGTCCACCGCGCTGGACTTGGACATTGGTGATCCAGTTCTTGTGCTCCTTCCATACTTTCACCATGGCAGTGGTGGTCTTCTCACGCTGATCAAAGACGCGAACGGCACCATCGCCATAGCCGGCAATGAAAATTTCCCCCTCGACTTGATCAGATGTCAAGGATGTGATGCAAGAGCCCGAACGAGCAGGTATATCCTAGAAAATTAACTTAGTTCCGGTCTGAATGTCAAGTAAATGTCACTTACGGCTGAGCAAATCTCGGAGCCAGCATTCCATACTCGAATGACTTTGACATCACCAGCAACAAGCACCTGCCCTTTGCCTTGCTGCCAATCGAAGACAAGCCCGGCATTCTTATTGCTCGGTATGAGATCCGTGAGCGCGCGGAACGCAGTCACCAGCTCTACTTTTGCCTTTGAATCGTAATTCCTGAAGATTCGGATGACTCCATCTGAAGAGCCAGTCATGAGCAAGGCTTGATCATCCTCGTTGATGAGCCGAACCTCACTGATCGTCGAGTCTTGAGGGTTGCCATTCGAAAAGCGATTGAGACGGGTCTGGTGCTGCCAGTCCCATACATTGACATTATCGAGATTATCGGTGACAATCAAGTGATCTTCGAACTGATGGAAGCACATCTTCTTAGGCTGGGTGCCGTTGTTGAAAAAGCCTTTCGGCCTGTCCCAACGACTGCTGCCCGCAACGTCCTTCAGTGGCTGAGTCTCGGCGATGATCTTGTCGTTGCGGTTACGACGCCACAATCGACTGTTGTAATCCGTACTTCCAGGCTCATCCGCCTCAGTGGCCTTCATTTGCGGTTCCCGGAAGTACTCGACAGACCATTCGTAAAATTTGCTCTTGAGAGGTAGCTTTACCTCTGAGGCGATATCACGCGGCACAAAGCCGCGTGTCTTAGGCTCTGTTGAGTTATCATAAGCGCCGGTAGGCGTACTCAATCGATCCATGTCCTCCGGAGGGCGATATAGTTCCGTCGACACTCTCGTAAGAGCAGGCGTCTTGGTAAGAGCTGTGGACGACTCCGACCCACCCCAGAGGTTCTTCAAAGATGCAGCAACGCTAGCTGTGCGCTTAATCCCCATCAGAGAAAGATATCCATCGGTTTTAGAGGGTGTGGGAGGTGTGGAGATTTTGGGCTCGGCGACGACCTCCCGTGGCCTGTGATGGACAGTTCGGCGGTGTCCGCTCCGCTTCTTGATCCCATTGAGTTTCGGCACGGCGACACTACCCAACGGAGACTCCAACAGGGCGATTAAGATATAGTCGACGACAATACTCGCGTCCCGAGCGACTTCGGGGTGTGGATCGACAGTCATCGTAAGGACTTCCAACCAGATTGCGGAGAATACGGTGTCCTTGGAACATGCAGAAGGGTCAAGTCCACCTGGGGCTTCACGAGAGTGCAACATATGAAGCTCGTCCTTATTCTTTGATGCACTATGCGTACGTTCCTTTTCAGCCTCGGCACTGAGTTGTTCGAATGCGGCGACGATGAACTTGGCCTTGTATCTGACAATAAAGGTCGAAAAGAACACCAAGAGTTCTTTGCGAACCATGCTGTTGCCATCGGTCGTCATGGTAAGAACCAAAGACGCGATCGATTCCTCAATGCTAGCGACTTGGGCCGTGACATCGGGGATGCCTAGAAAGGCGGTCAGAGCATATAGCATTGCTGCTCTGACTTCAGAAACAGGGTCCAACACAAGCTCGCACAGCCGTTGGTGAGCGAGGCAGCGGATGCCCGTCCATTTGGCATCGGCGTAGTCGACCCACAGCTTGGCCAAGCACAAGCATGACCATTGCCTCAGCAAGGGATTCTCTTTGTCGGTGAGATGCTCGAGGCAGCTTTCCACTAGCTCAGGGCTAAGGGACACTCGCTGACCTGATTGGTAGTCTTTGCAGAACATGGCCACGATGAAGGCACACATTGCTCGGTGCTCGCTAGCGTTGACGATAGGGATACCGGAGGATGGCGCTAGGATACTGATGAAATACGCATATCCATTATCCTTGAGAAGATCGGCCTGGCAAGATTGATCGACAGCCAAAATGCGAGCCCATATGAACACCATGACGGGTTTGAGTTCAACAGCTTGCGACTGTAGTAGCTTGAGAACGTAAGGGAATATGCCGATACTGAGAGCTAAGCTAACAGCCCAAGGACCCAGGTCCAAGAATTTGGAGAGAAGGATGAGCGCACGTAGTCGGTGAACTTGGCTGAGTAAAACCTGGAGGACGATGGGCAATTGCTCGGGAATTTTGCGTTCCACGGCACCCTGCCCTAAGTAGACTTCGAATGCTGTCAATTGCTCAGAGAAGAACTCTGAATGCTTGTACTCATACTTCTTCTCGCCTCGCTGGTCGGCGTACAGATCGGGGAGTTGGGCAAGGATCATCTCCACGGCGAGATCCCAGCTCTTCCACAGCGGGTGATCGTGAGTCTGAGGAATCTCAGGGTGGCATACTGGGTTGCAGTGGTAAACCCTCATGATGCGCTGTGCAAGAAGGAAGTTGCGAAACAGCGCAGCAACCATCAAATCCTGACGAAAAAGCTTCTTGAATAACGGCTTAGATAGAGAGTTCCATGCAATGGTATCGGTAATGGCAGTGAATATCCAGTTGAGCTCTCCAGCAGGCGTCCGTCGCTCCGACACACGGCCAGGAATGGCGGAAGCATCTTGGATGGAAATATTGCTTGGCAGAGGGTCTTGAAGGATGAAGAACCTGACGGCCATGACGATGGGATCAGTAAGGCACGAGGTAAATACATCGGCGGGGAGATCAGGGTTTGTTGGAAGAGTTTCCCTCTCGCGACACGCTGCAAGATGAATGCAATCGCTGAAGTCTTGCGGCTCTATGGTGCTGTCCCGAAGTCTCGCTTCCTCATACTCGGTCTGATGCTTCTCGGCGAACTTGTTGAAGTTTGTAATGATCAAACCGGCGTCAGAGCAGTCGTAAACGAAGAGACTCGGAGCGCCAATCCAGCTCTGGAGGTCGTAGACAGATATGGGGATGTATTGGGTGTAGTTGCGGTTGAAGACCCATATTTCGCCCGACGAGGTTGGCTTGGGAACTCCATGGCCGTTGTAGTGGAAGAGGACCCTCTCGTTCCTGGCGTTTCTCCGCAGTGTCGAGCAGTAGCGGCGAGTCTCGTCGGCAGTGGGGTCCAGGCACAGCTTGTAACGAGTGCGCATGCTCAGCTGCTCGTACTGCGACTGCAAAGCCTTGCCGATCTGGTTCATGGGAGTGTGTCCGGAGTTGGTCGTGGCTACATTGGTCGGATCAATCCAGCACTCCTCCTTGGCGCACGGATTGGTCTTGATGATGTCGGGCGGGTCTACGCCAATGTTCAAGCACAGGGCCAGCACTGCGGAGACAGTCTTGAGGCGGTCGCGCATCCGCCATTCCTGCAGCGGGTGGGCGTCCTCATCCTCCCTCGGATTGCCTCCGGTCTCGTGCTTCTTGTCGGTATAGTACATGAAGAAACTCTGCGGGCATGTGTCAGTGCTGGAGGCGGTGAAGAGTGAGTGAGTCTGTAGCACGGCGCACTCACAGAAGTCAGCAGGTTGTTGTACTCCTCGGAGGTGAGCTGCGTCTCCCAGCCGTGCCTGATCTTGAAGTCTCCGTCAACGCTGCCGGCAACCTCGTCGTCAGCGCCTTCGGTGGGGTCGTCGCGGCGAGGGCCAAAGTCGCTCTTTGTACGCAGCACGAGGGGACGCGCCGCCGCGGCGGGGCCGTTGGAGGCGGCTGGTGTCACGGTGGACGAGTGCCCGTTCATCCGGGTGGACGACGGGCGCGGGCGCAGGGCCAGCGTCTGCTCCTCGGGCTCGACAGGCGACTGGGCAGCTCGGCCAGCAGCGTCGTGCGTGGGAGCAGCGCCCGCGGGGTGGGCGCGGTGGTGAGAGGCAGGGCCGCGCAAGGGCATGTCGGCGGGGATTCTCATGGCGAGAGATGCGAGGACGGCAGCGGGCGCGAGGGCGGGCCCATATCGTCACCCAGGGCGGGCGGTGCTGGAGCGTGGGTGACGGCGGACACTGCGGTTGCGGGTTGCGGGGCCTGGTGCAGCCGGTGAGCGGATGCAGACGTCTGTGAGGTTTGCGTGGTGCGTGGTGCGTGGTGCGTCCAACATCGAAGCTCGCGGCGAACTGCCGGGCGGTGAGCGTGGAGCCGCCCTTGGACGGCAGGCCGAGTCGCCTTGGGGTTAGCCCGCCAGGCCGCGTGCCCGCATCGCGCTCCAGCTGCCGCGCCTGCAGGTGCGAGGCTGCTCTGCTGCGGTGGCCAGCGTCGAGCGTCGAGCTCGCCATGGCCACAGACTGCGTGCACGCGGCAATGCGGTGCGACGCCGGGGACCACACATGCACGTGACATGGTGCCCCAGAGCGCTTGGTCCCCGGCAGCCTCTCTGCGCGCTCCCCAGCAGCATCCATGAAGAAAGTATTCCCCGATGCCCCCCAGATAGCCGCCCTGCAGCCCTTCGTCGCGCGCCCACGGCCGTCGCGGTGCCAGCCAATCGACGCGGCCTGAGGCAGGACGCTGCAGATCCTCTCAGGGGAACCCACAGCGCCGTCGCCGCCCCGGAGGCCCTCAGCGCCCAGAGACGAGCTGTGGTGCCCGACGCCTGCGAATGTGCCGAGCTGCATGCTTCTCTGGCTGTCTGGCTGTCTGGCTGTCTGGCTGTCTGGCTGATCCGCGCGCCCCCTCAGCCAGTCCTCGCGCGGTTCTGTCTCGTCGAGGCGTGCTTAAGTGGTGCACTCCAAACTTGCTGCCAAGATCCCTAACCGGCCTCTCACACCCCAAACTTCGACCTTCCCGCTCACCCTCTCCCGTTTCTCCACCACCCTTTGCGCTGCTCGACGCTGCACCCCACCACCCGTCATCTGCTTCTCCGCCTGCTTCGATAGCCTCGCCCCTTCGTGTCCTTCCTGCAAGACATGCGCACGCCCAGTTCATGACCGTCATTCCGCTGAACGCCCAAGTCGCCGCAATTCCTCTCAGCCCCCTCCCGGCCCTGTTCCTCCTTCGCACCTCGTTGCGCGCCCACTCTGGACCTCTCCTCTGGTACAGCGACTGAATGATATCCTGAGCGGTGCCGGCTGCTGCATTGCCCCTTGATTTCGCCCGCGGCGCGAGTTCGCCATGTCGTTCTTGTTTGGGAAGAAGAAGCACCAGCAGAACACCGCCCTCCCACCCGCCACCCGCGACATATCCTCTTCCCATGGCCCGGGCTCTATGATACCCGCCCCGAACGGCGTCGCAGTTCGAGACCCCGAAAAGGCTCGTAATGGGCCCCAGGCTCAAACGCCGACTCCTGGAAGCAGCGTGAACAACTCGCTCAGCTCGCTCCAAAATCCACGAACCACTTCGAGTCCGGGCCCAGGTCCAGGTCCGGGTACAGGTCCGGAGCCCAAGACTTTGCGCGAACGGTCAGACTCAGAAGTGCAGGTGAGTTTACCAACTTTGCCCACCGCATAATTGTGGTGGAGACCCGCAGCCCGGAGTCTGCAGGCAGGGTTACGCTGCATACGTGATCGCTAACTCTCTTCTAGAATCCTAATCCTCGGGCTGCTACAGGAAATCCTGCCGGTGCGCGCGACTCTCCATATCCATGGTCGCAACGAAGATTGAACTTTTCGACCTCCTCGAACCCATTCCCCCGATATGGCGCCGCCGTCAATTCGGTGGCCTCCAAAGATGGCGTGGTATACATAATGGGAGGCCTGGTAAATGGATCCACCGTCAAAGGTGATCTTTGGTTGGTCGAAGTCGGCAGTGGCACTATGGCCTGCTACCCCGTGTCTACAACCGGGGATGGACCAGGCCCTAGAGTCGGGCATTCGAGTCTGCTGGTTGGGAACGCATTCATTGTGTTTGGCGGCGATACCAAGTTGCAGGATGGAGACATGTTAGACGATACCCTTTACCTCCTCAATACCTGTAAGTGTTCCTCCGCACAGCTGTGGTTAACATGATCGCTGACCCACTACAGCAACGAGACATTGGTCGAGGGCCATGCCGGCAGGGTCCAGACCAGCTGGTCGGTACGGCCATACGCTCAATATTCTCGGTTCCAGGATCTACATCTTCGGCGGTCAGGTGGAAGGTCACTTCTTCAATGATCTGGTTGCCTTTGATTTAAACTCTCTTCAATCAGCAACGAGCAAATGGGAAGTTTTGATACCCAACAGCAAGGACGCCGGGCTTGCCACGCCCTCACCACCAGCTCGAACGAACCACTCCATAGTCACGTGGAACGACAAGCTCTATCTGTATGTAACGTCCTGCCGTGTTACCCAGCCATTGACTGACCTTCTGCAGATTTGGTGGTACCGATGGGGTTAGCTGGTTCAACGACGTCTGGACTTACGATCCACGAACGAATGCTTGGTCAGAACTCGATTGCATCGGTTACATCCCAGTAGCACGAGAAGGCCATGCCGCAGCTCTCGTCAACGACACCATGTACATCTTCGGTGGCCGAACCCAGGACGGTGTGGACCTAGGCGATCTAGCAGCTTTCCGGATTTCATCGCGGCGTTGGTACATGTTCCAGAACATGGGACACTCGCCATCAGCTCGATCCGGACACAGTATGACCGCCTTTGGAAAACACGTGGTTGTTCTAGCTGGTGAGCCGAGCTCAGCGCCCAGCGATCGGGGCGAGTTGAGCCTGGCATATCTTCTCGACACATCCAAAATACGATATCCCGCAAATGAAACGCAGCCACCAATGTCACAGCAAATGGTCGCTCCACGAAAAATGAGCGGAAGCGATAAGAGTGGCATTCCACAGAGCAGACCCGTAGGGCCTGCGGGGCCTATGGCACGGGAGAGTATTGCTGGGCAACCTCCTCCTAGGGGAGCAGAGCCCCCAATGGTCAATGGTGGTGGGTCTAGGTTACCTCGAGCTGCTGTTGGCCAAGCGCCATCGGGGCCTCCTCCGTTACAGCAAGCCCCACAACCAAGAACGAGCGGAACTTCTGGATCCTTCAATAGTGGTCGAAGCAAAACACCGACGAAGGATAATCGAGGGTTTGGTCCATCGGTCGACACCAGCAGAGCCGCCAGCTTCGACCGAGAAAATATATCCCCGGGCAGCAGGGATAGTCCCTTGTCTAGGGACGCGGAGTACCAAACCGCTGCCAACAACGAAAAGGCCATGAATGCTCCAAGGAAGGGATCAGATGTATCCTCGGCTGGACCACAATCATATCACAAAGAGTCGACCGACGCTGTACGAAGTGGAAGCGTAGTGTCACGTAACACCTCAATGTCTCACCGACAACAGCAATCCATGGATAGCGTCGAACAAGGAACCCCAAGGCGCTCGCTCGATGCCCAACGACGAACCATGAGTCGCGAAGACCATCGCCCGATCGACAGCGGGGTTGGATCATCTCCAGCGCTAAGCCAGCAGAACGACGAGCTCATGCGGGAACTGGAGGCTGCGAAGAGCCGCAATGCCTGGTATGCCTCAGAACTGGCATTGGCTCGCAAAGCAGGGTACCATCCAAATGCATCCAGCAGCCCCGTGCTCGACGAGCGTGCCGCAGACGTTTTCGGCGACGATGACCGGCCACTTCTGGAGGCACTACTCAAGATGCGGGCTGAGCTTGCCAAAGTACAGGGATCCATAGATTCGCAGGCTGTTTCTGCAGCGAACAAAATTGCTGAAGTTGAGAGGCAGAGAGATGCCGCCATCAACGAAGCTGTATATGCCAAGACGAAGCTTGCTGCTCACGGAGGTAGTCAGGCTGGGACACCTCAGCCTGATGGATCTCGAGGGACTGGCACTCCGGAACTTGATCGCGTCAACGAGATAAGCCGGCGATTGGCGACCTCGCTAGCGGCCCAATCCGCGCTGGCGGCGAAGCTAGAGAAAACCACCGCCGTCATTGAAGCCGAACGAAAAGCAAGACAGCTTGCCGAAGAAACAGCAGATGCCGCTCAAAAACGGGTCAACGAGCTCGATGCTTATCGACAACGAACTGCTTCGGAGGTCGAGAGTCTCCGCGCAGAGCTGCACGATGCCCAGCGGATCGCAAGAGAAGAGAGTGTTCTCAGCGCAGAGGCGCGATCATCATCGCAGCTTCTTGCAGTGGACAAGAATGAGCTCAGTACAAAACTGAGCAGGGCACTTGAAGATGCAGGAAATCACTCGAGTATCTTACAGACCCTCCGCGATGCGGTGGCTGCATCAACAGACAAGGGCGCCCTGATTGAACGCCAACTCGAAGAAGAGCGACATCACCGCACTACCCTGGAACAGAAGCTTGCTCAATTACGTGCCGAGCACGAGGATCGCACGACTGAGCTTGAGACTACATCGAGGAGACTACGAGACACGGAGGAAATTGCTGAGAAGCATGCCGCAGAAGCTCGTACGCACAAAGAGGCTGTTCTCTCTGGTTTAGGAAGAGTCACGGACAGAGATGAGGATGAACACGAGGCTGCTGATGAGCGTGTCACCATCCTTCAACAACAGGTCGAGGCTGCAAATGCCTTGGTTCGCAAGAACCAAGATGCAGCTGATTCCGCCGCCGCCAAGCTTCGACGTGCAGAAGAACGAATCGCCGGTCTTGAGGCTTACCAAGAGCAAGCAAGCCGTGAAGGCCTCAGCATTCGCAAGCAGCTCCAGCAGACCATGCGCGAAATGCAAGCCCTAGATTCCGAAAAGGCCGAGCTGCACCAAGAATACGAGCGACACCGGCTGGAGAGCAATGCGCTCGAAGTGCAACTCAAGACTCTCAAGAATCTGCTCGAGGAACGAGGTGTCAACCCTGTTGATGCCCGGAGGTCGCGTGTTTTAGACAGTCCAAACTCGCGCTTCGGGACTCCTGAATCAAACCGTGTGCGTGAACTAGAGCAGCAACTCGACGCTAGCCTGAAAGCGCATGATGAGATGAGGTCGACTTTCGAACAGCGCGAGCACCATGTCAGCAGAGAATGGGAGGAGAAGCTCACCGCCCTTCATAACGACCACCAGGCTGCCGTGAAGTACCTTCGAGGCACGGAAAAGATGCTCTCCAAGATGAAGCAAGAGCTAGACCGCTACAAGAGCACGAACACGAAATTAGAGGAGGAGCTTTCGCAAGCCAGACAAGCCGCACAAAGCCCCACCACGCAAGTGCACGCCGCATGGGAAACTGAACGCGACTCTCTTCGCAATGAGATCTCCACCATGCAGACGAACCTGAAGACCTCAGTCTCCCGCCTCGAAACACAGCTCAGCACTCTCCAGGCCGAGCTTGCCACGGCCCGCACCGATCGCGAGACTGCTGTCCAGCATGCCCAAGAGCTTGAAGCCGCAGCCACACAATCTCACTCCGACCTCGAGGCTCTCCGTCAATCTAACGAAATCCTCGACCAGCGCGCGCGTGACGCTGAAAACCGTGTCCGGATGCTGCTTGACCAGTTCGAGAGCTCCGTCGACAATTACCGCCGCCAGTCGCAGATCCCGGCTGGCGCTGCCAATATTGGCGTCAACGGCGGCCACCACCGCCCTGGCCACGACAGTATCTCGGGTGACAGCATTTATTCCGACGACGATAACGACGGCGACGGCGATAGCACCCCGGATGCTTCTGCCGCTGCCACGCGGAATTCCATGGCTCTAGATAACCTGGCATCTGAGCTGGATGCACTACGGAGCCATTGGGAAACAACCAACAAGGCCTATCGCCTAAGCGATCGCTTCGACTTTGAGCGCACGCCAACAAGCGAGAAGAACGAGCTTAGCGAGTCCCTAGCCGCCTGGCGCAAGCGGATGGACCTTGAAGACGAAGAGATGCAGCGTGGGGGCAAGACAGGCGGTGCAGCCTCAATAGCTTCAGAGACCGAAAAGGAGAGGGACCGAGCGGTAGCAAACGTGAGCGGCGTTGGGACTGCGGGTAATGCGGGCGTAGGACCCGGAGGAAGCGCAATGATATGATATGCGTAAAGAAGAGTGAGCGTGGACAAGAGTTCTGTTTGGTTTCTCCTGTTTCTGAGTACATGTACACTTTCTCTTTCTATCATTCGGTCTAGGTCATCACCGGATCATGGTATTTGGCGGGCGCATGAGCCTCGGCGTCTTTTCTTCTACAATTACTTTTCTATACCTTTCTATTCAAATTTTCTTGGAAGCCTTGTTTTCTCAATCCGCTGGTTTGGCTGGCGAAGCGTTTACTTACCCTTTGAGCGAGTTCTCCTGCTGCTGTTACTTTCTATTACCAAAACGTGCCGCTTAGCGCCGTTGTTGACTATATTCTTGCGGATACATACCACTAGTCATTCTCTTGGGTATCTCCTTTTCCCCCAATACTTTCTCTGGAAACTCGAAGGCTGGAAACATGTGCCGGAAGCTTTGGGAGGCGTTTGGCGCCTTTTGCGGCGGTTCGGGGGAGGGCACTCTTGTCTTGGTATCGCTTGATGGATGGGATAAGGGGGCGCTTGAGCTATAGTTTGGCCAAGGGTTTACGCTGTTAATTGATTAGTTTCAAAATGCCGACGTTTAGAGTGATCTTGCTTTCCATTCGAAATGTCACTGCAGGTAGCGGACCTCGAAACTTAGCTTCGGCTGTTTCGCCTTGCAAGGTTCTAATCTCGACTGCTTGGCGTCATTGTTCGTGGCCCCTGATTCCACCAAACAGAAACCTTCACGATCCCGGGTAAAGGAACCACTTCCAATCTACTCAGAGGAGATTATTTGGACCTGGCGCATTAATAATTATGGGGTTGAAATTCTCCGCCTCATGTCCGTGACGCTCCTGCTACCTTGTCATTTCTCATTTCATCCAGTGGAAAAGTTTCAACCATCATCATGATTTATCTCAACCACCGCTTGGCATGGATTGTCTACTAGAGCGAGTGTAATTCCACACTTTCACACGCCTATAAAAGTCACCTAAACCAACGTGGACCCGTCTGCGAAAACATCTGCCTCTGCGAATTTTTTATCTCAATTAGGCTCAATTCTACATCAAGCACATTCCACTTCTTCTCTTGTTCTTGATAAGTCTGTGTCTTGCTGCCAGCAGGACCTCCGCGCCCCCTGGCGCACTCGACGTGAGCAAGTCCGCCACCGGCCAGGGCTAGCTACTACGGCTGCGCGTTCCGCAGCTACCAAGCAGGCGGGGAGCACGGAAAAAGGTGGCACACCAACTCTAGAACAAGGCCGTCTCATGTGTATGTATATACATACACCTGTCTGCCACTGCTTGGGGGGCCCCCGGGGGCGCTTTAACGTGTTTTCCAGGAATCCAAAGAAGATTAGAAGCTCTTTGCTTTTGCTTTTGGGCGACGTGGGAAAAACTTTATTGAAAGCACTTCATGCAGTGGCAGACAGGTGTATGTACACGCGGGCAGAGTAGGTACTTGATGAGTGTGCCACCCTTTGTTTCCTTTTTTTTTTTTTTTTTTTTTTTGGCATGCCCAGCGTGCCCGAGACCACCGCTCCTGTCCTTAAACGGGGTTCCAGCTCTTCGCGGAATGCCTGATCCAGGGCGCTACGGACTTCGTCTTCGGCCAGCACGCGTCCAGTTGGTTCGAGCAGTGCGATATCAGTGGGGATAGAGACGGTGCTGGTGAGTGGGTATGCGGGGGAGAGGTGGTTTGGGGGCTTTGGGGAAGGAAGGGAAGTGTGAAGGTTTGTCCGAATCTGGTCCATCCACGCAAGACTCCACGAAATGTCGACAACGCAGTGAAGAGCTGAGTAAAAAGCGACCTGGCTTCTGAAACGCTGCTGCCTAGTACGCAGCAGTCTCTGGATTCTAGGACGGGTATATAAGAGCCACCTCCCCCCCTCTCAACACGATCTTCTGTTCCATGAACAGGTGGATGCTGTGGTCCACACCAGATCGACCCCAGTGCAAGGCTAGGACTGGAGCTGGACTCGAGTCTGGAAACTAGGGGACTGGGTAAGTCTTCGTCTTTTGCTCTATTATCTAACCTGCTCGAGAGCTATTAACACGTCAGGCTTGTGCAAAGAGGTAAGGTTGAATTTCCTGGCCACAGGATGGTGAAATCCGACTCTGCGCCTCTACGTGGTGCCATCTAGGAACCTTCCTCTTTGTAGGGAGAGCTAGAGCAGAGAGGTCCTCTTTCTTAGGCTTGTCACCCCCAAAGATTGAGGCCGCCACGACGCCTGCAAAGCGCTTTCTACACCACGGTCGTTGGCACGCCGACAATGCCTTCGACGACAACGAATTGGCAGCATCCCCACGAGCCGGCTTATACATCACGATGTCTGATCCGCGTCGCCATTAATATCCGTCACCATATAAGGGACTGAGGGCAGGAGAATAGGGCATGGCTATATGTGTATTTACCTTAATTAGGCTTACATCAAGGAAGAATAATATATTGTCTATAGTAGATCTACATAATAGGTATAATTATTTTTAGTTCTGTTATATGTACTTAGATAGAAGGTTATGCAGTAGGGATAATAATGTATAGTGGAATAGATCTATCTCTCTTTTAGGGGAAGGATAAACGCACACCCCCTTTTTAGTAGTCGCACACCCCCCTCTTAGTAAATGCACAACCCCCTTCCCGTCTTATCTTCTAATTGGCTGGAGCGGCGCGGAGCTTTGCCCGGAGCTCTATTCTCACGTGCATCTGCACATGTACTCATATCCACAGTTGCGCGTACTATATACGGCATCACGTACACCATTACATACGCCTAAGTGAATTAGGAAGGATACAGGTGCGGACGCACGTGAGAGTAGAGCTCCGGACGAAGCTCCACGCCACGCCGCTCCAGCCGCTCCAGCCAATTAGAAGACTAGACGAGAGGGTGTGTGGATAAACAAAAGGGGATGTCTGGTTAGTTGCCCCTAAGCCTATAACTTGCGGCTGCCCGAGCAACGGCCTTCTTAAAACCCCTCTTTCACAACAACTAGACCTTCCATCCTTATGCTTTCATTCCTTCAACTCAATCGTCTCTCAAGCAAATAAACGAAGCTACCTCGCTGGGCTTACTCAAGTATACGGGATTATTGTGTAACAATTCCTTGCCAACGGTACAGATTCTATCGCCTACCTTGGCATCAACAATCCGACAAGACAAGATGGCCTCCACCCAGATGGACCCCATCGAGGAGCATGCCGGCATCATTGCTCAACAGTTTCTTGCCAATGGAACGGATTCTATTGCCTACCTCGGTGTTGGCGGCAACTTCGGTTGACACTCCCTTCCTCCCTAGTGGCTTACTCAGCACCTTGTGTATAGTTATCTTCTCTCTTGCACGGCTAGTTAGTTGCCTCTTACATCAATACCACACTCTTGCCTGCCGCCCACTTGACTCTTGCATCGGCATCAACGGTTCGACAAGCTTCGATCTCGAAGCCCATCGCAAGGTCATCGCGCGCATTGAGCAACTTTTCCTGTCGTCGGTGAGGTCTGGGTTCATCGCCACCGAGGGATAATGGAGTTTCCAGCTCACTGCGTCGTCACTCACCGCGTCGTTATCGTTCGCATCGAGCAGCTTTTTAACTCTTCGGTGAAGTCCGAGACGGGAGCACGAAGGACGTTAATGGTAGCGGGAGGGCGATTGCGGTCGGATGTGATTACTTGGAGCGGAAAAATATACTTTTGTAGAACAGAGCTGGCAGGTTTGTGTTCAGCCACAGCTCGCCTCGCGCATTCAACTCTTCCACCTCGTCACTTTCAATCCTTCACCTCTCCCGAACCACTGCTGGCCAACTCAATGTCACGAGATCGGCTTCAATACTGGCGCTCCAAGGACCGCTGCCACTTCAGGACAAGACCGCTGCTACTTTTGCACAAGAAAGCTACCAGCGCAGGACAATAGCTACTCAAGGCAACGCAACGGTGTCTGCCGCAACCTCTGGCATGAAGAGGAAGGCTCCCGAAAACCAGACCACCAACCAGCTCTCAAATAAGCGCCCGAGGATAGAGGATAGAGGATAGAGCTCCCGCCTAAAAACTGTCACGTGACCAATATCTCCCGCTGAACACAGTGCGATCTCGATGTGTTCCTAGCGACTCACGTATCCAGGTATGGACCCTGCAACGACAAACCTTGGAACCCCTGGAGATAATGCCAAGATTATTCTCGCCACCTGCCTCATCAGGTTAGGCCCATGCTATTGACTACCCTGCAGGTGTCAAAGACCTCCCGACGTCGGCATGCTTTATCAGCATGTCCTCGCAGTAACATGAAACGCAATCGATTCAGCTTCATAGGTACAACTCGTCTGTTCAACATGTGGAACAAGGGAACAGTTCTGCCTTCTCAGGCTGTGTCGCGGCCACAGCGTCCTACCTCTCCAGCACTCCGAATGGTCTTCGCAGCCACCACTGTCACCGTCATATGGCTGGCTTTGCAATTCTTCTACTCCATCACATCATGGGCTCCATGGAGTTGGAGTCGTGAATCGTTCGCGAAAGTCCAATGCCCCCAAGTCCCACCCATGTTCCCCGGCGGTAGTAGCGAAGAGCTCTTGGCGATGGACGATTTTCTCCAAAGCGCCAAATTTCGCAATGAATCTATCGGGAGGTTGGCTGGAGCTGTCAGAATACCCACAATGTCTTTCGATGATCTCGGACCAATTGGCGAAGACAAGAGATGGGAGGTATTCTACGATTTCGAAGCTTACCTCAAAGGGGCATTTCCGCTCCTTCACAAGAGCTTGACTCTCGAGAAGGTCAACACACATGGTCTCATTTATACGTGGAAAGGATCCGACATAACTCTCAAGCCCACCTTGTTGATGGCACATCAAGATGTCGTGCCGGTTCCTGAATCCACAATTACTCAATGGACACACCCCCCTTTTTCCGGATTCTACGATGGGAAGTACGTGTGGGGTAGGGGATCATCAGATTGCAAGAATCAGCTCATAGCGGTCATGGAGGCAGTCGAACTTCTGATAGAGGCAGGGTTTGAACCAACGAGGACGGTAATCCTTTCCTTTGGATTTGACGAAGAGGCTTCGGGCACGCAAGGCGCGGGATACCTCGCGCCGTACTTGTTTGCTAAGTATGGCAAGGACGCTATGGCTGTTGCTGTTGACGAAGGAGCAGGACTGGGGTCTATTTGGGGCACCAACTTTGCCTTGCCTGGTGTGGCAGAGAAAGGGTATATTGACGTTGATATCATCCTACGGATGCCGGGAGGCCATAGTTCAATCCCACCTGATCACAACGGAATCGGCATCATGAGCGAGCTCATCACACTTATCGAGGCAAACCCGTATGAGCCACATCTCCACAGCGATAATCCCTATCTCAACTTGATGCACTGTGGCGCCGAACACAGCCCAGAATTTCCCCCGAAATTAAAGAAGCTGTTATCAAAACATTCCGATGGGTATGTTTGGCGTTGAAGAATCTCAATAGTCCATTGCTAATGCAAGATCCAGGGCTAAATCCTGCTTGAAGAAAGACCGTCTAGCCCTGGAAGCCTCAAAAGCCGGCAGACCGATTAAGTATTTGATGACTACGTCGGTCGCGGTAGATGTGATTCAGGGTGGTGTCAAAGTGAATGCCTTGCCAGAACGGATATCGGCGACGATCAACCACCGAATCAACGTTGGAGAACATCCGTCTGATGTCAAAAAAAAGCTCACTCGATTGGCGTCCAGCATTGCAGATAAATATAACCTAACTTTGCATGCGTTTGAAGGAGACGAAACGCCTTCATCTCTTACTCTGTTGGCGAGGAACACGACGCTGGAACCGGCTCCAGTGACTCCAACCGACGTCAAGGAAGACACGCCGTACAAAATTCTATCCGGAACGACGAGAGCACTATACGGCGCAGACGTCTTGGTCGCACCCGGTATTATGACAGGCAATACTGACACGAGATACTATTGGGACCTGACTTCCCACATTTTCAGATACGCAGTTGGATGGGACTCCGATGACGAAGCCGGCCTTGGGAATATCCACACGGTCAATGAAAGAGCGTCAGTAAAGGCACATGTTGCGGCTGTCAGGTGGTTTAGCTTTTTCATTCGCAATATGGACGAGGCTAAGCTGGCTTAATGCGGGAGTCTACTTCGTCTAAACTGGGAAATTCTCTCAACGCACAATCTCTTTTCCGATTCTGTGGCTGATTTTTGGCTACCACTCAGAGAGCAGCAAAATCTAGTAATAACGAAGTCCACCGACGTGGAAACTGAATACCAACAGGACACAGAATCCAGGATGCATTTCGCAAGTTGGCATCAGGATCCGGAGAGCTTACTGTGGACCCTACATTTGTACGTAACTTACAGTACGTGCAGCAAAAGTTTGGACCTTCTCCAGACGGCAGAGATCTACTCGTGTGGGATGGTGTTTTCTCGCTCTTACATAAAGCGGACCTTGCCTGCAACGTCACTGGCTCGCCAAACACCACTCGCCACCACGTCTTCCAAGGTTCCCGCACCACCAAGGAAGGGCCGCTTGGCAGGCGTTCCGCCGGTTCGCATATATCGCACGATTGCCACCATTTCTTCTTCGCAAATTCTTCACACTACATCATCTTTAACATTTTACCAGCCTTCTTCCTGCAGTAGTTTGCACCCCTTTCTAAGTCAACACGTCCAACACGCATCCTCGCAAAGCATCTCATCCGCTTGCTCTCGTGAATCAGGTGACTCAAATCCCGCTGGCAATATCCCGCGCGACCTGTGACGAATGACAAGACGAATCAAACCGCGAACAAACGAGCAGCCTATTGCAGTATTGTTCGACCTTGCGACAACCATCTCCACGGCCTCGAACGCCCACAGCAATCTCAACTCCCGTATCCACCGTGGCACTGCTCACTTGATACAACATTAATACGACAACCCTTGCGCCAAAATGCCGACCTTGAATCCGTTCAAGAAACATGACGTTTTCGAGTTTCCCGGCGTCCTGATTCCAATGCAGCAAGCTCACCATCGCGCATCCATCACGTCCAACGGATCTGAAAAGGCCGAGAGCAGCGACAGCACTGGTGACTATGACATTCACGGACTGACCCTGAAGAGCCTTAGAGCTGAAGTCGAAGCGGATCTATCGACTGCTGGACTCAATTCAGCCTACGATCGTACGTCCCGTGACCCAAACAGCATTCATCCGCAATGATCGATAACTCCTTGAAATATTGCGGAACTAGCTCTAACGTCGGCAGGCAAATCGAAGGTCATTAACAAAGCAATTCAAGATATCGGAATGGGTCGCTATCAATGGGAACTATTTGTTCTCTGTGGCTTTGGCTGGTTGACTGATAAGTATGCTCTACGTTCCGCCCATGTAAACACTCCTGACTAGTTCATAGTCTCTGGCTACAGGTAGTTTGTGCGCTTGCGAGGCGTTGTTAACGATACTTATCAAGTAATGTAGGGCGTGGCACTCACACTTCCTCAACTCGCTCTCGAGTTTGGAGTGAGCAGTAGTGAGATCAGATATACGACTCTAGCCCTGTTCCTCGGCCTCTGCCTTGGCGCGAGCTTCTGGGGAATCGCTTCCGACATCATTGGTCGTCGTCTTGCTTTCAACACCACCTTGTTTCTTGCCGGAGTTTTTGGATTGGCTGCCGGCGGGGGCCCCGACTGGGTTGGAACCGCTGCTCTATTCGCATGCTTAGGGCTAGGTGTTGGAGGCAACCTTCCGGTTGATGGGGCACTATTCCTGGAGTTCCTTCCCTTCGCTTCTGGGAATCTCCTCACTTTGCTTTCTGTTTGGTGGCCGGTTGGTCAACTGATTGCATCTTTGAGTATGTATCCTGAATTTTCCTTTCCGTATTCACGTTGCTGACCTATCGTGAAAGTTGCCTGGGGATTTATCCCAAACTTTTCATGCCCGGCCACGACACCATCTGGCGACACTACCCCTACTTGCGCAGCTACCGGAGGAGCCCAGCCCTGTTGTTCCCGAGAAAATAATTGGGGATGGCGATACTTTGTCCTGACCCTCGGAGCATTGACCGTCCTCATGTTCATCTGTCGATTCTTCTTTTTTCATCTCTTCGAGTCTCCAAAGTTTCTACTTTCCAGAGGCCGCCAAGCTGAGGCCGTCGCGGTGGTACATGGGATCGCCCACCACAATAAGTCTCAAACATGGCTTACCGAACAGATCCTGAACGACATCGGTGGAGATCCAGAGGTTGTCACTGACATGAAACTCAGCACTATCGATATCGTCAAACGCTCTCTCGGCAAATTCTCTACTCAAAGAATCGGCCCTCTCTTCAGTAGTAAAAGGCTAGGAATTACTACGGTCCTCATCTGGTTCCAATGGACAACTATCGGAATGGCCTACCCTCTCTTCAATGCTTTTTTGCCCCAATATCTCGCCAATTCAGGAGGCGATCAACCTACCGCCACCGCAATTGTCTATCGCAACTACGCCATCACATCTATTGTCGGCGTTCCTGGCAGCATCATGGCTTGCTATACCGTCGACATTAAGCACATCGGCCGCAAAGGTACTATGGCTATCGCAACTGTGATCACAGGCGTCTTCATCTTCCTCTTCACAGTTTCTAGCGATCCGAATTTTCAACTCGCTTTTACGTGCCTCGAGGCTTTCTTTCAAAATATCATGTACGGCGTGCTGTATGCATACACCCCTGAGGTCTTCCCAGCACCGAACCGTGGGACCGGGACAGGAATATCGAGCTTTTTGAATCGCATTGCAGGTTTATGCGCTCCTCTCGTAGCGATCAATGCTGGAAGTTCGAACCCCAAAGCACCTATCTATGCATCGGGGGGCTTGTTCATTGCAGCATTTATCAGTATGCTTTTGCTACCGATTGAGACAAGAGGCAAACAGAGTCTGTAATTGGGTTATACAAGAGCGGTACAGTACTAGGCCATCAGTTTGAGCGCACGGTTGTATCACTGCTCTAGCTCCGCTCCACCTATAGTCAAGCAAGTATATTCCATTACTACTACAAGCGAAGGCAGATGAAGGTGATAGACATGTGGCCGGGACGATAAGATATTATTAAACAAATATTACTCCTAAAAAAGACTGATGTCAGATTGTTAGATAGTTCTTAAATTGCGGTTGCCCGACCAATGGTCTTCTAATTCTTTATACCCTCATACTTACAACCACTAACATCTCCTTCTTCCATCTTGCTGCTTCCATCTTGCTGCTTCCATGTCCTAAAATTATTACTATTCAAGTCAATAAATTAGGTGCCGTCCACCGCAGCTACCTAGCTAGACCTGGTTAATTATCGCGTAACAATTCCTCCCAAATAGAATGGATTCTGTCGCCTACTTCGGCATCAATAATCCGACAAGCTTTGATCTCGAATGTCACGGAGTAGCGATGAGGGCTACGGCAGGCGCGCAGCATCTCTTGTGTAGAGCCTCACCTTCCTTTATGTCTCTTTCTTTCTCCTCTACATCATTATCTAATACATTACCTACACGGCATATATCTCGCTAAATAAGAGCAGAGGCAAACACCTGCGCCGCCTAGGCTGCGCTGTCCTCAGTCCCGACTACACGCACTCACCGCGCACACCACCACCACCAGCAACGCGCAGTACCAGGGCCTCCAACGTATACCAACATTTACGCTTTCCGTCTAATAAGCGTCCTTAACCATGGCATGTCCAAGTCCACCACCGGCCAAAGGTCGACCAGTGGAGCTATTGGAATAGCTGGCCAGCGTCCGCCTCGCAGAGCCGATGGTGGTCTAGTAGGCCAAGAAGACGGCGAACTCGCATCCCATGAATGGTCTGATGATTTGCTCCACGATGCAGAATCCCCCAAAACGCGATTGAGAGCTAGAGAACGTGGGTCGTGAAAGCGGTTAGCCCGAAAGACTCGAACGTTAGGAACCCAGCGCGGGCGAGCTTGGGGTAGCCTTTCTCTTTAGGCTACGAGTCACGGATATGTTGTTGCAAGTCCTAAAGATCTGGTGCAGCCCAGGCGGCGTGGGCGTTCGCCTCAGCTCGGATCTGGCGGTTCAACTTTGGTACCTCGATGCGACCATTAGTCGTAGCCGAGCCCAGAGTTGCTATGAAAGCGTCCAGGTCCGTCTCGGTGACTTCAAGCCCTGTCTTCAAGCGCTTATCGGAGTCAAGCACGGCTATAGCTGGAGGGGCCTCGAGTTACTATCATTCCCAACAAGGCCTTGGAAACCACCCTCGATCGTGACAAACTCCAGGAACCCATTGAGCTGGGACACGATGACGAGTTCCAACCGCTGAGTTGGCCCGATAACAAAAGCGACAGCGACGATAGCCAGATGAGGGACACCGATAGGGACTATGAGGCCCCCCTGAAGGAGGAGAAGCGCTTAGGAGGGAAGGAGTACAGCAGCGGAAAGATCGCCACGAAGAAGACGACAGAACCAATTGGTCCTATGGACATCTCCGACACGAACGATGAAGAACAGCTTGGAAGCGTTCTGGTCATCATCGGCTTTTCCCTTCAGGGCTGAGGTTCAGGGCTGAGGTTGTGGTAGACATGGCCGCATTGGATTGGGCCACCATGGTGAACTCTTCACCCAAAGTACAGCCCCTTTGCGCATCCTGTGGCTAGTGTATCTCGTAGGTGCTGCGTAACAAAGGCTGCTGAATGATGTTCCTGCCACGGCTTCCTCCAAACCCTCTGTACTAGGACCGCTGTATTGAGTACTGTCAAGCGTCGGCGTGTCTTCAAACTGTGGGACCGGTGCGAACGGTGTGCTAAGCAGGGGGTGTGTTGTATTCTTGCCAGCACGTCGTGACAATGTTTCACGACGTCTTTCGCAGACCCGAAGTGGCTGTGGTCTTTTGAGTGCTAGCTGCGGCAGCGAGGTCTGGGGCGAACCCGATGTCGTGACAATGTTTGACCGGGTCTTTCGCAGGCTATGTTGTTGTGAAGGCCTTTTGGCCCGAAAGACTCGCGAGTTGGGAAGTTCGTTCGTGCGAGCATGGGTTTTCCCTCAGGGTTATACACGATCAACCATTCAAACTTAGCGAAAGTATGTTGTTGTGAAGGCCTTCGACCTGAAAGACTCGCGCGTTGGGAAACTCGTTCGTGCGAGCATGGGCTTTCGGGGTCATACATGAGCGGCCATCCAAACTTAGCGAAATACTCGCTCGGGGTTGTGATTCCCATAAGAGGGCATGCGATGGCCAGGAAGCCTTTGGTGGCACGGGGGCGTTGGCCTCTGCGCGGTTGAGTTTTGGTACCTCGACTCGCACCAACGCGCGAGTCTTTCGGGCCAAAAGCATTCGCGTCAAACATTGTGACCATGGTAAACTCTTGACCTAAAGTGGCTACGGTCATTTAAGCGCCGGCTGCGGTCATGTCTGGAGCGAGCCCAATCTTATGACAATACTTCACGAGGTCTTTCGCAGAATATGTTATCGTGAACGCCTTCAGTCCGAAAGACTGTAGTCGCGGTGGCTGATGAAGCTGTCTGCGAAACTGTCTTTAGCGACGACGCCTCCGCTGCTTTGGCCGTTGGCTGTGTGACTTGCTTGGACCGCCTGGTGGGAGAACCGTAGTCACGACGTCTTCTCTTCTTCTCGACGGTGATTTGGGGTGATGGCTTGGGCTTTAGCGATGGGGGACTAGAGTCGTCAGGGCAGAGTCCATACTGCGGCACGTTGTCTTAAACGTCGTTGCCGCATATGTTGTCGCCGTCATCAGGGCAAACTGCGGGATGTTGTCCTGTCTTCAAGGGAAGCTTTCTGGTCATCCGTGGGTTTCCTCTTCAGGCCAGAGATCGTTTGTTGTAGCCAGGCCCAGAGTTGCTATGAAAGCGTCCAGGTCCGTCTCAGTGACTTCGAGCCCTCTCTTCAAGCGCTTATCGGAAGCGTTCTGGTCATCCGTGGCTTTCCTCTTCAGACCAGAGGTCGTTTGTTGTAGCCGGGCCCAGAGTTGCTACGAAGGCGTCCAGGTCCTTCTCAGTGACATCGAGATCTGTCCTGCTGTCTTCAATCGCTTATCGGAAGCGTTCTGATCGTCATCGGCTTTCCGCTTTAGGCCTGAGGTCGTAGTAGACATCGTCTTATTGGACTGGGCTACTATGGTGAACTCTTGACTAAATGTAGCTGTAGACTTCTGAGTGCTGTTTCACGAGGTCTTTCGCAGAAAATGTCGTCGTGAACGCTTTCGGCTAGAAAGAGACTCGAGCGTTTAGAAGCTGCAAGCGAGCTAGGGCTTACCCTCCGGGTGGATTGGCGTTGAGTGAGGCGATGCTGAGCGACAGAGAGTGCCGGCGGTGAGTGAGAAATCTCCACGCCCTGCTTCAACAAACCCGTGAGGTGTCTGGCCTAACCTCTGGCCTGAAGAGAGAGGCTGATTTCGACATAAGTGAAATTATCGGTCGGAAAATACTAGAGGACTTGCTTCAAGGAAAGAAAGGGTGGAAATGAAGTCAATCGAGGACACAAAAAGCAGGTGCAGTGGTGGCGCTGGACTGGGTCATTGGTCAACAAGTACAATCTGAGCCTCGAAGAGTTGGTTACTTCAAGCAGTGACAACTGGCAAGCAAGTGTATAAAAACCTACAACTTGTCACTGCAGCGGTCGGCCGCCTTCTGCTGATCCTGTAACTGTCCGAGCAAGGTTGGCTAAGGCGAAGTCCTTCTAGTTCTCCGCCCACTCTTTTCCCGAGCTCTAAAGAGCCTTAACCTTGGAGCTCACCGCGTTGTCATCGCTTGTATCGAGAAGCTCTCTAACTCCCCATTAAGCTACCTTTGTAGAGTTAATTGCTGCTAAGGTATACTGGAGCTTCCAACTCTCCACCCAATGTTTCCCGAGCAGGGAGCAATAGACGGCATGTCCAAGTCCGCCACGCCAAGAATCAAACCAGTAGGAATCAAACCAGTAGGTAGTTGTCAGAATAGTTGGCGAAAGCCCGCCATGCCAAAAACAAACCCGGTAAAGTTATCAAGAAAGTTAGTAGCGCCCACCTTCTAGAGCGATGCGGTAAGACAAATCCGATCCGGCGTCCACGTGGCACGGGGTGAGTGGTAGTTCCGACTCTCAGGCGACTTTTCTTATAAAAATTTCACGTTCAAGTAGCCTTGTTGCCCAGCGGTTTGTTGCTATTGGCCTCGAATCTTTCGTGTTCTTCATTATCACCAATCTGCTGGAAATAATCTGGAGGCCTTCTGCAGCCGCTTGCCTGAATGCTGATTAGCGGCCTAGTTATGGGTACCTTCGTAGTTACTAGCGTTTCTCTTCAGGTTAGAGGTTGCGCCAGACACGGTTAGGACTCGTCCAAAGTCTTACACTTCGAGTGCTGGGGTGTACTTGCTGGCTAGTTGGTTTAAATAATATAATGACTTAGCCCAGCGCACACTATTGCCTTTATTTTTTAAGTCGTCACTACTGCCCTTGCTCTTCGTGTTGTTGATTAACTCCCCTTTTCCATAACTTTCGTTCCTTGAAGCGAAGTTTTCTAATATCTTCAACTGTAGTCTGCAATACATGTCACTGGAAGCGGTCTTACAGGGGCTGTTAGGCACCGACCGGCCCACAATTCAGCTCGATAGCGATGGGTCGATTCGCCGAAATGCGTCTGGCGTATGTTTCCAAGGTCAAGATAGCGCGCCAAGCGATGTGTCTCACTGCATTGAAAGTTTCCACCTAGTTCTAAAGCTTGAATCAGCATCACTAATGATACTCACCCGCTCAGCCTCACCTCACTTTTCGCCCAATCATAGAAGAGATCAGACACCAATACGTGGAGAACTCGTCTTCCAACCTGGTGGCTGCCTAAGAAATGCTAGCAAAGCGCTCGAGGACGCGATTGAATATCAGTGAGACAGAAAACTTCAACACCGACGCTTCCTAGCCAGCTCTCTAGGTCCTGCAGCTACGATTAACGATGACAATATTGTGTCTCTGGATGACTTATAATCGCGGATAGCAGCGGTGGCAAATGCCGAACGGCGAAGATCCAATTCGAGAAGTGAATCGTCGGATCAGAGCGGACATGAGAGCTACCTAGGCAGCGTCAGATCTGGTATCAATCTTCGGGCCCTTCAGCTTCAGCCAATAAGTAGAGCACTTTAGTCATGGCTAGAGCCTTAGAAGCAGTTCTAAACTTGAACCGCCAGATTAAAGAACTTAGATCGATCACGTGGTAATGACCGATGATATCCCTCGCGGAAAAAGCGTTGGTGAAGGAGTGGCGCGGCCCGGATCAAGATGGGACCTCTACAGGGAGGTATCAAGCTCTAAGGCACTTGGTGATTGCGGGCGGGAGGCTTGGCTTGGAGAAAGTAGATTGAATTGAGAATGAGGTTGTATTGTTCATTAAATAGTTGTATAATGTATATATAGCTTCGTAGTAAGGAGTGTGGCATAGCAAATTCAAAAGGGTTGTACTTTAGAGAGAGTACGTAGAATTAGTGGGAAAGCAGCTGTTTGTAGTTATGTGGAAGGAGAACAGGTGTTGACGTTGTAGATGACGGAGTTCATAACGATGAGGCTAAAGCACGAGTGAGGCTAGATGAGGCTGGGAATGAGGCTGTAAATACAAGCCAGCAATCACTTTGACGCCTAGTGAAGGGAGTGAGCCAACGGAAGGAGGTAGGAGGGTATATTTTGCAACGCCCCCTTAAATGAGTCGCTTGGTATCGCTTACGAGAGAGGCATTGCAAGCTGTTCAACTCGTATATGGATTGGGATTAGACCTCTATTCACTTGGCACAGGCCTCTACCCACTCGGTCCGGAGTGGAGACCTAGTAGTGAGAAGTGATTCTAGACTGACCGTGACACTGATAAAACTGCTGAGCTGACAAGGTCAACCTACTCCTAAGTACAGCATCTCTCCGCGTTTACTAACCTAGAGCGGATTCAATGCTACAGGCGAGGTTGGTGGAATGAGAGTGCAGGAGGCTCTTTCCCATCTAGGCTAAGTCTATCCCGCCAAAGCAGGTTAGTTTGATCAGACGATTGTAGAGGCCGTTAAGTGGAGAGCAACTTGATCGTACAGCCACTTGGAGTCACGTGTAGCGTATGTAGCCCAGCATTGCCAGTTCCTGGTTGACTGTTAGTGCTTTGCGAAGATATTGATTGACAGGCCGTAAAGGAGGCTAGATGATATAGCCACCGCTCAGCAGCCGCCGCCGCCGCCATCACCACCAAACCCTCCTCACATCAATCCACCGAGTGCCATCCCACCCATAAGCCCCCCACCAAGCGCCAACGGCATGCCATACCCACCGCCGTAGCCAGCGCCATATGGCCTCCCATACGGTGCCACCGGACGCATATACCTCCCGGGCGGCGCATACATACCCGACCCATACGGATTGTAGCCATATCCTCTCCCGCCGTAGAGTCCCGAGCCTCCCCTGTACGCCGGGGGCTCAATATAAACGTCCTTGCCCTCGCGATCCTGGCCCAGCAACTGCGGCTGCCCCGTCTGCACAGCCTTGAGCATGGCAGCGCGGTACTTCATGTGGCGGGCGTAGAGCTGGCGTTCCTGCTCTGCGCGGCGTGCACGTGCCTGCTCGCGCTCTTCGTGGGTAGAGCTTGTGAGTTTGTCCTTGAGCTTGCGACCTAGCGAGCGATCCTTTCCGGTTTTCTTGTCGTCGGTGGGTCTGGGTGGGAGCTCTGCATGGGTGCTGGAGCTCGTGCGTGGCGAGTGTCCGCCCTCCTCGTCCGTGTGTTCGGCCATAAGATCTGGGACGCTCGCTCGATGTCGGCCTTCGCTTTCTGCCTCGATGCGCTCGCGTTCTGCACTGGGCAGGCTGCGGAGGTACTCTTCGTCGTCGTAAGGATGGGTCCAGATGCTGCGCGGAGGGTCTTGGTTGGTGTCGACGAAGAATTGATGCTCGTTCTCCGGATCGAAGGTTCGCAGCCAGCCCTTGGGCAAGGGCCGCGCCTCGTCCTCCATGCTTCGACGGTGTTCGGCTGGGATGTCATTGCGAGCTGGGACAGTAAGACGGCTGGTAGGTTGTGATGTAGAGGCAGAGGCGGAGCCGATAACTTGGGAGTAAGGTGGCGGAGCTTCAGAGGGTATTGAGTTGTCTGCCATAGTGTCGGGGTGTTTGGATAGTGAAATAGGGGCTTAAGTGTTGTGAATACGTGTCGTGGAGGAGTCTGGTCCGAAAAGGTAGCAAGAATAAGGTTGGAAGTATAGAAGTACCTATGACGCGTGATGCGCACAAAGCTGGCGCCACAGTCGAGGTCGGCAAATCCCGGTCTGCACCGCCACGCTCGGCGCCGCCACACACCAAATCCTGACCTCATATCGAGACCATAAAGGACGGTATTCTGGACATTCACGGTCGACGTCTCGAATCATGGCCCCAGCAACCTCAGAGCCCCTTTCCTATACATGAACTTGCCCTGCTTCTACTACGTGAGGCTATACGTAAGGCTATACAAATTGGCATAGCTATGCAGCCTCTCCGTTTTACGGCGCATCCTTTCCAATTCGTGCAGCCGTATATATAACCTTACGTACAGCCTCATGTACGGCTATATAGCCTTTCCGATTTGTATAGCCTTATATACGGGCTCGCGTACAAGCTGTATATACGGCTGCACAAATCGGAAAGTATGCGCTGTAAAACGGAGAGGCTGCCATGCCAATTTGTATAGCCTTATATATAGCCTCACGTACAAGCTCACGTACGAGCTCACATACGAGCTCACATACGAGCTCACGTACAAGCTCAGTACGAGCTCACGTACGGCTGTATATACAGCTGCACAAATCAGATAGGTGTCGCTGGAGGCTATGTTGTACATAGCCGCATTTGCAGAGAGCATTCGGAATTAGTGAGCAAGTTAAGCGAGCGAATCGGAGGCTACTCCGTGGTGACTCCCCTATAATAAAGAGCTCCAAATTCAAAATGTAGGTCATCGCAAGAGGCGTAGAGGATTGAGGTTGTGGCGGTTGTTGCCACTCACTAGCCATAGTTGCCGGATTTAGTTCCCGTAGTGGGCTGCTTCAGACCCTCATCTGCTAAGCTTCCGCCAGAACAATATTCATTCAGGCTTCACTCCATCTAAGAACCACGGTGCAAATGTCTCCTCCACCCACTTAAATAGAACCCTCAGCACCTCCAAGATAGTATAACACCCAATAATATCGGCCGTAGTGCCGATATCCACAGCATCAATGAGTTGAATCTCATGCGCTGAGTCGCTGGCAAGGTACAACTTCCAGCGGGCGTCGGTAATCAAGAGCAGAGGGAGCGTCATAGCCACGGGATCCTGGATAAGCTGGCGCAGGCGGTTGAAGTAGGCCATTGCCCAGACGGAGAGCTGCACCTCGCCGTTCTCACTGCCGCCGTCAGGGGAATTTGTCTCGATGCTGAGAACAACGGGTTCGTAGCAGAGCGGGGAGTACTCGGAGGGGTTGCTGGTGCGCTGAAGTTTGCGGGGAGAAGCAGCAAGGCGGTTGATGACGTGGGCCGTAGGGATTAGAGGAGGACCAAGGGTAACGGCAAAGTCGATCATCTTGCCCTTCAAAAGCTCGCCGTATTCGTTGCCCGGCACAAGCTCCTTAATGACCCGCGCAGTGGTGATGTTGTAGTACGAGAAGCCAGGGCAACCAAGCACGGCTTGCTTCAGCATCTGGCTGTGCACAAGTTCGTTCCAGCTCGGTTCGTGGAGGTGCTTCGTTTTGCACGCCGAAGTCTCGTTCCGAATCTCCCGCATGGCTTTGAATTCGTCCTTTAATTGTTCGTGGGTCTTGCCATTCGGTGTCTTTGCCACGTAGTCCTCCAGTTCGTCAAGGTCACCATTGGCGTCCTGTTTCACCTCAGTCTGCTGAATTGTTAGCTAGCAGGCTGTAAGAGGTGTGCTTCGGAGTTGTACCTCGATGCCTAGCGGAATAACGCCCTTCGACCGCCGAGACAGCGCTTGAATCGCCTTGTACAATGTTCTCACGTCCTGCGGGGCGTCTGTGCTTAATGTCGCCATCTTAGGGACCACAGGCTTCTTGGCGATTTGAAGAGCGACCATGCGGCAGATTGGGCTGCGCGACCGGTTCGAGGTTGTTGATTCGTGGGTCGACTCAACCTCGGCGTCCTCGGCATCCTCACCGTCCTCATCTGCGTGCTCCTCGGACACGCTGGGCGTCATGACCGGTGCTGGCCTTGTGTGCAGGTCTGGGATTGGCAGCGCTGGAGCAGCTGCGCGCTTCCGACGAGTCGGGCGTGGCGTCGCATTAGGGTCCACGACATGCTGCGTTGAGAGCAAAATAGGTTCCACCGCCGCTATGACATCCTCCACTGCCACCGCCTCCTTCGTTATAATCCGCGCCTTACCCACCATCTTAGTCTGCTTGCTCGACTTCCTCGTTGGCGACGGCGAGTCCTGTGACATTGCGTGCGTTGGTGCGTTGAGTGCTCGCTGTCGCTTTTGATTCGGCGGATCGATCTCGGAGAGCGCAGCGCGTCGTCGTTTCGGCTGTGCGAAGGATGTATATGTGGAGGGAGGCGGAGAGGAGAGGTAGGCCTCGGGTGCGGGGCGCCTTCGAGGCTTCTGCAGGTACGCGGCAGGGATTTCGGGGTTGGGCGGCGGCTCCAAATCGCCGCCGGCAGCGTGGACGTCGGCCAACCATGCGTTTGCGTAGGCCATGGGCGCAACGATGGAAAGGGAGCGGAGCGATGGGTGTGAATGCGTGGGGAGGAATATGCGGGTGGAAAGATGGACAGCGACGGAGGAGGAGTCGTTGTGACGTGCATGCTGCATGCATGGGTTGTTGCGGCAGCTTGTTGCTGGGCCAAGCCACCTTCAGTGATTTCACGGGAGATTCAGTCACGTGACCAGAATATGACAGCGGCTTATTTTTGATTGGTCAGACATGATCACGTGACTGAATCTCCCGTGAAAACACGGTGGTAGCTTACCGAATACAATACGTTAATTTACTTATATATAATAGGGTGGCCAGGATGCTTGCCCGGCCAGCTTGCTTGCCGACTACGTTAATTCTCTTATAACGTACCTTGCGGGTGAGCTGCCCATGCGGGCGAGCTGCCCAGTCCGTGCACCACTAGAAATTCAATAATCTAACCTTAAATAACTCTACAACCACCTAATAAAAAGTTATACAAATTTAATGTATTATTCTTATATATATAAATACTTAGTATATAGAATATAGAGTCTATTCTTATAGTAGTTAGCTAGTAATAAAGGGTAAGGTCTAAAATAGGGGTCTAAATTTAATAATTAGTTAACTACTATAAAAATAGACTTTATATTCTATATACTAAGTATTTATATATATAAGAATAATATATTATATTTGTATAACTTTTTATTAGGTAGTTGTAGAGTTATTTAAGGTTAGATTATTGAATTTCTAGTGGTGCACGGACTGGGCAGCTCGCCCGCATGGGCAGCTCACCCGCAGGGTACGTTAAATTGGAACACTAGCTTACTAAGGTAAGCTACTTCCAACATATCCCACCTGCAACCACTATGAAGTCTCCTGGTCGATCCATTATCCAGCGTTGATCACATGGGCATACCTAATCCATGCTGTGCTTCTGACCGCGAGAGCCGTCAGTCGCGCATTCAAGTCATCCCCTCCGCAAGTCAACCCCCGGCATAGACGCATAGTCAACCATGCAAGTGTTGCGGCGTGACCCCTACCTAGGTACTCTCATGACGATCAACAACCGCATGGATTCCAAGCGGTTTAGACCCCTGGCCTATCACCCTGAGCCATCCCAGTCATCTAATTTGATTGCGAGACTGTGGAAGGATCCAGCCGAGGGAGCGTAGCAAGAAGGATGGGTAGAGATTCCATCATAGCAGTCCCACCTTCCTTTCCAGAAGCCATCATGTAACCTCACAAATGGCGGCAGGCGGCTCTAACAGAGGTTTGTGATAACTTCTCCGCAAGTCGTACGCCTATGCCCTGATGCTGTGGTACCTGCAGTGTCCTGCCACGGTACAAATTCATCGCTGTACCTCTGAGAAGTTTCTATCATCATTCCTACTGAGCTCTGTCTTGTCTTCTTCTTTCGCAGTGACAGCATGAACCTCTCACGATCAGGTCCTCTATTCATTCTCCTTTTCTTTGCGGCCATAGCATATGCTCAGAATTCCACTAATTCAACCTTCGACCCGCTGCAATACGTTGACCAACTAATTGGAACCGCAAATGGGGGCAAGCATATCATCTATAGCTGACTCTCCTCCCAGTCCACTAATTCAGACGATAGGAAACGTATTTGCCGGCGCCACAATTCCATACGGTAATGTCAACCCTCATCGAGCAAACGTCGGGCACTAAGTATGTCAAGGAATGGCCAAAGCAGTCGCAGACGTGGACTCGGAGAGCAACCAAGGCGGTTTCACGTCGGAAGGGGGCAAAGTCACTGGATTCTCCTCTATGCACGATAGCGGCACCGGCGGCAGCCCATCCCTTGGGAACTTCGCTTTTTTCCCCTACGCCAGCTGTGCTGGTGACGATGTCAATGGCTGCACATACCCGAAGAGCGCAAGAAAACTACCCTACATCAATGAATCCGTCAAAGCATCTCCTGGGTATTTCAGCATTCAGTTATCCAGCCGGGTTACCGTCGACATGACTGCCGCGCATCATACCTCGCTGTTTCGATTCAGATTTCCCGAAGGCTCTGATGGATCGCCTCTGGTACTCTTAGATTTGACGGATCTAGCGAACTCTCGTCAAGACAATGCCACTATTCATGTCGATGGAGCTTCTGGCAGAATGACTGGCAGTGCTCGCTTTTTGCCGAGCTTTGGGTCCGGTAACTTCGTGGCATACTTCTGCGCTGACTTTCACGGCGCCAACATTCGTGATAGCGGAATCTTCGCCAACAGCCGTGCGAGCGCAGATGTCAAAGACTTAAAGATCTCTCGTGGTATCAATGGCTTCCCTCTTCCTGGTGGAGGATTTATCCGTTTCGCGTCAGCAAATGAGCCCGTTCTTACTAGACTGGGCCTGAGCTTGATTAACAGTGATAGAGCTTGCAGTCACGCGGAGGCCGAGATCCCCAACTTTGATTTCGATGCTGCCCAAAAGGCCGCAGTAAGCGCTTGGAGAAGCAAATTAAGCCCAATCAAAATATCGACCACGGGTGTTAGCTCTTCTATGCTCACTAACTTCTACAGCGGGATCTACAGGACTATGGTAAATCCACAAGACTACACCGGCGAGAATCCTCTATGGCAGAGTGATGAACCGTACTTCGATTCTTTTTATTGGTTTGTGCTACTAGCCTCCTTTCGTGGACGTTCACTAATCGTTTTGCAGCCTTTGGGACTCTTTCCGGTCCCAGATCCCATTCTTGACCATTTTGGACCCTCAAAGCGTCACTCGGATGATTCGTTCGTTGATCGACACGTACTCCCACCTCGGGTGGCTCCCTGATTGTCGTATGTCGCTATGTAAGGGCTTCACCCAAGGCGGTTCGAACGCCGATGTGGTTCTTGCGGATGCTTTTATCAAAGGCCTCAAAGATGGTATCGACTGGGACACTGGCTACACGGCCGTTGTAAAAGATGCGGAAGTGGAGCCCTACGATTGGTCTAATGAGGGTCGTGGCGGACTCGATAGCTGGAAAGCACTAGGTTACATACCTGTCCAAGACTTTGACTACAAGGTACTCAACACCGTTTTCGTCCCTCATCTGATTCATCTAAATCAGAATATGACAGGGCTTCGGCACCATGACCCGCTCTATATCCCGCACCCTCGAATACAGCTATAACGACTTCGTCATCTCCCAAATCGCCGCCGGTCTCAACAAAACCGCCGACGTCGAAAAGTACAAAGCGCGCAGCTCCAACTGGAAGAACCTCTTCAAAGCCGACCAGACCTCTCTCAAACCCGACGGCACCGACACTGGCTTCGTCGGCTTCTTCCAGCCCAAATACCTCAACGGCACATGGGGCTTCCAAGACCCCCTGAAATGCAGCAACACCGATCTCGACCCCAACAGCATCTGCTCGCTCCAGAACACCGCCGGCGAGACCTTCGAAAGCAGTATCTGGGAATATTCCTTGTACGCTGTCTCGCCCTACCCTCCCCTCCCCCCTTCAACCACTCTAAACTCCTAGCTAACGCTTCAACACCAGCTTCGTCCCCCACGACCAATCCACCCTCATAACCACCCTCTCCGGCCCCGCCGCCTTCGTCCGCCGCCTCGACTACCTCCACAACCAAAACGTCACCTACATTGGCAACGAGCCCGCCTTCCTCACCGTGTTCCAGTACCACTACGCCGCCCGCCCCGCCCTCTCCGCCCTGCGCGCGCACGCCTACATCCCCGCCTCCTTCTCCCCCACCCCCACCGGCCTGCCCGGCAACGACGACAGCGGCGCCATGGGCTCCTTCGTCGCCTTCGCCATGCTGGGCCTGTTTCCGAACCCCGGGCAGGACGTATATCTGATCACGCCGCCTTTTTTCGAGTCTGTCAGTATCACCTCCCCGCTTACGGGGAAGACCGCTACCATAAGAAATGTGAACTTTGATCCGGGGTATGCGGCGGTGTTTGTGCAGAGCGCGACGCTGGATGGGGAGGTTTATACGAAGAGTTGGGTGGATCATAGCTTTTTTACCGAGGGGAAGGAGTTGGTGCTGACGCTGGGGAGGAATGAGAGTACGTGGGGGACGAGGGCGGAGGATTTGCCGCCGAGTTCAGGGAGCTATTGAAGGGTCTGTAAATCTTAATCGGCGCTCACAAATCTATCAGTTGCGTTATTTCCGCCGTTGTTTGTTTATACACATCAGCACCGTACGTATACACAGTTAATCGACAATACCCGATAATGAACCATTACGTCGAGCATAACAGACCTCTGCGCCTAATAGCGGCCCCCCAGTCATTTTTTCTTTCTCGAAGAAGAAGTCTTACAAGACCCCAATGATCTCCCCAACAACACTCATGAACAACCCCTTCGGGTCGAACTTTTCCCTCACCGCCTTGAACCGCTTCAGGTATCCCGGGTCGAGATGCTTCACCGCCTGCCGAAAGACATCTCTCGTGTTCTTGGTCCAATGCGGGCGACAGGGAAACTCGTCGATAAGGGTCTTCGCCAACGCGTGATCTAATCCCCAACGACTCTAGTCAGCTGATTATCCAAGGAAAACAGAGAAGGCCCAAAGTTATTGTAAGAGGGAAGAGAGAGAACTCACAAAACGGCTCATTGAACCTCAACCCATCACCTACACTGGGTTTGAAGCTAGGGAAATCAAACATCATCGCCCCCTTACTCCAATCCGCCCCATCGCTCGTATTATACGTCACCTGCCCCAAGAAATCAAAATATGCTTTCCCGAACTTGATGTTGATGCCGCTGCGGTACGTGCTCGTCATGACGATGCCCTTGGTGGCTTCGTCATCGAACGCTTGCCGGACGCGCTTGAGCACCGCATTGGCTTGCGTGACAGGAAAGGCGAGCTCGAGCGTGTAGCCGCGCAGCCCAAAGTCCCACTCGGTGCCGTAGCCCGGGTAAAGGCCACCGATCAGAACATCGTAGTCCCAGCCGTAGACGGGCCAGGCCATGATGGCTTTGTCAGTGATCTTGTCATGGAAATTTGGGGGGTTCCAGAGGGTGAAGAAGAGGCGTTCGATGGCCTGCAAGGGGTGAGGTTAGTACTCCGCGCCGGGTTAGCGTGTTCAATGTCACTTACTCGGTTGGAGGAAGCAAAATATTTGCCGGAGTTTAGAAGGGAGAGTGCGGTGTTGGCTTCTGTGCGCGTCAAAGAGAAGGTGGATTGGAAGCCCTCTTGGTTAGAGGTGTTCGTCGGGACTGGGTCGTAGTAGCGGTAGTGGAATTTGCGGAGATACGGCCACCACTAGTAAAACATGTTAACTTCGGATCATAGATAGATATCGGTCAAAAGACCCGTCAAGAAAGCTTGAGGCTCACCCAGAAGTTTGCAGTAGCATAAGGGCTGATGAGTGCGTAGATATCGCCATCAAGCACCTCATCTTCGTCCAGACTAATCAAAGTGGGTTCAGTTGAGCACACAGAATTTAACAATAGTAGACTTACGTTTCCTGCTTAGCATAAACCTTGAAATCAGGAAAGATTCTAAACTTCATCCTCGCAATCGGCCCTAGAAGTCCCAGCGACGTTGAGGCGGCAAGCCACTCATCATCGGTCTCATCTCGGACCACCTTCCTCAAACTCCCAGACCCATCGATGATGTGAATCTCCAGCGCCCCAGCGGCGACCATCGAATCTTCCCTTAACGAGGACCGATGGGCTCCCATTGCCACAGAGCCAGCAAGAGTGATGTTCCAGTTCACTAGTGCGTAACCGACCGAAGCTCCACGAGCGTGAAGGTACTCGGCGAGCTGGAAAAACGTGACGCCAGCTTCTATCATGACCGAGCCTGCTTCCAGATCAAAGTCGTAAATGCCATTGACGTTCTCAGTGCGGATGATTATGGTGTTGGGATCGTCCGTGCACATCGTGTCGTACCACATATGGCCTTTTCCGGAAGCGCGAACCGGGGTGTTGGATTTCACGGCTTGTTGAACGATCTGGACCATTTCGTCCACGTTGCGGGGGTCGTATACTGCGGATACGGCGTTGCAGGCTGGGAAGCCTTCGCCGTCGAAGGTGTAGTATGGTACTGCTGAGAGGAAAACTCAGCGAGAGCTGGAGAGAAGGAAGAAGTGGGGAACATATGTATTGGAGAGAGTGGGACAAGAGATTGCTCAGAAGCCGACAGACTAATTGAAAAATGATGAAAACCAAATTCTCTTACCTTTCTGCTCTGAATTGGCAGTCGATGTGCTCCATGCAAATGGCTCTGCTCTCAGCGGTGCCTGTATCTCAGGCTGCAAATGAGAGTCCAATCCATACACTGAGAGAACCATTACCATCATATTGGCCATCCAGCCCAATGGCATTGCCATCATAGGCGTATACATAGCCCTTGGCTTTTCTTCGAGTGGTGTTTGTAGTGGCAAAGGTACCTGGGTGTGAGCAAAAGAGGAAAAGAGCTATACTGAGGACATGAGCAACCGATGCAGAATAGAGGGACCACGCAACCAGTTCCCGATGAAAGAACAGTGTCAACAAGATTATTATCGTCGTCGTCGAAGTCTCCTCATGCAACTTTCGAGATGATGTCGAGAAAACACACTAATACCCTAATAGCATAGTACGACTAAAGGTCACCCCCGAGAGGGGTGTCCTTAAGCTGCACCACGCTAGATACTCGCCCCACCTCACCACCAAACCCGCATCGTGACATTTTCTCAAGCTGTCAACACCACTCACAATGGCCGACGCGGACCTCGAAGAGGTACACCAATCTCCCAAAGTCCCCCACCCCATCCATCTTACTAACCTCCCCCAGATCCGGCGCGCGCGCCTCCAACAGCTCCGCCAACAGCAAGACAGCCCCGGCGCAGGTGGGGGAGAAGGCTCCCAAGAAGACGCGAAACGGTAAATCCCCCCATTCTCCCCTACGACCAGTTCTTTTCTAACCTGTACCCACAGCCAAGCCGAGGCACAAGCCCGCTCCTCCCTCCTCTCTCAAATCCTCACCCCCTCCGCCGCCGACCGGCTTGGCCGCATCCGCCTAGTTAAGGAATCGCGCGCCACGGCCGTCGAGAACCACCTGATCACGCTGGCGCGTAGCGGGCAGTTGCGGACGAAAGTGACGGAAGAGCAGCTGAAGGACCTGCTGGCGAGCGTCGCGGAGCAGCAGGAGGAGCAGGCGGCGAAGATTACAATTACGCGGAAGGGAGGGGGAGGGGGGTGGGATAGTGATGATTTGGATGATTTGCTTGAGGGGGTGTAGGGTTGGGGCGGGAAAGGAAGGGATGGGGTGCATGAATCGGCAGGCGTTTTTGGCTTTTTTTTGGGGGGGGGGGAGGGCTCGGGATATCACTCATACTCATACTTCAATGACAAGAAAAGTTGGACTGGCTTGGTTTGCAATTAAACGTATTTAGTCTTCCTATGTGGAACGAATACAACAGCCCCATGAATTGGAGTCAGTGGTTCTCCCCTGTCCCATCATCTACGCCACGCACCCCAACAAACGGTACGCTGTCCCCAAGCTCATGTGATATCATCATCGTCTTCCCCTTGACTAATTCCTTGATCATGAAATTCGTCACACAGCTCACTCCCAAGAGCTCGCCCCTCTTTACGATCCACCCGTTCATGTATTCAATCTCTGTCCGTCTTCCCGCGCGCATGTCCGCCAACATACTGCTCACATTCTCCCTCGTCGCGTTTGCCACGCCCACGACCAGTGTCTCCAGTCGCCCGGCTCCGAAGCGCTGCTCGACATTAGGTACGTGGCTGAGCTCGGGGAGGGAGCGAATAACGAGGGAAGCTTCCGCGAGGAGGAGGCGCATCACGCGCGTGAGAGCATAGTTGTAAAGGATGGCGCCGTTACGGGCATCGAGGAGGACGGTGAGGGGGTTAATGACCGAGTTGACGGCTAGTTTCTCGAGCTGCAGCTGAAGGACATCTTGAGGAGAGAAGGCGGTGGCACAGAGGACGGGTGTGCGGAGGAGGGTGCGAAGGAGGTGGCGCGCGGTCTTGGGCCAAGTGGAGGAATACGGCTGAGGGCTATCGGGATCGGAATTGGCAGGGCGTTTGGGTTTTGCTGGGCTTATTTCGTCGATGCCAGGATTGAAACGCGTGACTGGAGCAAGGGGGTAGTATTTGGTAGCGTCTGGACTGTCGCGGGCGTGTGGAAGGATTCCTAGAGCGATAGTGCCGAAGCCTGCATGGTTGGTGGTAAAAGGATTGTCAACCTGGGTACCATTAAGGCCATGTGAGTTTATTCCCAGCATGTAGTGTGGCCGAGTGGTAGCGTCTGGGAACACCTTCTCGTTCACTTCATCGACTGTGCCCATGCCGTTTTGGAGGAAGAGGATCACGGAGGAGGGGAGCAGGCGGTGGCGGACCGACAAGAGGGCCGAAACCACCGTGGATGATTTGCAGCAGACGATGAGGGAGTGAATGGGCTCTGTACATTCGCCTTCGAGGAATGTGGGACCGGTCTTTTGCTCAGAGGCGAAGGGGTCAGACGAGCTGGAGCTCTCGGGGCCGTCAACTGCGGTTTCACGGCCGTGAGAACGGGGGCGAGGGAATGCTACTTCGGCGTCGAAGCCATGTATGATCTCTTCGAGACCATTTGTGACCACTCTAAGCTTCTGATCCGATTGCAACCATTGCTGCTTGTATAGCGCGCGATGGAATATGAGGGTGATAGGTGGAGGGTTGGGGATGCCGCGGATCGAGTGGGCAATGAAGCGGCCTACATTGCCCACGCCTATGATGTGGATTCGCCGGTCAAAAACTTCTTCGCTGCGGTAGAAGTCTGCGACATTTCGAAGGGGCTGGAAGGGCTCTATATCGTCTATTTCGTTCGCGCTGAAGCTGTCAGTTCGAGTCTAGATGAGATGGAAGCATGCCCATACCTCTCGCCCTCCTTCGGTTCTCCCTCTTTCCTCTCGCCCATAGCGTCCCGTGCCCACCATGCTGGACGTCGAGCTGTAGACTGGAAGAAAGCCACCCGGCCCAGCGCATTGTTACCAGATCTGCATCGGAGGTGTCTGTGAAGCATCCGTGGCCGAAGCCGAGGGAGGGTGTGGGAGATAAGGAAAGACAGGATGAAAGAGAGATAGAGCGAGACGATTACATGTGTACAATGTGGATGCAAGCAAGCAAAGAGGTCCAGCAATTCTGGCGAGTAGAAAGAGCGCTGATGTCAGGACTCGGTGCAGTGGATAGACGACGGCGATTCTTGGCATTATATCCTCTACACCGCAGCTCGCCATCGATGACCAAACACGAACTACAAATATACCCCAGCTGCCACTCCCCCCTTTGCGCTCGTAGACTCTTCAGATAGCCATAGACTGCTTCCATAATTATTCTCTAAATACCCCGCACCATGGGAAAACCACGAGCAAGTGTCTCAGTCTCGTGCATGTCCACCAGCAGCTAATGCTTACCTCAGATGATAATTCTCGTGCGGCACGCCCAGTCAGAGGGCAACAAGAACCGCGACATACACCAATTCATCCCCGACCACCGCGTGAAACTCACAGCAGAGGGCCAAAACCAGGTATGAGAGTGGCATCCTTCGCCCGAGCCGCTGTATCTAACTACCCCTCCACAGGCTGAAGAAGCAGGACACAGGCTCCGCTCGATGCTCAAGCCCGACGACACCCTCCAGTTCTTTACCTCGCCCTACCGACGTACTCGCGAGACCACCGAAGGCATCCTCAGGTCTTTGACCTCAGACGAACCCACCCCCTCGCCGTTCCCCCGCCACAAGATCAAAGTGTTTGAAGAGCCTCGACTCCGCGAGCAGGACTTTGGCAACTTCCAGCCATGTTCTGCGGAAATGGAGAGGATGTGGCAAGAGCGGGCCGACTATGGCCATTTCTTCTACCGCATCCCCAGTGGCGAGAGTGCTGCCGATGCATATGACCGCGTTAGTGGCTTCAATGAGAGCATGTGGCGGTCATTTGGAGAAGAGGACTTTCCAAGCGTCTGCGTGCTGGTCACACATGGGCTTATGACGAGAGTCTTCTTGATGAAGTGGTAAGAACCCGCTTGCTCTGGTTTATTTCGTTCACATCACTTACGTGTACCAGGTATCACTGGTCTGTGGAATACTTCGAAGACCTCCGGAACGTCAACCACTGCGAATTCATCGTCATGAAGCAAAGCCAATCCAACGGCCGCTACATCCTCCAGAACGAGCTACGCACTTGGTCTGAACTCAAACGCCGTGCCGGCTCTCTCGAGAAGCACTCCGCCAGTACCACCTCCTTAACTTCCTCCAAAGGTCCCCCTCCACCCCCTTACACGTCCTCTCCAACCATCCCCGTGCGCCGCTGGGGCGGCTGCGCCAACGGCTGCAACCACTCCCAAATCGTCTTCCCCCGCCGCGCCAAGCGCCAGAACACGGCGGACTTCACAAACAACACCTCCCTCCCCGCGCCCGCCCTCCCTACCACCACCCCGAAAACCAACGATGACCCCCCTATCCACACCCACACCAGCTCCAAGCCCTCCCAGCAAGAACCAGACGCCCTCCCCCCCACCATCGCCGAACCCACCCCCTCCAAAAACCCCCGCAAAGCCAGCACCGCCTCCACCTCCACCAAACCCCCTGAGACCCTCCTCCCCCCAATGTCCCCCAACGACGCCTCCGCCTCGGCCGACCCCCTCTCCACCTCCTCCTCCGACGGGCCCAACACCTCGGAACAGGAAGACGCCGCCACCGCTATCCCGCTGACCCGCTACCCGCCCGCGCCCCGCGACCCCTCTGTCCTGCGCCACCTGCACCCGGGCCGCGACTTTGGCGGCTCGCGCTCGGGCGCCGGCACGCCCGGCAGCGAGCCAACAGGGGGGCTGTCAGACGACAGCGACTATTTCCCGAATATGCACCAGCACCACCATCAGCAGCACCAGCAGCAGCAGCAGCATCATGGGGGGCATCATGGGCATGCGAAGCCGAAAGCGGAGGCGGCCGGGAAGCAGGGGAGTCGGTTTCGGGGGCAGCGGGACAGGGAGAGGGAGAGGGATAGCGCGCAGAGTCGGGAGCGGAAGGTGGTGATGCGGAAGATGAGCGAGGCGGAGTGGGTCGCGGAGAGCGGGATGGGCAGTGGGGCACGGGCGGATGCGCTGGGGGATGGGGATGAGGTGAGTGATGATTTGGGGCAAGTGACGGGGAAGCCGGGGGGAAAGGAGAGGGAGAGGGAAAGGGAGAAGCCGATTTTGGAAGAGGCGTTGAAGGGGTGTATGGAGTGTGAGGAGGGGGAGGATGGAGATGGGGAGGAAGAGGAGGATGGAGAGAGGCTGGATGAGAGTGTGAGAGACGGGAAGGTGGGGGCCGAGGAGGTGGAGAGGTTGAAGGCGGTGGAGAGGTGTGGGTTTGGGGAGGTGTATTGAGCGTGTGTTTGTCTGGGCTAGATATCACCAAGGGGTTGCGCGTCGCACGATTCTCGTATGCTGCGGCTATGAATTATGAACTTAAGATAACCTAGACTGATAAATGGGGGTTTGGCGTTGGTCTTTAGACGGGCTGGGGTGGCAGATAGAACGACTGAAGATATCTAGATACGTCTTCGGCGAACCAGAAAGAACTTATATTGCGTTTGGATCATTCGGCCTGGAGTGTCATATCGATTACCAAAAAGGTACTTGCAAGAAATCACCCACTCAAACCTGCCAGGGGTGCTACAGTCTTCTCTCTTTACCCTCAGATTCGCAGTGAAATCTCCCATTAACGCAGTACGCAATTAGCGTATTATCTTATCATTTTGCATTTCATTTACTTAAGGGCATAGTATACAAGCTTTTCGCTTCTACCAGACCAACGCACGGTTTTTCTAACCAGGTGCAGTACCCACGTCCCGCGGTCACAACCCCTTCTCTACTCCTCAGGCTGCCCAATCGGCCCACTCGCCTGCTTCGCCGCCTTGGCCGCCACAATATCGTCCACCCGCAGCAGCATACACGCGCTCTCGACGGCCGTCTTGATGCTCTGCTCTTTGATCACCATCGGCTCCCAGATGCCGTACGTCTTCATGTCCACCACCTTCCCGCTGTCGCCATCGATCCCCCACGAGCTGCCGCTGAAGTCCGCGCCCTCGGCGTGCTTTGCCCGTAGCTGGGTCAGCACGCGGATGGGGCTGTTGCCGGAGTTCTGGATCAGCGTGCGCGGGATCACCTCCATCGCTTCTGCGACTGCGCGGTACGGCCACTGCGCCACGCCCTCGACGCTCTTCGCCATGCGCTCCAGGCCGACGGCTACGGCCATTTCCGTTGCGCCGCCGCCAGGGCACAGACGCGGGTTCCAGATGACGTTCCGGGCGACCCCCATGGCGTCTTGGAGGTTGCGCTCGACTTCGTTGAGGATGTCTTTTGAGGGGCCGCGGAGAAGGATAGTGCAGGCTTTGGGGTCTTGGCATTTTGTCAGGAAGGTAAAGTACTCGTCGCCGATTTTTGAAATTTCGAAAAGGCCGCAGTGCGTCCCGATGTCGGCGAGAGTGGCGGAAGGGATGGCGTTTACGATGGTAGCGCCCGTAGCGCGGGCGATTCGATTGTTGTCTGTCTTTCGGACGCGGCGGATGGCGGTGATGTTCGCTTTTACGAAGTAGTGTTGGGCGAGGTCTGGAGAAGTCAGTTGAGCTCCTAGCTACTTAACGGGAACTGGCCTACCGCTGACGCCTTTCTCAGTGATGACGAGGTCGGGCTTTAGCGCGATGATGGCATCGGTCATGGCTTTGACCTGCTCTTCTTCAATCTGCAGTATCCGGTTCCAGTCCTCTTCCTTGCTGATTTCGATGTTCGTCTGGCTCTCGCCCTTCTTGTACTCGAGTGGGCAATCCAGAAGCAGGATCCTGGGGTTCTCTATCCGTCTCCGCATCTTGGGATGTGTGATGTCTTTGTTGAGCATGACGCCGTCCAGGACCTCGCTGTCCTCAATCTCACCACCGGGGATCTTCTCTACGCGGGCATATCGCTTGATGTCCACCTCTGCTTTTGTTGCTCCCGCGTCAAACGAGACTGTGCGGACGGCTTTAAGGGCTAGGCCGCACATCAGGTCTGACCAGCGCGAGACGAACTTTGTGCCAATTGATGCAGATATTAGGGCAGTCATGGCTTTGTCGTCGTCGATGTTTACTGGGATTGAAATCTCTTCGATGATCTTGAGAGCGTCGGCTAGAGCGCGTTTATAGGCTTGGATTATCACGACGGGATGGATGTTTCGCTCGAGTTGGGGGAGAGCTTGGGCGAGCATTTCACCGGCTATATTCAATGTCAGTATTTTCTATCGACCATGATTCAGAGCTTCGTCGTCAACGTGCCTAATATTATGACGGTTGTGGTGCCGTCTCCAACCTCTTCGTCTTGTGTCCGGCTCAGTTCAATCATGCTCTTCGCGGCCGGATGCGCCACCTCGATCTCGCGGAGAATGGCATGGCCGTCGTTGGTGAGCACGATGCCACCCATGGGGTCCAGCAGCATCTTCAGCATGGCCTTGGGGCCTAGACATGACCGGATGATGTCTGCGACTCTGTGACATGGTGTGAGCATATGAACAAGCAAACGGATACCTTTTCACTTACGTCTTCGCAGCAGTGATGTTGGAGAGCTGCGCCTTGCGGCCGAACTGTCTCTCTCCGCCCGTCTGGGTGTCTGGTCTCGATTAGCTGGTGATGTTTTGGAGGCCTGGAAGAGCATACTCATCACGACCACCGGAGCTTGCATATTTGCGGTTGATCCTCTCGGAGGATGAGTTGGGTATCAAAGACGAGAAGGTGTAGAATAGCGGTACACAGGAGCGTGGATGTGGTTGTACTTCGTATAATCGAAGCCCTCCCCCACTGACCGCGTCGGTCCCTCCGCCGCGTATTTTCAAAAATTGGCGAGTAGGTACGGCGGACGACAGCCACTTTGACGTCTCGTATGCCGTAGCCGTTTATTACATTAAATTACTTTTATGTCAGCGGTAGGACACCGTCTGTCGCACGTGCGCGTAGCTCTCATCCCGAGCCCCTGCCTCTTGGCATTCCGCTAGCGTGCTTGCAGCTAGTCCCAGCCTCCCCGTGATCCAGATGGCTGCCTCTACAAGAACGAATGGAAGCCCGCCTCTCGAGCATCTCTCATCCGTCCTCCAAAAGCCCTCCAAGCCCGCCCGCAGCCTCACTCTCCGCCATTTCACCCAGAGCCTTCTTTGCTCACCCTTCACACGCTCTTTCCTCCATCTCCTCTTCTCCTCTTTCTTCCTACCTGCAGCCACCCCTCAGCTCTCATCTCTCACTAAGCTCGACCTTCCTGTCGCTCAGCTCCACCGCGGCCCCCATTGCCCTTCTCCTGTTGCCGACTCAATCGCGTGCTGTCGCCCGTGTCCATACCTAACTCACCTACCCCCTTCTTGACTACTGACAAGCAGTGACAATGGGTCTTAACTACCTCGCCTCTTCACCTACCGTCGTCCTCCCGCCCCAGCAGCCATCCCAATTCTTTGCCGACTTCAAACCTGCCCATCATCAGCCGCTACCTTCGTCAAGTATGGGCAAGTTCAGGGCCAAGTATCCAACTCCGCCTTCGCTCAACTACCTCGCCGCCGTCTCCAATTCCTCGGCAGGACGCAAGCGGTCTATCGCCGACGTCGACGACCCGGAAGAGAACTCCCCAGATGGTGCCGTCCAACGCCAGCTGCCTGTCAAGCCCAAGGCTGAGCCCGTCTACGGTCCTGGCATGACGCTGATCTATCCCGACGAACCTGAGCGTACTATCGCTGCCGAATCGCAAACCGGCACCTGGTTCGAAAATAAGCTCGACACGGAGAAAGCACCCGCCGTGAGGCCCATCGCCATGTCGCGCAAGTCTCAGCGTCTTGATTCCGCCATCGCCATGTCCGCTTCGCCTACGCGACATCCAGCCGATAACATCATCGACGAGAAAGGCAACACGGTTGATGCCCTCATCACGTCGCTCGGCATCGGCTGGAAGAACATCATGACCAACGACATGCTCCGCGACGCGTCGCGCGCCTACTCGAGAGTCATCGAGAACCACTTCAACCTCACCGAGCCTCTCATCATGCTCCAGAGCGAGGCACTGTCGGCGTACCTAGTACGCGCAAAGGAGTGTGGCGTCCAGGGCTACTGGCTCTTTGACGACAGTCTTCAATGGTGCCAGCGCGTTGGATGGTCCCTGCAGAGAACCGCTAGCAATCTCATGGCGGGACCAATTCCTGCTGTCGAAGGCGAGCGCATCGTATCGCGCCCGCGCACTCCTCGGTGTGTTGTTGCCGAATCATCGCAGGTCATGGACATGACAGCTCCCCAAGACATCCCAGCGATGGAGGACGTCGTTATGGAGATGTAGCTCTTGCCATCGCGTCCATTCAATCAACGCACACGGGACATCTAGTTCATCTACAGCAACTATTTCTCGGAATCTACGCCATCGTCTATCTCGCTTTCCTTATCGACGTGCTCTCGGATTCTATCTGCGTATCATCACTGGGCTTTCTGGATCGGCGTTTGGGGTTGGACTGCTTGCCGTCTTGCTGGGTTGGAGGCGCGGTTTACTGAATTATGCCTTGTATATTAGTCTATGCTCGTGATCGGCTTTGACTGCTCTATGTGCCCAAACTAGGCCGTCTTCCGGAAACAAAGTAGTCTGACAATAAGAATGCAAATAACGTATCACAACTGATCTGTCTCGACTGTCTGGTATGCGCTTGAGGCTCTAAACACATTAATTATGGCTGTGCCGAAGAATCTAGGCAGTCTCGGCCAAGTCACATGATTTCCAGTCGGGCGAGATACACGATTCAAGCCGGGTCGGCTTGCATGAACTGCGTCGGCTTCCACGGCAGGGCGAGACTCTCTCCTATTGCTGCCCAGCCGACCCTGCCGACGCAGTGCCGTCCAGACGTCGAGGCGAGGATGTGGCATGCTGAATGATGCTGCAGGTGTCGCTATTGTGGGAGCCTCGTCTGGCGGTTATTGCAGACGGGAATAGGCCAGGCCGCCGATTGGCCGTGGGGCTGCTTTGACAGCGTCCGCAACCAAGATCCCTCCCATGTCATACCTCCCAGGCCGGCGCCATCATCTCCACCTTCCTTTCAACGCCCTGCGCCTCCAGAGCTCCTCCTCCGCCCACGATGCTGCCATCCACCCAACGCATTTGATATTCCCATTCTTCCGCTGCCGTGCTGCGCGCCCCGACCCTCCTTTGCCGCCCCCCCCCGCTGCTGCACGTAGCCGCCGACACCTGGTCGGCCGACCGTGGCTCGAATGGCTGAGTACGTCGTCACTGTTCCCCATATTCTTGCACCCAGCACAGCCCGCCCAGCCCCAGAAATTCACAACACCCGCGGTTGCACACCGCAAACACCAACTCACGCTGCTTAGATACTTCTCTGGCCACTGGGGCGTGTCCAATGGCCTGACCAGCTCCTCCCGCCAGGCCCAGCTGCGCTCGCTCTCCCCCGTGCCAAAGCCAACCGGCCCAAACAAACTCACCAAATCCACCTCAACACCCAACATCGCCAGAATGGCCGCGGCCGTCGCCAGCCCGAGTCCGTTGACGTCCATGTTTCATCCCGAGAGCGAGGTGCTGAATACCATTCCGGATCCGCGAACGCCTAGCCCCATTGTCCCGGCGTCGAGGAGCGGCTCCACCGATTCGAGAGCAAGCCAACATCCAGACCTCAGCAATGAGGTTGCAGCGTTGAGCACGAAGCTGATCAACTCGATAAACACGCAGACCAGGCTGGATGATTCGCTGCAGGAAAGCAGGCATGAGTTGGAGACTGCGAGGCAGCGGCTGAAGGTGTTGGAAGCGTCCGATAAGGAACATACCGAGGCCATTGAGAAGGGCCTGTTGGTTAGCAGGAGCGATTACGATAAGATGGAGGCGAGGTTAAGGAAAGAGGTGGCGGACGAACGGCAGATGAAGGCTGCTGTGGACAAGGAGAAGCGGAGGATTGAGTCGGAGCTAGAGCAGTTGACGACGGCCTTGTTCACGGAGGCTAATGAGGTGAGTTTTGCAGCATTAGTACCTGAACGAAGCTCACAGATCGCAGATGGTCGCAGATGCCCGGAAAAAGACAGAAGACGCGGAAAAGCGGAACGAGTCGCTGAAGCAGCAACTCAGCGATACCGAAGTACTACTCAGGTCCCACCAAGAACAGCTACAAGACCTCAAGGCCGTAATGCAGCAGATGAGTTCCGAGGGCGAAACGGAAACGAACACACATATCTCCACCGCGCCATCAACACCAGGGCTTGCACCGCAGGACAAGATGAACCGAATATTCGAGGCTGCGAATCTCACGCCCAACACCCCCGGCTCCGACGACATCCCCCCAGATCACCCCCTACGATTCTCCCACCTCATTCACCCCGTCCTCCGCTCCGACACCGTGGCCTACAACGAGTTCCAAGAAATGCTCCGCACTGCGCGCGCGTCGGCCCCCAGCAGCCGCGCCGCGAGTGGAAATTATGGCGGCCTGAACGTCATGGGACTCGGCTCCCTCACGCAGAATGGCTCCACCACCTCCCTCCCCTCCGCCAACAACTCCCCAAGTCTCGGCTCCACCGGCTCTCCCCGCGATTCTCTCATATCCACCCCCCTAAAAGACGCCAAATTCTACAAAAGAGCTGTAGTCGAGGACATCGAACCCACCCTCCGCCTTGACGTGGCCCCTGGCATCTCCTGGCTCGCGCGCCGCACCGTTCTCACATCCATGACGGTGGGATCGCTGGTCGTGGAACCCCATCCGCCTATTCCCAAGTTCCGCGGCCCTGTCTTCTCTTGTTCCCTTTGCGGCGAGAATCGAATTGGCGACGAATATGTTCGCAAATTCCGGTTCCGGACGAGCGAGGCCGATGACGCGCAGCGCTACCCCCTATGTGATTACTGCCTCACGAGGGTGCGGACGAGCTGCGACTATATCGGCTTCTTGCGAATGGTACACAATGGGCATTGGCGTGCGGAGACGGAAGAGGAGAAGAAGGCAGCGTGGGAGGAGAGTGTGCGGCTCCGGGAAAGGATGTTCTGGTCACGGCTTGGCGGCGGGGTGGTGCCGAGCTTTATACCGTTGAGGGATAGTCCGCGGAGTCCACATTTTGCGAATGGAAGGGGGATAGCTGGCAGGAAGAGTGATAGCAGTGAGATGGTGAGGGAGCTACAAACGGATACGGTCGACGTGAGGGATGTTACGAACGGCGGGCTGAAGCCTAGTCCGAAAGAGCTGGATCCTTTTACCGGCACGGAGAAGGGGAAGAGAGTTTCTATTGGCAAGACGGTACTCGAGGCTACCGAGGAGAAGAAACTCGACACCGAGGAGGAAAAGAGGATTGAAAAGGAGGCAGAGGCGCAACTTCATAATGAAGTTAGGAAGAGTTTGCAGAGGATGGAATTGCGTGAGGTTCAGCCAGAGGAAACGACAAATGAAGAAAACCCGACTCCACCGGTCGAGACGATAGAACCAGAACCACCGGTAGAGACGGTAGAAGCAAAACTACCGGTAGAGACGGTAGAACCAGAACCAATACCAACACTGGCGGTACCGACATCGACATCGACTTCGGCGTCTAGAGCAACGAGTCCAAGCAAAAAAGGAGATCGACTCAGCATCACCATTCCTGGGTCTTTTGAATAAGCGAACCACGGACATTTGGGTTTCTAAAACCTGGATCCGGGCTTCTTATACATACTAGTTCTGTGCCTTTCCTTTTTTCTGTTCCCTTCTTCATCTCGGGATATATATACTCAGACTTGGGCATGTGAGCTCTGGTCGTTCTACAGGGTTCGCATTGGGTATGACACGGATTGTATAATACCATTGGCTTTGCTGGTTTGCGTTGGGGGTTGAAATTGTACGATATGCTACTCGAAGCAAGCGGGAGTTTGGAGCGCTTACAGATGTCTGATCCATGAGCGCGGATTGGATATAATCAGTAGATATCGGATATGCGAAATGAACAAAGGATATTCGGTAGGGCCTCGGGTGGGTTCTAAAAACATCTTGCCTTGCATTTTTTTTGTTAAAAGCACATCCATTCTGTCATTCATTTACATTATCGCCAGAGCATTTGGCGGACTTGCAACACCGCCCTTCACGTTCAATGGCTCGCTCGTCACGAAGCACGTCCATCGCTTCTGCTTCTCACATTCCGCAGCCAAATCATCCAGGGCAAACATCTCACCAATCGGCATGCCGAAACCAGCAAGCAAGATCTGATGCATCATGTTCTTGGTTGGAGGCCATGCCTCGAACCCCGGGCAGTCGCCTGCCACGGCTGCAATTTTCGTATCCCACAGCCACCCGAGCACCTCGAACGTGCTCTCGAAACCTGGATACCCGAACGGTTTCTTCGCCGTGACGACCTTCTTTTCCTCGAGAGACGCTTTCTCAAACGCAGTCGTGAAGCCTGAAGGTGAGTCGTCAGCCTCCGCGAAATCACGACCAGCGAATTCTAATACCTGTTCGCAAGAGAATAATATCTCCAGCCCGAAACTCAAACCCGCATTCCTTAGCCATCTCTTTCGCGATCGCCAGCGACACTGCATAGTGATCCAGCGGATCGTACTTCATGCCGTTCCGCGCGGCGTACGACACAAAATCCAGCAGTACGCCTCTCCCCACGATGCCCGCTTTCGCCCACGCTGTCCGGAAGGTCAGCGAACGCGAGCGGCGGGTTTCTGTCCACATTCTATTTTACATCTCCAACTTACCCTGAATCCCCAGCCTGTCCGTCTTCCCGCCCAGCATCTCCTTCTGCGTGAACCCATTATAGAACGTCCCATCATCGAACCCCCAATGCCGAAGGCCGTCCCACTGGGTGCTTGTTTGCGTATTGAATGTAATCCGATCATCCTAACAATTTCCTCAGCCCCTATTTTTCTTCCAGTTCCTCTCCCTTGCTACTCAATTATGAGCATGAGCGGGGACTTACATGCATGTTCTTCCCAATCTCGAAAATCTCGTGCTTCAGCACCTCCCGGAACGCAGGCGAGCCGGTGTAGTCCATCTGCTCGAGCCCCCAGTTTAGCCCGAAGCGCAGCCCGGTCTTGATCTCCCTGGCAGCAACGACGGTGCGCTCGGGCGTGAGCTGATTGAGGGTACCCAGCTCATCGTCCAGCCCGTAAAGCCCCCATGCCGTGTGCGGCGGATGCGTCGCATCAAGCGGGAGGTCGGTGAATTTGGGGTAGGGTTTCTCGTTTTGCATTTCGGTTTCAATAGATTGATATGCGGTAAGATAAAATGCACAGCTCTCCTTTCTTTCCTTTTTTGTAGATCTGTTGTCTGCTATTTGGCTATGTAGCTGATTATTACCTCAAGGATCTTATTATTGCTCTCCAGGAACCGCGAATGCAACCCTTTTCGTGGAGAAGGTTGCGGGGACCCCGGAAAAGGGTCTCCGCTAACCAGACTCCGCAACGGGGAGCTACGAATGGGGGCCCCACGATTATTTTTCTACCTGCTCCAGACTTTCAACCTTTCTATTTCTTTGGCGCTAGCAAGGAAGTTGTGGGGATTCGATCAGCTGCGATGGGTGAGCGAGCAGTAGTCGAGAACGCAAGGCCAGTTCAGGTTGCACGTGTTTCACGTGACCGGCAACCGTATCGGCTATCTACTCTGGGTACGTTGTCGGCTCCCGCAGTCTTCTCTAGGTCGTCCGTTGACCTCTCCTCTACAGGCTGCGGATTATCGAAGTCGACGCTCGGAAAGGAGTGGTGCTATCTTCGACCTTGGAAAAAGAAATTTGATCAATGAAGATGCTGATGCTCATCTAAGCGTATTGAGTCCCCTCGACATCTAATTCTTCATACTACATAGCCAAGCTCTGTAGGCTGAATGAGAATTAGGTGAGAATCGGATGAGCATGGTTCGCGTTTTAGAGAAGCATATAAAAGTTTGTGATTCCAAAGTAAACAGATATCTTTCAAAGCAAGTGCAACTACCTTATTACAACTCCCGACCAAAAAGCACCTAGTACTTCCCTCCCACCCTCCCCCGGCCCCCCCTCTCTCTCTCCGTAAAAAGCCCTCTCCAAACGCACCCCCCCTCACTCCCCTCTCTTTCGCTCATACAACCCAACCCACACCCCCCACCCCACCACCTTCCCCTCCATCGCGCCCGCAATCTCCTTCTTCGTCGCGACCGCGCTCATCGCCCCCGCATCCAGCGGCTCCCCCAGCGCCACGAGCGTATAATGGTACCGATGCACGCCATGCCCCAACGGCGGCTTCGGCCCGCCATACACACTGCCCCTGATGTTCTTGCCGAGCCGAAACCCGCCCGCGAGATGCTTCGCTTTGCCCACCACGTCCCGCACGCTGAGATCCGCGTGCGTAATCGCGGTTTTGTTCCCCGGGATCGCGTAGAACAGGCCGTGCGTGACCGGCCACGGGATGGGCGCGTCCGGGTCTTCGACGATGAGGACGTATTCGGCGACGTCCGGGGGCGGCTGCCACGTGAGCGAGGGGAAGCGGTCGGCGCCGTAGCCCGTGTAGAGGTCCGCCATGTGGGAGTTGGAGGGCCCGCAGTCGGGCGAGGTGATGGTGAAGGTGGGGGAGGGCTGGGAGGCGAAGGCGGGCGTGGCGGAGAGGAGGCCGCTGTCGCGGGCCTTCTGGTTGATGAGGAGGCGGCCGATGGCGTGTTCGATGGGGGCGGGGAGGCCCATTTTGAGGGGGGAGGGAGGGGGGGAGGGGGGTTGGTTTGGGGGGTGGGTGTTTTGGTGATGACCGGGTTTGATGTGGTTGATGGGTGATGGATGCTAGGGAATGGGAGGGTTGGTAGGCTGGGGTAGTGAGGCTATAAGAGCCAGAGGGTAAATAAGTGCTTTATACGAGTTTACTCGTCTATTCTGAATGGATCATATGCGGTGCGTGACACTCTGCGTCGTCTAAGGGAACAGAATGTAAGGTACTCACCAGTGAGAAGCGCGCATGTAGTTGCCAGGCTATTAAATCTACCGGAGAAAGCATTAGTATCCAATTAGCATTTCGTGTGAGGAAAACGGCATGTTGTTGCCCTGGGCTCGGCCTGACGAAGCTTAAGCCCAACGGAATTAAGAAGCTACCTCCACGCGAACCCCGACTATCAAACCTCAACCCCTATAAAGCTTTATTTTCTCGATCTAATTAGAGTCTCGTTCGGGCTAATATTGCTCCTTTTGCTAAATGATCCCAAAAATCATTACATCGGGATAAAGCCCCAGGCTAACCTTTTAGTACTAGCTCCTAACTCGTGGCTCCTCCATGCGTATTATAACTTCTGGGCCGTCCTCCTTATATCTCTAAAAGAAAATGTATCAACCCCTGGAAGTGTAAAAAGTAGAAGTAATAAGTAAGTTTAAACGGTCTTGAGCGATAAAAATTGAATGCAGAACTCGCTCACTCTACCTCTCCCCCCCTAAAATCGCCTGGAGCTTTGCCCCACAAACCTCCCCTCCAAACCCCCTACAAATTCCTCCAGCACCCCTGTCCACATTGCCCTCTCCCCCTGCTCTCCTGTACTCAACGTCTCCACGATCCTCTCAAGCCCCTCCCGCACCTCGCCTACGCTCTTAACCACCGTACCGTCTTTATATGCCACGCGCTGCAGCCAGCGGATCATGTGCTGAAAGATCGCGTCGACGGAGATGAGCTGGTAGGTAGTAGCGAGGTAGGACTCGACGGCGGTGTCGACGATGTCGGAGAGGAGGGATTGCGCGACACGGGCGGGGAAGGTGAGTATGGGGTCAGTCATGATGGAAATGTTATTAAATGGATGAGTATTGGTGAGAGGTTAATCGATAGACTTTCTCCGGCGTGTTGCCTTATGGGTGTGGGGAACGGGGGGATGATGTGAGAGAGATAGGGAGCATGATGCGGATGTACTGATAATAGGACAAAGGATCGCGTGGTGTTGTTCGCGTGATACAAAGCGGATTAGATACTCTGAATGACTGTATGTTAAGGGGAAAACAAAGAAGGAAAGCGAAGGGTGAGTTTATCAACACGTGGTAAGTGTTCTCGGGCTCTGGTAAGGCTTCGGAGGCGAAGCGTTCGTAACTAACTCGCCACGTGACGTCGCCCTGCTCTAGAGGTAGACCCTCGCTCGCTGAAGATACCAGTTCAGTTGTTCTGCGAGTCTGATACCCGCTTGTCTTTAGTGGGCTGAAAATGCTATAACAGAACGTGGTTTAGGTGAGTCGTAGACCGAAGCTCGATAGGATGCGCTCTGATTAGAAAGGAAAATAAATGTGGTTGAAAGAGTTCAACCACGGGTCACCTCAACGTGCCGAATCATGCAACCCACACTTTTTTTTTCCCATATCCTATATAAGAAAAGATATGTTCCCTCATTTTTTCCGTCCACCAGCTACAATCCCAACACTTTACGCTATACTCCTTCCACACCTTCACACAAACACCTTCCCCTCGAAGTTCGAACCAGCCTTAGCGATGCATCTCGCAACTTCCACCCTCGCTCTAAGCCTCTTGGCCTTGCTTGCATCTCCTGCGGCAGCGGCCCCCTTCAACACGACCGAGATCACCCTCTCCTCGCGAAGTAATGGCATCAACCAGCACGGAAAATCGAGTCTCTGCGGTAAGTCTCAAGCACGTCTCGTCTAGTAGGACTATCACTAACAGCTCTGCTCACTATAGGTGGCAATCACCTGCACCTACTCGTCGAGGCCTCCAAGCACATCAACAAGGACAAGAAATACCTAGACGGCCAACACATCGTCTGCAACTCGTAAGTCTGCCCAGCCCCGGATCGTATCCTAACCTGCTACTAACACCAACCCTTTCTCACAGAAACGACCGCGTCTTCTGGGACAACAGCGGCGAGTGCGCCTTCCCCGTGAACACCAAATTCGGCCTCTCCGGCTCCAAAATCACCCAGCTCCTCGAAGCTCTCGTCGAGTTTGGGGCCAAGGACTGCGGCAACGTGCCTGTAAACTATCCTGCTATCAACGATGGGACCAACGGGGTGCTGAAGGTCGACTATGTGCGGCATATGCAGGCGGGATGCAAGGATCAGTCTCATGTGTGCGATTTTGCGAGGGCGCCGCAGGAGAAGCCGCAGGAGAAGCCGCAGGAGAAGCCGAAGGAGAAGCCGAAGGAGAAGCCGAAGGAGACTAAAAAAATTACGGCTACGGCTACAGCAACTACTGTTGTGGGCACGGTCACAACAACTCCTACTGCGGCTGTGGGTGCGCAGCCGACGGAAAAGCATCATGAGAAGTTGCTGCATTGGCTGCATTGGCTTCATGATCTCATCGATGTTCCACGACCGGCGCCAGCTGGTAGTGGCGTGAATGAGAGCGCTACGGCCGACAACGGCATCTAGTGATGGAGATAGTTGGGTTGGAATCGATGCTTTAATGTGTCGATCCTAATGCGATTAGAAGGATGATGACATTGGGAGGATGAGATTGGAAGGATGATTGATAAAACGCGCGTCTCGTGATTAGATAGGAACACAACGTACAATTAAAAAACCAAGAAAAGCTGCTCTCTGATCCAACTTAGAATATGCTTTCAGTATTGAGATGTTATATACTACTGTGGTTTGGCGTCAAGCAACGTGCAGAGGACTGGAACAGTATCAAAATCCACGATGAATGCTGGCAAGGCAAGGATAGGCAATGCAACCGTGAAAGCAAAGCTCCGATTTTGATGAGTCTTTGTGGCGGAGGATGATCTGCTCTTGACAGAGCAATGAAGAAAGAGGATAGAAGTAAGAAAGATCCAATTGAATGGCCGAGATACTAGTGAGTAGTGAAGCTCGCTGCGTTGATTAGGTCAAATGGAGAAGGTAAAGAAAATGTCACCGTATACTAATCAAGGTCTTGAAAGCTTAACTTGGCAATAGAACCCATGTCTGGAAAGAGCGGGAATACGACGGTATTTTTTGGAAATTCTACCTTCGGACTGCCTCATACGATCCAGTCTGATGGTCTGGTTGGAAGGAGGGGACAATCGCCATCCTCGCCCTCGCGCTGGAAAGAAGCTTTTCGATAGAAAGTTCTTTGCGGGGTTGTGATTAGATATTCCAAGCATTCGAGGATGTCTCAGACGCACCGAAATAGTGCAGTCTCCTAGAAACTTGTTCGTGACTCTGTCTGGCATCTATTCTAATCTTCTGTAAAGATATGGCCTCTAAAGGCGCCCAGGAGAACAACCAGTAATAGTATATCCCTACATTACCGTGCAGTATGTCGACATGACACCCGTGACTGCAGCGGCAACAGCATGAACCGACCCCACACCAACCTCCGCCGCCTCAGCGGCCTTGTGCTCGTTCGCCATGATGAGCTTGAAGATCAAGTGGTTCATATCCGTCTGCGTCACGACTTTCTCATTAGGCCTCCAGCCCTCGTTGAACGGGAGCCTCTCCTGCTCTACGTATATCATCAGCGTCACGAACCATCAAGAACCGATCCAAACTGCACCAAATAGCGAGCCAACTTACCAAACAGCACCCTCAAATACTCCACCGGAATCTTCCCATCCTTCGGATCCCCCAAAATCCCCAGAAATAGCGCCGACTCCCCATAGCTCAGCACAAACTCCTTGATGCCGTACTCAAACGCCTTCTGCGCCTCTTCATGCGCCTTCTTGCTCGCCAGCACCCGCCTATACCGCGCCTTGCTCACCGTTGCGAAATCCGTCTGCTCCTTCCCCTCATACGTGCTCATGACGCCCTCCCACACGCCCTTGTCGAAGGTGTGGTTGTCGCCGAGCGCGTAGTCGCTGCGGGAAAGCGAGACATCGTGCTCGATCATGCCGTGCTTGTCGACCATGTCGAGGTCGAACGAGCCCGCGCTAGCATCCGGGTTCGCGGTGACCGCGTAGCCCGCGAAGACGGCGGCGATTTTGGAGTCGAGCTTGATGGCATTCACGAGCGCCGCGATGGCCATTTCTTTCGTGATCTGCTTGCCGTCGTGCGGCAGCACGTGGTGGTTTGCGAGGGCGTTGATCATGGGGCATGGGGAGCGGACTTGGGGTTTTTAGAGAGGATGATGGGGATATATTGTAGATTTAGATTCCTGTAACCTACCGTCGCCGTCGCCGGCTGGCTCCCATTTGGTCCAGTCCACGGGCGGGTGGCCTTCGGGGGGAGTTGTAGCCATTTTAAAAAGGCGGGGTGATGTAAGAGCAAGGTAATGAAGGAGTTAAGTGATATAAGATTCAGGTAATGTAGGAGTAAGGTAATATAGGAGTTAAATGTAGGAGTTAGATGATGTAGGAGTGAGTTGATGTAGGAGTCAGTTGAGTAGCCGACGTTCGGTTTCCAAAGATACGAGAATTGGTAGACTAGTCAAAGTTCTCGAAGTATCTGCTTCTGCTGGGGAGGCGCGCTCAATATATTGTGGTGAGGTTCTGGGCTGGCTGAGGCGCTTAGATGCAGCTTTCAGCTCGGGTTTGAGAGCAGGTGTTGCAGTGTGCCGCCACCATCTAATGCGCGCGATCCTATTGGAAGACAGGGCAGCACAAGAGGCCTGGGCCGCTCGAGCTGCAGATTGCCTTGCTTGGTGTTTTGGTCTGTACCCGCAGTGGACGCGGGGAAGTAGTAAGCAGTCTTCTGGAGTGTTTGATTGGTGCTTGGCGATTGTGGATGCAGGCTAATTAGAAGCGCTCACCGGCCCGTCGCTTGCACGTGACTGGCACGTGATCCATAGCCTCCAGGGAACGCACTTGATGATTGCGGGACTGTCTCGGTGTATATGAGACACTAAATACACTGAGGTCATTTGTTCAGACCCGTTCAAGCTGCCTGACGATTGCAATGAGACCCAAGAAACATTCGAAGCCGCTCTCATCAATTCCAGTTCACGGTTCTTAGTCTGCAGAAGTCTGGGTCGGATCTTACTACTATCGTATTCAAGAATCAAGTGCAAATGCAGACGGTCTAGGTGCGCTTTAACCTACAGTCTTATTGATCAATTCTATCAGTTCTTCTCGACCACTTCCTCGGTCGTACCCTTCTTATCTTCCACATCTGCGGCCCGCTCAACCCCTTCAATCACATCACCGGCATCATCCAGCCCCACCACTCCCAAGCGAGCTGCTTCTTTGGCCGTGAACGTCCCGTAGATATCGACCTCATCATACTCGCCCATTCCCCCCCTCGGAAAGATCTTGTTAAGCACCAAGAAAATGGTGCTACTAACAAAGAACCCTAAGTTACACATCAGCATTGTAATTTCTAGTCTCATGAACTATCACTCACCAATCAAGAAAGCCATATAGTACAGCTCCACCAACCCCCTCGGCGGATTCGCCTTTCCCTGCACCGTAACCACCAATCCGCCCACCGTTGGAGCCCAGCCGCCGAGCCAAGCCGGGATAACGCGCCAGTTAACCCCATGCCAGTACCAGTAATCACTGTCCTGCGTCCGATACAAATGACTTAGCTTCACCTTCCGACTTCTCAGGATATAGTAATCTGTCGCCATGACTCCAATAATGGGCGCCAGAAACACCGAGAATGAACTCAGCACCTGAATAAACGTAGTCGCCTTGTTGATCAGTTGCCACGGCTGCACAACCCATGCAGCGATGAAGGTAATGATAGCACCGCGGCGAATATTAATGTAGTGCGGGAACAGCCCCGCCAAGTCAATACCCCCGGCGACGGCGTTGCCGCAGATGTTTTCGAACATGGCCGTAAGTGCAAAGCCGAGAGAGAGGAAGAAGACGCCGGCACGGGCTTTGGATGAGCCATTCCCGCTGTCCATCATCACCATGAGCAGGTCGGGCGGGTTCCAGTAGACCTCGCCGTAGATTTTTTGCGCGGCACTCGTGGTGACTAAGCCGATGAAACTGACCATGATGCCCACGATCCACGCCGAGGCGATGGTGCCACCAACGTAGTGGGAAGGGCTACGCGAGTAGCGGCTGAAGTCGCTGCCGTTTGTGATGCCGGCTGCGATACCGCCGATCATCTGGTTGATCCCGGACATGATCAGCCAGCTAGAGTTCCACATGCTGGTGGAGGGGATGGCGGTGCCGGTGCTCCAGAGGGGGCCAACGCCGTTGGCGGTCGCGAGGGCCCAGGTCATCATGCAGAGCATACCGATGCCGCAATAAAGGGAGATGACTTGGAACGGGAGTTTGAACTTCTCGGGGCGGATGAGAAGGAAAGGGGTACTGAACGTCCAAAAGAGGATGAAGCCGACGAACTGGTACGTGGTGGTGGGCATGGAGGCGGAGAGGGTGTTTGGGATGCGCGCGAAGGAGGGCCATATGGCGGTTATGCAAACGCTTCGAGGGGTCAGTAATGGCGCTTTCATAGATCGGAGGTCTGCACTCACGCGATTAGTCGTCCACCGTTCCAGCCTAGCGAAGGGTCAGCTTTTTCTATACTGTGGTAGGTGGAAGATGCAACTTACATTGTACAGCTGTCCAGATGAAGTTGAGTAGGATTCGTTGCAGAAGGGGAATGTAGCTCCCCCGCATCCCCCAAGTATACCGATTCTGAACCGTGAACCCGATATGCCATTCCAAGCCGCACCACGCAATGAGCACAGAGAACCCGGCAATGAGAAGACGGCCGAGCACAATGATTAGCATGGACTGGCCTACCGATAGTCCGAGAGCTGGGTGGAATTAGTATCGTCTAGACTTCCTCCGTGTATGGTCTGCGGCAGTGCAAAGGTCTCGAATGCACTTACTCAGGAACGAATTCGGCGTTTGCCAATTCGAGATATTCAAGCTACTGATCGCCCAATACCCGAAGAAATGGAACCAGCCCCATGTTCGACGCGCAGGCGGGAGCGGAATGAGATCACGGTTGCTCCACGAATCCGTCTGCTCGTGCTGCTCATTGTCGCCGTGCAACTGTACTTTTTCTCGAAGCTTTTGAAAACGATAGCGGAGGGCCATCTTAGATGAAATGGCAAGGATAGAAAAGCGTTTCGAGTGCCACGCTCGGTTGGAGACGGGGAACTTGGGGACTTTACATGCTTTGGACGGCAGTTGAGGTTGAGATAAGAAAGTGACATGGGAATACGACGGTATTGCATGTACGACTACAGCGTGAGACAGATCAAGAGTGGAGAGAGCAGACAATCCGGCCGACTCACGTTATCGCCAGCTCGGCAGATGATGCCGAGGGGGTCACCTCGTATTGATAGCTTATTCGAGGCCTTGTTGTAGTTCTAGTCCAGAGTGGACCCGTTCATTGCAGCTGTTTAGCCTAAATACGGTCGTGTCGGACAGCTTACTGGGGTTGCGGGGAGGGTAAGTCCGCCTGCGCAGGGATGGTGATAGGTGTTTTCGGATTACATATTGCGAAGACATCGGATATCCCCGCATCTGCAGCTCTGGGCTTGATATTGACTTTATACTAATGGTATCGTAGGAGACGTCCAAGGGACACCAAATGAAAGGTGGGTGAGAGAGCAAAGATAAACCCCACCGTGATATAACTGACCAGGGGTATCTGATGATCAGATACCGATATCGGACTAGCACGTGAATGTCAATCGCAACGTCAACTCGTTCTCATCCTTCAGATTCCTTCAGCTTTTGGATATCTAAGAAACGAATAGTGAAGGAAGCGCTGTTTAGCTTCTACTACACAATCGTAGCACCAAGGGGTTCAACAGAAAGACAAGATGGGCTCCGTTCCAATCTCCTCAAAAACCCTTCGGATAGGCGTAGATGTCGGCGGGACGAATACAGACGGCGTAATCCTCGATCCATCTCGAGCTTCAGAACCAGAAAAAGGCATCATAGCATGGTACTCTTCTCTCAAACTTCCGAAAACTCTCAAACTCATGTCGAATCCTTAGGCACAAGTCCCCAACAACTCCAAACCCTAGTGCGGGCATTATTTCAGCCATCCAAACCATGTTTACCAGCGCTTCCGTATCACCTGATTCGATTGCATCCGTCACAATCGGAACCACCCACTTCGTCAACGCAGTCGTCACCCGCGACTCCACCCGCCTCTCAAGCGTCGCGGTTCTCCGTCTCTGTGGGCCCTTCTCCAAACACGCACCCCCTTGCGTCGACTGGCCCGCTGATATGCGCCGTCTAATCCTGGGCTACTATGCCCTCGTCAAAGGCGGACTTGAAGTCGATGGCAATCTAATCAGCGCCCTCGACGAAGCCGAGATCAGGCGCGAATGCGCCATCATCAAATCGAAAGGCATCAAAAGCGTCGTTGTCAACGGCGTTTTCAGCCCCATCGACACGATAGAGAAGCAAGAAGAGCGCGCCGCCGCCATCATCCGCGAGGAGATTCAAGGTGTGGACGTCGTGCTGAGCGCCGAAGTGGCGAATCTGGGGTTTCTAGAGCGCGAGAACGCGGCGATTTTGAATGCGAGCATTTTGGCATTTGCCAAGAAGACAATCAGGAGTTTCCAGGAGCCGATTCACAAGCTGGGGCTGAAATGCCCAGTTTTCATTACGCAGAATGATGGGACCCTTTTAAGTGGTGATGCCGCGGCGAGGCTGCCGATTAGGACCTTCTCTAGTGGGCCGACGAATAGCATGAGAGGCGCGGCGTTTCTGGTGGGGAGTGAGATTAAGGAGGCTATGATGGTGGTTGATGTAGGTGAGTATGTTGGCAATGACTCAATGGTTCGGCGAATGACAATAGGACAGGTGGAACGACAACGGATGTCGGTTTGCTGCTAGCAAACGGCTTTCCACGACAGCAAGCTGCCTATAGTGAGCTGTCTGGCGTGAGAATGAACTTCTCTTGTCCTGACGTGAAGAGGTATGCATGTTCGGATTCTTGGCTTCATTCTTTAGTGAACTGAAGCACGCTAAAATTCAGCAGTGTAGGTCTAGGTGGTGGTTCCCTCGTCCGAACCATTGCAGGAAAAATGACTGTCGGCCCAGAGTCAGTCGGGTACAAACTACCAGACAAGGCACTTGTATTTGGCGGCGACGTACATACAGCCACGGACTACACCGTTGCTTCAGATCCGTCGCTTGGCATAGGCAATGCTTCGCTAGTGGCAAAGATTACAGCATCAGAAGCCGCGGAGTATAAGGCCACTGTAAATAAAATGCTAGAAAAGGTCATCGACACAATGAAGACGTCTCCCGAAGACCTCCCAGTCCTTCTGGTAGGAGGAGGAGCTGTCATTGCGCCAGATACTTTGCTGGGCGCCAGTCAAGTCCTCAAACCAAAGTGGTCTGGGGTAGCCAATGCGATTGGCGCCGCCATGGCTCGAGTGAGTGCAGTCATTGACACTGTAAAGTCTACCGAAACAAAGAACACGAAGCAATTGCTGGAGGAGATCTCAGCCGAGGCCGTAGGAAAGACGGTAGAAGCTGGCGCAATTCGAGAGTCTGTGAAGATCGTCGAGGTGGAAACCCTGCCGCTGCAGTATATTGCGCATAAAACACGATTCATAATTCGAGCAGCTGGAGACTTCGATTTCTCTCGCGCTAGTGACTTTGAGCATCTTCATATACCAGGGAGCGAAGAGGCGGATGACGAGATGAAAGAATTCAACCAAGCGTCGAAAGAGAAAACAGAAAACGAGGTAGAGAGCGTTGTTAAAGAGGAGGAAATTGAGGCCTACAAACCACGAGTTGAGAACCGGACCTGGTACATAAGCGAAACTGATTTGAGCTGGATCACAATTGGCTGCTACATCCTCGGAACGGGCGGAGGAGGTAGTCCATATTCCAGCATGCTTCGGATGCGCAGTATATTGCGGGCAGGTGGTGTCATAAAAGTGACCAATCCGTATGACCTGAAAGACGATGATCTGATCGGCTGCGGAGGAGGTGCTGGGTCGCCAACCGTTGGAATTGAGAAGCTGCAAGGTGATGAGTGAGTACTATTGCCCCCGTTGTCACACACGTTTCATGCTAATCGACTATAATAGAATGTTACAGGCACAAGAGGAACTCTACGCCCTCTTCAAAGGGGGTCGAGCAACCCACATGATCGCGCTCGAAATCGGCGGCGGTAACGGCCTCCAAGGTATGATTCTCGGCGCCAGCACGAACATGGACATCCCGACCGTGGATGGCGACTGGATGGGTCGTGCCTATCCCACCAAGTGGCAGACTACGCCGGTGGTCTTCGATGAACGACAGCCCGTCTTCTGCCCAATCGTTATGACAGACGGCAATGGGAACGTCGTGTACATGCCGAAAGCCAAGAGTGACCTCACCGTGGAAAAGGTATTCCGAGCAGGCCTTGCGCAATTGGGCTCGCACGTTGGTTGCGCGGAAGGTCCTGTGACTGGGGCAGAGACGAAGAGGTGGGTAGTCGAGCACACCATATCCTTATCCTGGAGAATCGGGCGTGCGGTCGCCAAAGCGCGAAAGAATAATCGCATCGACAATGTAGCAGAATCAATTATCGACGAAGTGGGAGGACCTGAAACCGCACAGGTTCTCTTCAAAGGCAAGATTGTAGGGGTCGAGAGGACTCTGCGAATGGGCCACGTCTATGGCGAAGTCATCATCGAAGGTGCTGATATCAGCGATGGAGGTGCGGACAAAGCATCGGAGTTCTCTGGGAAGATCAAGATCCCGTTTAAGAATGAGAACATTGCTGCCATGAAAATGAATGAGGATGGGAGCGAAGACGTGCTCGCAACCGTCCCAGACCTTATTGCAGTCATCGATGCTCAGAATGGGGAGGCTATCGGGACGCCTGAGTATAGGTATGGTCTACTGGTGACCGTTCTGGGGATCACAGCGTCAGATAGATGGACATCCACGCCTCGCGGGATTGAGATTGGCGGTCCGAAAGGATTTGGGCTCGATCATTTGGAGTATAAGCCTATAGGAAAGTTTGTCAAGCCGAAGAGTGTTATTGATGAGTATTCGGTAGACTCATAGAGGTAATCACGGTAGGTAATCCGGTGCCTGGGAACACACATATACATCAAAGATATATTTCTCCGTATGTATGCATTAGAGCGATTTAAGATGTCCAGTAGTAAGGCCATTTCTTACCTTTCTTCTCAGTCTTCTCTGGCTTTCCGTTCTCCACCTCATTTGCCCCCTCTGCCATTCTCGCAATTCGAACGGCAGCCCCCCCGGCCTTTGCTCGTGTATTTGGTGCCATCCCTCTGAAAGGGTGCCATCCGTACTTTTATCTACAGCACGTTCTTCTTAGGGTGGCCGACTTAGGTCTCCAGTCTCTTCAGTCTTTTCAGAACCACGCTCAATGATAGACGGCCCTTGCGATTGAGCGGCCGCGTCTTGTTCCATACTGCGCGGAACAAAAGGCAAAGCTCTAGGATTCTGGTGAGTTCTGGCGGTTAGCAAGGGGTTTGTACAAGATTACAGGACGGAGAGAGATGAGATGGAAACAAGCGAATGGTCACGTGACGATAGACGACTACTCAACCGCAGCAAACGGAGACGCGCTTACCAGCGGGTTCCTTTGGTTACCAATGTTACTCTTTGGAGCTGATTATGTAGGACGGGAGCGACGACGCGACATTTTGGCACTATTAGAGTTGAGACGAAAAGAAGAGGTCCGCGGCGAAACTTCAGATGGAAGTAAAATCCAGCGGAATTCACCCAGATTTATAAGCCCTACGCTGGTGAATGCCGGAAAACGGAAGAAAGACACAGATGACGTGGGTTCTATCATTATCGGCCAAGCAGAATATAATGAATGTGGTGAACGGAACAATAGGTAAGTTTTTCTCCCAGTCACCCCTCCAAGCCGACAACTCCTCTCTCCCCACCACATCATTCTCTTCTTACGCAAACTTAGATTTTATCCTTTTCCAGCACTAAGTTGGTATCGTACGACTACTCTTTGGCAGCAGTGCAATTGTGTACTAGCACTGTAATCATGTGAGTGTCCACGATATCTTCAAACGACCCCGATGCAACCTCATGACACCTCCTCGACGACGTCTCGCTCCATCAACGGTACCAACAGCACTGACGAACCCCTTCTAACACAGGAGGCTCGACAACGAGCTCCCAGAAAACCCGCTCTCCACCTACGCCCCCGCAAAATGGCCCGAAACCCTCTCGCGGCAATTTCTCGACTTCGGCGCCAACTACTACACTTCTCCCGCAAAGGGCGCAGAAGCCATTGCACAGCGCCGCAAGTCCGCGACCAACCTCGCCGCCGCCCTTCTATCCCACTTCTGCCCTTCCCGTGTCGGCTTCAAGCTCCACACCGACACAACCGGCAGTCTCTCCGCCACGGCCCGCCTGCACCGCACTATCAAGACCTGGTGCGCGGCGGCGCTGCAGCTCGACGACGGCTTGCGGACACACATCATCTTCAACACCATCGCTGACCGCACCGACGAGGCGGCCAAGAGCCTCGCGACTAAGGAGGACAACGCGTTCTGGAATCACTTGGAGCGTTGGGGCGGACTGCCGATGCGGCTGCTTCAGATGACGTCGACGAAGCTTGGAGGGACGCGGATTCAGAAGGTCATGGTGGGTGGAGAGGAGGTGTCGCACGCGTTGGTTGTGCTGGTGATTGGGACTCAGTTTGAGTTCTACACTTTCAGTAAGAGACATGGCCATGGGGATAAGCTGGTGCCGTGGTATGGGGGTGGAGTGGTGGAGCCGGTGGTTAGGGATGGGGATATGGAGCGGAAGCCGACGAATGTGCTTATGGCGGACGAGGAGGATATGAGGGGAGTCGATGCGTATATCGAGGCGTATCTGAGCTTGATGTGAGTGGAGTAGGGGTGCCAGGGGGTGATGGCTTGGCTGTCAGGTAGGCGGGACGGTTGGATGGGCCGATTTTGGTGGGGGATCTTTGGGTAGATTAATTCAAAGGCAGGTTGTAGGGCTAGCGATATCATAGAGCGGCTATCGGCGGAATGGGAGGGTGGAAAGCTCTGCGAAGCGCCCTTAAGTAGAGCAATCATCAATAAAAGAGTAGCAAAGAATATGAACGTGTAGATGAGATTTAGTGATTGTGATTGAGAACTCATGTAGGTTTCTAGAGCTTTTTACAGCTTCAAGATCTATCAGGTAAGTTGGCACAAGCGAAGTGGGAAGGTGGATAGCGTTGTGAGGGGCACTTAGACACTGGAGGCGAGGGGTTCCACAGCGTAACAACCCCGACGAACTCAATAAACGATAACTAGCAACGAAACATATAGGGCTTCAAAGGCTTCCCAGGATAGTTCACTTGGAGGGTCGCAGAAATGCCACGATCATGGCCAAGAGAATAAAGGGACTACTACAAGCGTAGTGAGAAGGAAGAGAGCACTTTGAAGCAACAGCATAGTTGATTGACCACTTAACTTCTCTCATTGGACATTACGATTTCCATACCTTTACCACACTCGCCGCCGACGCGTCCTTCTCCCCAGTCCTTTTAGCCAACGTCAACATACTGAGTGCGGCGTTCGTTAGAAACGCAGGGCATTTCAGACTCTGTGCCTCATTGGCAGCTTCCGACAGGCCCTGTGCTACATCGTCCAGCCTTTTTCCCGACCCCGACCACGCCGAAACATCCCCTGTTAACCCCTTGATCATTTGAGCGCCAACGTCTCGAAACACATGACTTCCACCAGCCGCATCGACGGCGAGCTCGTGCAGCTGGTCCAATGGCAGATTGACTTGCTGGGCAAATGCTATTGACTCTGCTGTAGCGCAAACGTATATCCCGATGAGCATGTCAACGACAAGCTTCAATTTGGCGGCCTTTGTCTCTTTGTCGAGATCGCATTTGACGTCCGCAACTGGGCCGGGGTAGTAAACTCGGACCATTCCCGCATCGTCTTCGGAGCCGAAGCCTTGCGAGAGGCCGGAGAAATAGACCTGCTCAGCTGCGGATGCCATAGGTACGGGAAAGTTGCAGAGGCGCGCCGAAGAAGTAATAATGCTCTTTAAGACGTTAGTTCAGCCAGCAAATAATCCACATGAATCTGGATTCAACGAAAAGAAGACACTGCAGCTTACGGTGTCTTTCAGTATAATCGTCAGCGCACTAACCCCCGGCCTCCACGCCTCTAAGCCCGCAATAACCCTCCTCCCTCGATCCTCGACCATCCAGCTCCACGCTTCGCCCTCTACAATCTCTTTCCTGACGCTATCTGCATCTAGACCCAACCGCGCCGCAAATCCATACGCCTCGCCCGTCACGAGTATCTGGATCGCAGCTAGGACTTGATGCGCCATCTTCATATTGCTGCCCGCGCCAATCCCACCCTTCACGATAAACAACTTCTTAGGCGCACTCATTGCCTTCAGCAGCCACATCCCCTTCTCTAACGACGCAGTCCTGCCACCCGCCATGATAGACAGCGTCCCATCCGCGGCCCGAAACGCGCCTCCAGAGACCGGGCTATCGATGAAGAAAACGTCACCTCTCCCTATTTCTTTTAATTCTCGCTCTACGCTCACCGCGTACGATGCCGGGACTGTGGAGCAAAGAAGCAGCACCGCGCCCTGCGGCAGCTTATGCACGATTCCTTCTTCCCCGGCGGTGCCGAACAGGGCACTCTGGGCTTGCACGGCGGTCGCGACCATGACGATGTAGAAGGGCATGTCGGCTGCGGAGTTAAGGAGCGATGGCGATGGGTTGCCGCCCGCGGCTTCGAAGCGTTGGAGAGAGGGTGGATAGAGGTCGAAGCCTTTGACTTGATGGCCGGATTTGACGAGGTGGGTGGCCATGCCCATGCCCATGGCTCCGAGGCCGCAGAAGCCGATGGGGGCTTTGGTAGTCATGTTGGTGATGCAGACGTGTTGTGTGCGAGACGTTGATGGAATAACTGAAAGAGGCCGATGAAAGATATAAATGGGAAGCTTGGAATAGCAACGAGGCGAATTGACAAGAAGACTAAGAATCGATTGAAGGAATGGATGATTTTGCGGAATCTAAGCACGAAGTCTGGTGGAGCCCTGGATACGAAAGTACTCAAGCTTCACACTCCGCTTATAACCTAATGTAGTATCCCGCTAGACCCACAACTAGGGCTTTGCTTTTGAGAGAGCTCACACCTACTGGACTGATGAATGTTTCCGGTAAAATGATAAAAAAGACGGGATAAATAGAGAGCCTATAAGAAATTCGCAATAGAGCATCATACCATGCCCCGCTATACCCCGCAGCAGGGCCGCAACGTCATGTTTCGACGGAGTAGAAAATGCTTCGCTTCAAGATCGCCCGAAGAAAAATAACGGGGCAAGTATGCCGGCATTTTGAAAAGAAAGCCGAGTATCGGAAGGAAAGCCGGTACGAGCTGATCCAGTCAATGACCGTTTTCACTCACCCATCTTCACTCCATACAACACAACGTGCCCACGATCCCTTAACGCCCAACCTACTTTCTCTACTCCACCATCACATAATACCACAATGGCTGCCTCAATGAAGGATAACCGAGCGCTCCCCATCCTCGTCCATGCTCGGAAGCACAAATATGGCGTGCCCTCCATGTGCTGCTACAACACCGAAGGCATCCTCGCCACCATCCGCGCCGCCGAAGCCAAGTCCTCGCCCGCCATGATCCTGCTCTTCCCATGGGCGATCCAGTACGCAGGCGGGCTGCTCGTCCACCTCGCTGCCGAAGCTGCCCGAGGCTCTTCGGTCCCAGTCTCGGTCCACCTTGACCACGCCCAGACGCCCGAGATCGTGCGCCAGGCGGCCGATATGGGCGGCTTCGACAGCATAATGGTGGATATGTCGCACTATGAGAAGGAAGAGAACTTGCGGCTGACGACGGAGCTGACGAAATACTGCCATGAGCGGGGGATAGCTGTTGAAGCGGAGCCGGGGCGGATTGAGGGAGGGGAGGATGGCGTGAGCGATACCGTGGATCTAGAGGGCTTGCTCACGACGCCGGAGGAAGCGCAGGAGTTTGTGGATTGCGGGATTGATTGGTTGGCGCCGGCTTTTGGGAATGTACATGGGAATTACGGGCCCCGAGGTGTGCAGCTAGAGTATGAGCGGCTGGATGGGATTGATAAGAAGGTTGGGCATAAGGTTGAGCTTGTGCTGCATGGGTCGGACCCGTTTACGAAGGAGATATTTGGGAAGTGCATTCAGCATGGAGTTAGCAAGGTGAACATAAACAAGGTATTGAATACGCCCTGTCAAAAGGTGTGGGCAGAAAAGTCGGGGAAGGTTCCCTTCACCGCGTTGATAGAGGAGGCAACGAGAGAGATGCAGAAGGCGGTAGAGCAGTGTATTGAACTGCTTGGGTCAGAGGGCAAAGCGGTTTAGGATTTTTCAGAGGAAAGGAAACTACTAATTAAATATGACGAGATGAACGCGTTCGAAAGGGGGATGGGGAACCTTGGCATGGTGCTGAGCCCGACAATGATGGCTCTGTCCACCGCCAACGCTCGGAGGTGCTCCGCTCGAAAGACAAGTTATCATAAATTCAAAACTAAAGGTGGTTTTCCGGAGAGGTGATCACAGCTGCACGTTAAAAAGGGGTTGCGGCCCCTGTTGATGCCAAGCTTTTTGACATCATTCCGGACGTCGCATTCTTCCTTTCCCTACCCAGACACACTTCAATGTTACAAATTGCAATGCCGGATTCACTAAGCATATCCGCAATGTTATAACATCCCCCCTTCTTTATGTCATCTCGACGTGCCAGCCATTTTCTCGGACTATCCCAGAGATGCGGACGGCTCTGCGGCGCCAGGAAGACGTCAAGTCATCAAAATGAAAGAAGTCTATTGCAACACCTTCTAAGATCCCTCCTCTCAATGCACTAAAGCTTTAATTATGACAAAAAGGTATTTCATAGTAACTCATTTCGACTTTAGTGGATTCAATTCGCATGTAGCCTGACTTCAGCAATATTATCTTCTCATTTCTCATTAGACCCCCAACACTCCGAATCCCTACCTACAATCCCAAGCCTCCCAAATTCCCAATGATTTGCGTAAGGTTCAAATCTTGCAAGTTATCCACAATCTACGTAGTATTCAAATTGGTCCCATTCCCCTTCAACGCACTCAAATCCAGCGTCTTAATCCAGCTCTCAAAGCTACTGAAGATGTACGTTCCCACGCCCGAAATGTTGCTCTTGAATCCCTGCAGCGACTGCTGCACAATCGGCTTCAACGCGGTGGGGACGTCGAGTCGTAGCGCATTCATCACTTCCTCGATGTAGGTGATGTGGACGCCGTTGTAGATGGTAGCAGTACCGGTAACGCCCAAGAGGATCTGTCCTTGTTTGAGGTATGAGGCTTGGACGGCGTAAACGGCTTTGAGGTTCTGGAGGATGGTCATGAAGTCGAGGGTGCCGCGGAACTTGATGGCGTTCGCGCCGGGAGAGAGGTAGACGTGGTACATGGTGACATTACCGATGACTAGATCACCGGAGAGAGCGTTGAGAGTGACGTTGCCCATGTCAGCGGTCAGGATAGACTGGTTTGGAACGGAGAGGTTGCCGATGAAGTTGACGCCATCGTCTTCTGGTGGCAGGGCCAGTTGGCCGCTGGTAATGCCCAAACCTTTGAACTTCTCGAGGCCTGCATAACATTGTTAGAGTGCGGAGAGGAGAATGTTGGGTTTGGATCGTAGATTACCGGTCAAGGTGATGTCTTTCTTCATATTCACCTTTGCTTTCAACTTCCCAAAGTGGGCAGTCACTTTTCCCAGGCTCTTCGCTTTCAGGGTAAACTTAGCGTTGTTGACGACATCGCTCATGAACTTAGAGAACATGGGCTTGTCCAGAACCGGATCAACCTGATACGGAACTGTGAGATTGGCATTGCCATGCAGCTTATAATCGGGTAAATTGGCATTGAGATACGTAACACTCTTCCCGTCGTCGTTTTGGTCGTACAAGGACATAGTAAAAGGGTCCATCTTGACAGTCAGGCCGATGGGAACTTTGAGTGACGCTTGGAAAGATACTCCGACGGTGTCAGCCTTTGGGTCGAGGATGTGCACCCAGTGAATAGGGAGTGCCGCCACATTAATAATGCGTTGGGCGAGTGCGGGTACTATGACGAGGAATCTGGTTGTGGTCAGTACCCTGAATTTGCGACAACAAGAGCTGTCCTTAGTCTAGCAAAGAACTCATGAGACTTACAGAATCGGCAAGAATATTGCGAGAAAGACGACTATACCAGCAGCGTAGAAATACCATCGCCGCTTCAGGTGATTGTATGCCCGCCTACGTCGCCGCAACGGCTTAAGAGGGGGTTCTTCTTCATTCGTTTCGGCGTGCTCAATATGCGTAACGGTGTCTTCTTTCGCCCCATCCAAAGCGTAATCTGGGGGTGGTTTCTCGTCGATAGGCTTCTCCTCTATCGGCTCTTCGATTTCTTTCCCTTTGGAGCCTTTCTCGCTATAGCTCAACTCGCTAGCTCTAGGCGATGATTTTGAGCCGCTGGAATGTTTCATGAGGGGATCTCGATTGGAATCATCATTGACGAGGGTGACGCGATTAGAGTCTTCAGCATCGAAGAAAGTACCATCGTGGGACTTATCCATGGTGGCAGATGGGGCAATTCAAATGATACAGGATGCCTTCAATCCAGACGAGACGGCGAGATGTATGGAGACGATAGCAAAGAGGAGATCAGAGATCAGAGATCAGAGATACACCGGCACGGCACTCTCAAGAAGAAACATCGCAACGGTCGAACTCTTACCCCATAAACCCCATTTTCCCTACCCCACACCTTCCCCAGTCTCCCCTCTTCTCGTCCGGCCCCGGATCATCACCAGGCCATTCTTCCAGTTGTGCTATCGCGGTTGCCACTTCAACATCGCGATCGTCGTTATCGTCTTGCAGTGCCGGACGGACTCGGCGACGTCCAAGTCATCCGCCCCATCGCAGCATCTCGTGTAGCAAGTCAAGCCGCGGCAGAATATCATCTCGTCCTCGCTTAAACTCCCCGGATCTTCACATGAACGAAATGCTCCAGTTGGCTGGCCAGCACATTTACCTTGGTACAAGCCCGACCGTGGGGTCTAGCGATATTTTAACCATTACTCCTCCCCAAAAGCGACAATGCGCGCGGCGATCCGGAATCCTCACGACGAAGCTGGCTGTTGGTAAGGGCAAGAATATGGGCCCGCAGGGCCTAGTCTGCGTGCTACATACCATTGCCTCGTTTTTTCCGGGGTAAAAAAAGGGAATCGCTGTCACCTCGCTGTCTCTATGTACTGCATGCAAAACGCCCATGTCTCGCGTAGCCTTATCGCTCCTCTGATTGGCCACCCCCGAACTTCTCACCCCGAATCCAGCAACCCCGAAATCCTCACCCCGAGCGATGCCCTCCCCTTCCGACGCAAAACGACCACTAACCCCGGTTCAGCGGCGGGGCTCCGGGGCCAGACGGAGCAAGGCAATTGATCATCCCGCGGCCTGACCGTCCCTTGCGTGCCCACTTTCGACCGAGGTAAGGTCGGGGTTGGGGGCTTTGATTCGTAGAGTTGCTGGTCCGGGGCCCCTGCATGGGCCGTCTGGGGGCGGCAGCTGGCAGGGTGGGACCGGGAGGGCGCGTGCGGAGGGCAAAGGTTGTTTTGACTTCAGGGTCACGTGATGAGTGAGCTCTGGGCTCGTTCAAGGGTAGCGAAGAGGCAGGTAGGAACAAATACCTTTCCTCTGAGGTAGTTTGACAGCGCAGAGGATGAAGAGTCACGGCAATTTAGGTATAGTGTTGGGAAGCCAAAAAAAGGATGCATGCACCAATCGTGTTTAGATTATGCTACTGAAGTAGCGTAGTAGGGCAGCAGGGCCTGTCCGGCCCAGGTAGCGAGTAATGCATGTCAGTCCGTCCGTTCAGGATGCACCTTGCAACCTCCCCCATGGCGTGCGTGGACGCCAGACATCCCCTCCCCGCCCGATCCCATGTCCTCGTGCCCTATCGTCAATCGTGCGTGCGCGCGGTAGCCTATCCCAGAAGGGCTTTGAAGAGCTCTGATACTTCCACGATCAACTACTCGCTGTGAGTAAACCGGCATAGCAAAGACGGGGGAATTAAGACATACCGGCGTCGCATCATTAATAAGCGTCTTGGTGTTGGACACGAAATCCGGTGTGAGTAAATCGTGCGCACCACCGAGGATGTCGGTCACGTTCGTTAGCAAGGCCGGGGTGAGTAGACCGCCGACCTTGGACAGCAGGTCCGAGTTCAGCAGGCCCGTAGCCTTCTGGACGAGGGACTTCAGGTCCGTGGTGGTGGTGTCGTCGAGCAGCTCGTTGGCGTGGTCCAAGATCGACTTGACTTCCGTGAGGGTGTCTGGGGTGAGGATTGAGCCGACGGTCGAGACGATAGATGTGAGGTTCTTGACCAGGCCAGTGATCTCGCTCGTGTCGATTTGGCGAGTGTGGAGGGCTTCCATGATGGCGGCATCGGCGATTTCAGGCGCTGCTATCGGATTGGGTCCTGGTCCGGGCGATGACATGACTGCCATGGTCATGGCCGCGAAGAAGAGGGAGATGCTTTGAAGGAACTTCATGATGAAAGCTTTGCGGTATAGAACTCTTAGAGCTGCAAGTTAGACGACAGATAGAGTATTCAGAGGCGTGCGATGGTGGTCAGGCTGGGAACATTCTGATATTTTATATCTGCATTACCTCCATCTTTGCGAATGCGGAGAACCAAGTTACCCCGGAGATGTCTATTCTAGAGAAGGTCATAATCGACCATGCGAGGTGCTGTTACTGCGCTTTCCATTACCCCCCCTTGTAGCGTCCGGCGGCCGGAGGCAACAGTCGCTATTCTACCCGCGTGAATAATTGAGCCGTGGAATTCGTGATCCAATCCCCACAAGCTTTGGGATCCTTCCCCGGAACAGCCGACCTAGCTAGATTACTAGAGCCGTGGTCTCTGGGAACCTAGGTCAGACGTCATATGGTTCTTACCGAAAAGCTTTGTTGCTGATCGTCTCCGCCGTAACGCTTTCTCGATGGCTACCCTTGCAACACCAACAACAATTGCCGACGAAGCAGGGGTTTCTGTGGGGAGCAATACCGCGCGACCCAAGGAACAGGCAAACAATCCTCGTCGCCTCCTGTGAGGTGCAAGTCATTGCAACACTGCAGTTCTCATGACTTGCTTTCCTTGCACATCTCAGAGCCGAATTCGAATGAATGTATGCTTCGAAAATGGAGCAATTTCTCAAGGAGTGTGCTTGTAGAGCAGTGAGACCCAAATGAAGACCGATGGCATATAGGGCTGATTTAATCACATTACTCCTACCGCATATCCATCTTTGCCTCGTGACCCAGCTGTGAAGAGAGAATGCTTGACGATATAAATTTGTTGATGGGTATCCTTGACACCATTCACCCTGGCGTTGATGGAATATGAGTGAGCTCCGGTTGAAGGTTCTAGTCGTGGGGAAACTCTGTTCTGTTGCTTGCTAATCTGAACGTGCTGACACTCAACGGATCTGATCTATTGAAAATTGGCGCAATTCATTCGTTGCTTCGGCTTATGCGAGCTGCGGAATCGGGCATCAGCACATGTGCATTATGCCGGGTCCAAATTCAGTGAACGCGACCTGCCCTTCACGGGGGAAATGAAGATGCGTTTACACATGTTGGATGCCACAGATATTCATCCATGTTACCCCAACCGGGAGGCGGCCTCGGACGAGCATTTGCTTCGTTCAAGTCTGCGTTGAAGTCGGGTCTCTCGGGCGGAGGTCGATCTCTTCTAGGAAAGCCGGCCACTGGCCACATGGGAATATAGCACATTTCCTACGACCATCATTAATACAAGTCCCATAGCAAACGGATGATGATTGTCACTTACACCGGGTGCACAAACATCTCGGCAGGTGGAGTCCTGCTCCGCCCATCCGAGCCAGGCTATGAGCTCCTCCAGCTGATGTTTCCATTGAGTAATTCTGTCGGCGAATCCTATGACCCGGGACCCCCTTGGGTCATCTCCACGAGGGCCGTTGTTGTAGTGCGCAAGCCAAACGTACTCTACTTCCATGCCGATTCGAATGAAAGTGCTGCAGATTCCTGAAAGCGTGTCGTTTATACCGGAAGAAAGCACATCTTCGCGATCGTTCAGCTCAAAGCCGTCCACTGCGTACTGACTGCGACACCTTTCAAAAGCGTGTCGTGCTACTTGAGAATCCAACGAGAACATATTTGCTAGGGCATGTTTCGAATACGGCCGATTTGGCGGGTACTCCAAGAATTGGAGAAGCAACCAGTGCGTCAAGAATCGAACGGACTCCAGCCTAGCTCGCGTGTTCAAATCTGCATCTCTGTTTCCAGCTTTTTGCAGTGCCAGCTGGAGGTCTTGAAGTACTACGTGATAAGTTTTTACAATCTCCTGGGCGATAGAATGCCATTCAATCCCACTACAGCTCTTTCCATTGCCTAGTACTTTCTTCAGGATGGCGTTAACACTATTTCGCATGATCAAACCGTCATCATTACTGACGTTGTCGAGCTCGTGCGCTCGTCTTCGCCGGGTAAGCTTTTGCAGACCCATGAGTCTATCGCTTTCCTCCTCAGGTTGGATCCAGAGTCCACCAGTAGTGATATTCAACTCTTCAGCTTCTTGGATGATCCTCGAAGTGGTTTGGCCCTGCATTCCCGGATCGTAGAATGAGAAAAGTCCGCAGACATCAACCTTCACTCGGGGTTCGCCAAAGTACCGTCGTGTGGCGGCAGAGAACCACATCCAGCTGGAGAATTCCTTGAAAGGTTCGATCGGATCCGCCATCCCAGGCCCATGCGGTCCCTCATCACCATCTTCCAACTTCTTTACCCGAGACCGCCTTCTCAACTCTCCAAGCTCCACAGCCTCCTCTTGATCACTCAAACGACCGCTCTCTGACTCCTCCAACTCAAGCCGTGGTACTGACACATTCAGATTCGACACCAACCTTAACGACGGCGACTCAAAATCACACCAAATAGCCTCAAACCCCGCATTCATCCTGACCACGCCCTCATACCCCCATCCTCTCCCCCCAAGCCCCTCCTCTTTTAGCCACGCACAAAGCCCTCTGGCCCGGAAATACTCGTCTTCAAGCGGGTTCCAATGCCTATCCCCATCATTTTTTCCTCCCCTTCCAGGAGGCCGCCCCGGTCTCGGCCACTCTCGTTTGGGAATACCATCGGTGCCGTTGTACAGGAACACCATCTGGCTTTTTGTACCATCGCCCATCAGACTCGCGCTCATGCCATCAAAGTACACGGCGCGTACTGGCCGAGTCGTACGATAGGTCAGCAGTCGCGAATCTGGCAGGTTGCCCATGATCCCATACGCCATTTCCACATCAAAGGCGAGCCACTCCGGACTCGGCGGCGGCGACGCATCATGGCGGCCGTGGTAGAGCAGCGTATGGGGCGGTATGGTAACGCTAGCAATTGTGTGACCGTTGGGGAAGAAAGTTTGGGGCCATTGTTGGAGTAGGGTTGCTAGAGAATGGAACAAATAGGGACCGGGCGAAGAGAAATTGAGGGAAGTGGGAATATGCGGAGGATTTGAAGGAGGTGAGAGGGGTACTTGGTTTATAGCTATGGTTGGACATATTATCAGAAGGAAGAGGCTTGTGAGACTTGTGAGAGTGGGGAGCCGGATGCCGAGAGGAACGTGATCTTGGTCCATATCGTAGGTAGGTCTACTGCTGGAGTCTTGAAATTTGGAGTTGAGACATGTAGAAACTAAATAATTGAGAAGGTTGCGAGCTCATCTCGTTTGGATCGGAGTTGCTCCTGGGTTTTGTTCGAGATACTTATCGTGAGGTGACGCGTCGTGGACAAGGGCTGCGATAGGCAGATTGACCGAAACTCGTGACCGAAGGACTATGAATACACGGACACGTGGAGAAAGATCCTGCCTCACCGAGTGTTTGCTGAAATTCATAAAAAACCTTACCTCTTCACGAAACTGCGATGACGGAGTGGAAAAGCAATACTTTAAATTGGTCACGTGACTGGTCTCTTTCTCCAGATCAGTAGGTCTTGGCATTGCACAAGCGCCCGTAGAGGCCCAAAGGAAGAGTATGCAAAAACCTATTTATACCTCCAAGTTGGCCTCTTGAGATCTTATGTTGCTAGTTCGCTCATAAATATATTAGGACGCTCGAGCTCGCTTACCTCTCTTGGTCACGTGCTTTTAAAATTGCGTCCACTCATACAAAGACTAGAAGTGGCGACCGGCTCGTGCACGCTACCACCTCATGCACGGTCTCGGAGGCCCCTCACCGCTTTTTCTCTCAAGCTTCAACACCGCACAACTCCACCAAAAATACACAGATTTCCTTCGAAAATGGATGCAATGGAAGCTGCGTTCGCGGAGCTTGATTTGATGGAGAAAAAGATGTATACTGAGGTCGCAAAGAAGCATGGGATTGACAGAACCACGCTCTCACGGAGGTACCGAGGAATCACGAAGTCAAAGGCTGAGGCCTACAATTCTCAAAAGCTCCTCTCTCCTGGCAAGACTAAGGCTCTCATCAAATACATCAACAACCTCTCCGAAAGAGGCTTGCCTCCTACGCATCAAATGATACGAAATCTCGCCTAGGATTTAGCTGGGAGAATGCCAGGAATCCACTGGGTTTCACGCTGGGTCCATTCGAATTCCAAACGCCTCAAATCAGCCTACCTTCTTCCTATTGATAAGGAACGGAAAAGGGCTGATTCTGCCCTCTACTACAGCCTCTACTTTAAGCTTCTTGGTCGCAAAAGAGATTAATATAACATCCAGCTAGGAAATACATATAACATGGATGAGAAAGGATTTCTTATTGGAAAATTGGTTAAGAAGAAGAGAATCTTCAGCAAGCTTGCCTACGAGTTAGGAAGGATGCGCCATGTTATGCAAGATGGCAATAGAGAGTGGATTACTGTGGTGGCAGCTATCTGTGCAGATAATACGGCACTTCCTCCGATACTTATCTATTAAGCTGGAACAAACAATGTACAGGATAAATAGCTTAAGGATTTTAATCCGGACAAATATGCCTGCTTCTTCACATCAACACCAACCGGATGGACTAACAACGACCTAGGCCTTGCTTGGTTGAAGATCTTTAATCGAGAGATAAAGGCCAAAGCCAACAAGGAGTAGAGGATGTTACTTATTAATGGCCACAGCTCTTATATAAATATGAAGTTCATTAACTACTGCATTAGCAACAGGATTCTCCTGGCTGTATATCCGCCTTATTTAACACACCGCCTGCAGCTATTAGACGTCTCTCTCTTCGTCCCCTTGGCCATTTACTATTCTAATAAATTGAACCGGTTTATAATAAATTGTGAAGGATTCTCCCGCTTTATAAAGAGAGACTTCTTCAGGACCTTTTGGGTGGCATAGAAGAAGGCTATGACTCCTTCTAATATAGCTAGTGGATGGAGAAAGACGGGTATTCACCTATGGAACCCGGAGGTTGTATTAGATTAATTTAATACCAAGAAAGAGAAGGAAGAGGATAAAGATAAAGAAAGGCCATTATCAAGCAACTCTACTGGGTCGGCTCTTACAGCTGGTGACTGGAAGCGAATAGAAACACGCCTAAAACAGGTGGTAGAAGTTACTATACAGTCCAGCCTCCAAAAAGAAGTATAAGCTTTAACTAAAGATGTTCACTAACTAATAGCAACTAATACACTTCTTTAAAGTCAAATTTGAGGCTACTAAAAAGCATTTAAGATAGAGCAGAAGAAGAGGAAGCGGCAGAAGAACCTCTTTCAGATTCTGGCTGAAGATAATAATGGAAAAGCGGCAGTCTATTCACCTAATAAGGTGCGGCAGGCTCGAGAGCTACACTAAGAAAAAGAGGATGCTAAGGCTCGTGATACAGCTTTAAAGGCTGAGGAGAAGGTACAGAAGCAACTTGCTAAGGAAGAGAAGGAAAGAATAGCTGAGTTCAATCGCTCTGCTAAAGCTGCTAAGCAGAGAGAACAGAAGGATGCTGAGGATCTCAAGAAGCGCAAGGCACAGGAAGCACGTGAGGCACGTGATGCAGAGAAGCAGCTTAAAGATAAGAGGAAGGTAATACACCAGAGGCAGAAGGCTCGCCAGGTTGTATTTACTATTCCTAAGGAGCCTACAGGCCAGCAGAATCATGAGGTAGAGGAGTGGGTAGCGAAATCAGCCTCTGGCCGGCCTCAGCGTATCCGGAATACGCCTAAGAGGTACGATGACTCTGTGATTATGATAGAATGAAAGAGCGTCTTCGGTTTAGTCTCCCCATTGATTTCTATGAGGTTCTGAGTAATATGAGTGAATGTATATGTTTTTGAAGTTCGTGATGCATGCACGGGGAAACCGTGCACGAGGTGGTAGCGTGCACGAGCCGGTCGCCACTTCTAAACTGCCGTCCTTCACCTTTCGGGTGAAAGTTCATGCAGTCATGCGTTGCCTATATTAGCTGCTAATATAAAAGCTTACGATCACATAAGTACTAAATGACGCTAAAGGCAATGTGGCGCCCTGGCCTTGGGTTATAAGCACTCAGCCACATCAGCCAAAGGCTCAGCCATCAACAATCCCCAGGCTCCCAACTGTATATAAATCTAGTTTTGCCCTCCATCTCGAGTTCCGGATACGACAACCCCACACTTTTCAACATGTCTTATGAAACTAAGACCATAACACCCCTTTATTCGTTCGACATCTGCCCACAGGGCAAGCCAGCCGGATTCTCGCTCAGTGGTGCTTTCTATAGCAGGAAAGCGCCAATTTTTGCTGTATACCGTAATCGGGGCTGCAGAGAAGAGAACAATAGCATCAGACCTCCGACGTATTTCATCGAAAATGACATTCCACCTTGGCTATTTCGATCTCAGTGGACACCCATCAGCATCTCAGAAAATACTCCGGCGCCTTCAGGCCACTCCGATAAAACCCCTACGAAAAGGCGGCGCTTGATGATTGAACAGTAGCTTCTTGAACGTTTCATGTGCGTCATAGGTAGCGTCCGATACACTCCCTCTCCAGAGCCTTCGGGCAGCTTCGTCAAACCGAAGTCCACCTCGGACGAGCAAGAGCTGCAGCTCACCAACGGGCTAGGTCATGGACAATGGCGAGACTCAATCTTGGCTCAACTGCTCGGACGCGACATGTCTAAACCCTTGGAATGGTGCGCTAGTTCAGACCAGTGGGATGGGTTCGACAAAAGCTACACCAGTCGATTTGTCAAGTTAGCGTGGGAGTCTCGAGGCAGGTGTGTTGGAGGAAGCTTAATGCTTAAAAGTGGTCAAGATATTCTAGCCATCTACAAGCCCAGATCGTCATCTTGGCAAAACTACAGTGCGGAGAAGCTCGAGGAGCTCGAGAACAGCGATGGCGTGGGGAGTCTCGGGATCATGATTGATGGGGTCAGCGGAGATGCACTGGAACATATGATTCTTACCTGTGTTGCCATTGAAGAGCAGATCATGAGGTCAAAGGGCTTTGGTGGATCGTACCATGCGGATTGGAGCGGCCAGTAAGAGATCCTCAACTAAAGAAACTTTCGCACAGAACCACACACCGCAAAGAACGCGGTACCTGAGTTCTCCTAGATGGAGGCAATAAATTGGAGCACCTCTTCTCCGCAATATTTGCTGCCTACACCAAGGTTATCTGGCTCCCCCTTCAGACTGAGAGGCTCCATAGTCCCAAAGGTCCAATCGCATCCGGAACCAAAACCGGCTTATCGATGGATAGGTAACGTCTGGAAACATTTGCAATTGACGTTTGAGCTCCCTATGCTGGTGATTCAGCCTTCTTGTTGTGCACCGTCTCTCGGGAGAGGGTGTAGCAACTTAGCAAGATTATCCAGTACCATGGTCCGCTCCCGATAGTTACCCTTTGTATGTTTTCGGACTTGGAAAGTCCCAAGCTAATAACTCCGATGCCGCAATTTCGAACATCTTCTCTAGATCGAGTTATTTCAAGAAACTGTTTGATGGGTTCAGAGGATCTTATCATAAAGATCGTCTTAAATGTCCGATCGTGAGTCACGGAAGCACAGTCCCAGGAAGTGCTACCACAATGACACTCAAATTTGGGATTTGAGCGAGGAAGGAGAAGTTAGGGAGGTTGAGGGGATAGGGGTAGGCTGCGGAGACATGATCTCATGGCCGTTTCTTCCGTTCCTATACCGGGTTCTAATAGAAAAACATGTTACAACCAGACCCCTTTCTGACTACAGCTCCACAGGCACTCCTTCATTCGCGCGCTAACATTAAACCTGCCCCCCTACTTTCAAACCCTCCTCACCCCTTAAATACCCACAAACTCGCCCGCTCCATATACCCCTTCAACCCCCATCCCACTCCACTTATGCCCGCCATACTCGACATCCGGCGCAACCTCAAAGTGCGAATTAACCCACACACTCCCCGCTCTCAGCCTCCGCGCCATCCTCTCCGCTCTCTTCACATCTCTACTCCACACACTCGCGCCCAACCCCGCCTTCCCGCTATTTGCGCGCACCAGCACATCCGCCTCATCCGACCATTTTAGGAGTGGCACGATAGGGCCGAAGGGCTCCTCAATCACAATCCACGAATCGTCGGGGGAGTTGTCGATAATGGCGAGCGTGATGAAATAATCTTTCTCGTCTTCAACGACGCCGCCGGCGAGGGCAAAGGTTTGGGACTCATTCTCACAATCTGCGTAGAGGGCTTCGACTTTCTCGAATCTAGAACGCCACAATAGTCAGATAAACCCCATACATCTCTCCCTTGCGCATTGCGTACATGGGGAAGGGGAAAAGGCGAAGGGATGGAACTCACTGCACCCCATTTTGCACCGGCTCAAGCCCATCCTCCGTCCTCACATTCTACCTTGTCCTCTCTACCATCGCATCCCTAAACGCCTCATAAACGCTCTCATGCACATAAAACCGCTTGACCAGCATACAAATCTGCCCGCTGTTCAAAAACGCCAGCGTTGCCAGCCGCGGCACCACCGCCTCGATATCCACATCTTCGCAGATAATGACCGGATCGTTGCCGCCGAGCTCAAGCGTCACGCGCTTCAGCGTCTCCGCGCACGCCGCGGCGACGAGTTCAGCCGTGGCGATCGACCCGGTGAAGCCGACCTTGTCGACGTGCGGGTGGGTGCTCTGTCAACAGCGGCCCTCGCTCGTCGCTGCCGTCGAGCACCTGTAGGACCCCCGGCGGGAAGGACATCCACCGCTCGCTCGCCTCGCTTCAGGGCGTAAACGAACTCAGCTCCATACCAACTGAAATTGCCAGTCATCAAACGCCGGGGCCAATCTATGCGTGCCCCATGTTACACACAAAATCACATCCCATAGGGCTCCGTTCGGTTCCAAGGTAATGCAATTACCGTTCCCAATCCCCCAAAAGCACCGGCCAATTGCACGGCATAATCCCCACAATCCCCACCACCCCCCAGCGGCGTCCACGTCCTGTAAACGATCTTCGCGCTATTCTCCTTCACCCACCTCGTCCCGCACCTCTATGCCTACAAACGCCCGCAGCCACGCGAGCGCCTTCGCGCACTCCATCTGCACCAAGGCGAGCGGCTTGCCCTGCTCCAACGTGAGCAGATTCGTGAGTTGCGGGAGTTGGGCCTCGATGGCGGGGGCGTAAGCGCGGAGAAGGGCGGCGCGCTCAGCGAAGGAGGTCAGGGACCATGTTGCGAACGTGGTGTGGGCGGCGGCGGCGGCGAGGGCGACGTCGGCCGGGGGTGGCCACGGGGACGGCGCAGAGGTGAGGGAGTGGCGGGTGGTGGGCGTCGGAACGAAGGTGTTGTTGATTATGTTGCCTGGGTAGGTCTGTTCAGGGGGGTTAGTGATAGATAGAGTATGGTGTAGCGTACGAGATGGTGAGAGTATTGGGGATGCTGCGATCTGCAAATTGGGAGGTTGAGCTTACCGTGATGTCAATCTGCCTGATAGCCATTTTGAGTTTCGGAATGAGAGATGGAGGACAGGTTTGGATAGAATGGTTGATTTGGTTGAGGGTTCTTCTACATTTTAAACCTCGGAAAACTTGGGCATACAGGTAAGAACTAGTCGCAAAGTATGCTATTTGGAATATACACATAGATGTTAGTGTTAGTGTCCTTATCTCTCGGTCCTTGTTGTCAGCCTGAACATTAAACTCCGCTGCTACCCTTGACGACTCTCCCGCCCCGTCCAGGGTACTCATCGCCTTATCTAGAATCAGGCTTGCTGTCGAATGTTGACATGTTATATGGGAGTATCAGAGGGCGAAAGATTCACGACATGAGCATCGAAGGATTTGACAAAGGATTTGACAAAGGATTTGACAAAGGATTTGATTAGTGCGAGGCTGCCCGCTTACATGGTGCGGTGCCAGAGTTCGGCTTTCGGGGTTTCAGGCCTGAGACAAGAGCATCGCTTGCCATAGTTTGACATTGAGGCATTGACAAATAGATCATAATGGCGGTCAGTGCAGATGACCTATGAGGAATTTGACTAGGTTTGGTGATGAGGCGGTAAACAGTCAACAGAACCGAGCTTTTAATTCGTAAAATCTCCCTATGCATATAACCAGTTAAATCGATCATAGAAGGAAAGTGTCCAATTCTTGATGCAAAGAAAACCAGTGTCCAGTGAAACATCAGGGCTCGTCGGCCGAGGAGTCCGCGTTGCTGCTGACCATTTGTGAAGAGCAATATTGACAAAACATAAGAAAATATCCCACACACCAGCGCCAACGCCCTCTCATAGACTAAAAGAGCGCCCAGCATTTGGTCATACATATGTTCGCGGTATGTGGTATCCATATGCCTCCATTGACAAACGAGTTTCCCATTGATCTGAGCCCATGAAAATGGGGGGAGACGACGTATACTGAGGAGGGATTCGCAACATCTAGACGTGTGACACACTGAGCAAGATAAGAGGAAGGGAAAGATAGCGATAATTGTCGCTTGAATGACTGGCAGAGTGGTAGGGCTTTTGAAGAAAATGGGAAGGGTCGATACTCTACTGGACTTACGCAATTATGAACAGGGAATATAAACAAATACCGGGTCTATACCTGAAACGCCTCCCTAAACATTTCTTCCAATGTGAAGATACTCAAATGCTCGAGTTCAGAAGACTCCTTTCGCCAAGCCCATCACTTTCAAACATACCTCTAACCTGCACTGTTCCCGTCGCATTCACTCCACTACCTTGAGCACCAACCCCAATATTGCCAGGGGCCGTAAGTCCACTACTTCCACTACTCGCGACATACCCGTTTACTCCTAGCCCATCATCCCACAAGAACTGCGACGCCTGCGTGTCCACACCCCAGCCAGCATTCACCCTTCCATCAAGGTCCAGCCCGTTGAGCAAGTCCGCAGGCGGAGGCAGATTGACCCCGTTGCCATTCGCCCTCCCTGAGTTTTGCGGCGCAGACGGGAAGACCAGCGTCGGCAGATTAGTCGAGAAGTTCTGCCCCTGCTGGCCCTTTGCTCCCGACCCATACGACGAATGCATCACAGAGGCATTCATTGGATTGGTTGGCGGTGCCACGGACGGAAAAGCTGGGTATGCGGTTGTCGAGCTCGACGCAGGTGGCAGCTTGAGCGTAGCGAGCGGATCTATGTGGAATTGGTCCATTCCGCCCAAGGTGTGGAAATTCAAGTGGTTAGTGATACCTGCTTGTGCGTTTGTATTGGCGTTACCATTTGAGGCGTTCGAGTACGGCGGATTCGTGTCACCCCATTGAAACTGCAAGATGTTTCTACTCAGCGTGATCGGGCTGTACGCGGCGTCGTCGTCGGCTTCAGAGGCGAAGTCGTCGAAAGAATTAGGGAAGGCGGTTTGGAGGGGGGCAAGGAGTTTGGGCATTGATGCCGAGACTGTAGTATTATGCAGTGAGGGTTGAGCACTGAGCAAAGAGGGATCGGGATTATTGTTCGCCTTCATGGAAGCGCTCGTGGCCGGCGTCACCTTTTCCCTAGCTTCGGCGTCAGTGCTGGATTCTTTCTGTTTCTTCTCCTGCTTTGGTTTGAGCTTGAAGCCCGCCTTTGAATATTCATCCGGGAAGCGTATTCGGAATCGGTCGCGAAGGTCAGAAGGCAGTCTGCTCTCAAAGCCTAGCTCGGCATCAGCTTTGATAGCATGCCAAACCGTCCCGTATTTCTCAAACCCTTTCATGAGTGCTGTGTCATCTTCTTCCGTGAACTCGTGCCGTTCACGCCGTTTGCTCTTCTCAAATGGTTTTTCGATTCCCATTTCGGCTAGTTCTTGAGCACCTTTACGATGGTTGTCAGAACGCGGCTTTCGCGCTGGTCTCAGGTTGGGAGATCCCAGTGGGGAGGACTTTGGCAATCTAAGGTTTTCCAGAGAAGGCTTGTTGGAAATCGTAGACGATTTCGACTTGTTTCCCCTCCTCACCTTGCCCGCAGCCCGATACTTGACTAATTCATCGGGACAACAGGTTCGAAATCTTGGGCTGTCAGCTAACGCTACACTGAAGAGTTAAATAGATATGGCATACCTATCCTTCAGATCAACACACGTCCTCCCTGGAAAGCTGTACTCGTTGCAGTCGAATATCTTCTTCCAGTTCCCAATCCCGAATTTACTCACCCCCTGCAGCAAATCCTTCGTCTCCTGCTCCGTCCATTTATTCCTCTTCTTGACACTTGTATTCCCCTGACCTTTTCTCTTTTCATCTACGTTCTCTTTCTCAGCAAAGCCCTCAACATGAACCGTCGTTTCCTTCTGACTAACGTCTCCTCGAGCTCGGTCTCCTGTTGTATCCCTTACGCTGGGGATATCTAAAACCGCACGTTCCTCTGTACTCTCCACAACTCTCGGGCTCGCCGCCGCCCTCTCTCCCGTAATCGGCGGAAACAGTCCCGCATCAGGCGGCGGATGATGCAAGCCCTGCAGGAGCGGCGGAATCCTAGGCCTGCGTCCTTTCTTTGCCGGCGGCGGATGCGGCTTCGGAAGCACGAGGTCGTTGTTCAGCACGCTCGCAATGCCTCCTCCCATGCCTCCAGAACCAGCGACATGCGTGCCACCGTTCTCGTGAGGAACGATGTGGCCACCGCTATACTCTCCCCGCCTAGCAACGCCCCCACCCGCATCACTACCACCAGCGATCGCAGTCGAAGCCGTCGCGCCATTTCCCGTCTCAACCCTCCGCTTCTTCCGCGGCCCAACACTCCCAACGCCGCCATCGAGCAGGATATCGCCCAGCCGCCCGCTAAACCCGCCTGTCGGTACCCCAGCATCACTGGTCGCACCTCTGTTGCCATCGCCGTCGAAATTGAGCACCTCGGTCAACGGGATCGTGCGGCCAGCCCTCCGTTTCGGCGGCGTCGGGAACTGTATGCGCGGCAGAGCATCGGTTTGCCTCGATTGATTTTGGTCGCCGTGGGTAGACTGGGGGTCGAGCAGCAAGGACGAGGCGGGGTCGCCGCCGAGGAGGGAAGGAATTCGAGGCTCCATCCGCGGTGTCATCACGGCGTTGTTCTCGTGAGAGGGATTCGATGTAGGGAGGAGAGTCGTGCCATCTGTCGCGAACCATCGGGGTTAGTGCTGTTTAAGGAGCTGGGTTGTACTGGTTGGCGGTTGAGGGTGTTTAGAGGAAATATCAGGTCTCGAAGCATAGAAAGTAGTCAAGATTTCTGCCAAGAAATAGTCACGTGGTAAATAAGTATATATATATAGTTATCTAGGAAATGGGGAGGGCTAATCGTACACCCCCTAACGAATAATCGTACACCCCCTTTCGAATAATCATACACCCCCTACCCCTGTCACTTCACCGCCTTCTAATTGGCTTCGAGGCTTGCTGCAGAGCCTCCGATTGGCTCGCTTCACTTGTTCACTAATTCCAAATGCTCTCTGCAAATGCGGCCTTGATCGCAATTAATTACATCCTCTTCCTCTTCCTCTTCCTCTACAATACCCTCACTATGGCCCTCCAGCTGCCACGGCTGGCGTACTATGCTACAGCAGAGGAAGCGCATATTGCTCTACAAGCGCACGCATCAGCGCAGGGCTACGGCCTAGCAAAATACCGTAGTAAACTAGACAGAGTGGACATACGAGCATACCTCCTGGATGCCGACAGCTTCGCCGCCAGCACCGCCTATTTCTGTAGTCCCTCGTCCAGCTCCTGACGCTCGGAATGCCTATCAGTCGACAGCTACACCGGTTAATCTTTCTCGTATTAATCCAGCCCTTCTTAGGCCTACACTCAGGTTGAAATTGATGTGAACTCTGATTTCTATAGGTGTCTAGCTCGTTGTTTATATACTAGGGGAAGGAGGGGGGCCAGCCCCGGGGGCATAACGTGGTATCTCTTCCTAACGCGTTACTTAATTCATCCTGTTTCCTGATACAGTACTGATACCGTGCTGCAGCACTGCTGTTGCACTACCTGTTACTTCCTCCTGTATCAGCATGCTATCCTGATACGTTACTGCATATAAGTTGCTGACCCTAGGTTGTAGTGCTGCAACCCGAGTCCTACAGCTGCATCTACGGCAGCACCTACGGTAGCACCTACGGCAGCACCTACGGCAGCGCATATAGCAGCGCATATAGCAGCGCATACAGCAGCGTATACGGCAGCGCATACAGCAACACCTACGGCTACACCTACGGCTGCACTTACGGCTGCACCTGCAGCTAAAAAGCGTGGCCGGCCGCCTGGTGCAAAGGATAAGGTACCACAGAAAAAGGCACGAGCTCAGAGGCAAGATAGTACTCAGCCTACGCCTCAGCCTACGCCTCAGCCTACGCCTCAGCCTTAGCCTTAGCCTTATCCTCAGGCACAGAGGCTTAGCCGAGAGGAGCTTCTACGTCAGCTTGCGACGTATAATGAAGATATTGAGGCGGTGATGCGAGAGGGCTAGGCTTAATGCAAAGGAGCCGTAATAAGGTAAGGGTTTAACAGGTTTGGCATACTTATAGACACGGAGGCACTTCTAGAATAGAATTTCTATTCTATACTTAGACTTAGACTTATACTTACTACGTGAGCTCGTACGTAAGGCTACACGAATCGGTGAGGCTACACGAATCGGCGAGGCTGCACGCCGATTTGTATAGCCGTACGTGAGCTCGTATATAAGGCTATACAAATTGGCAAGGCTGCACAAATTGGAAAGGCTGCACGCCGATTTGTATAGCCTCACGTGATGTATAGGTGAATAACCGGAGCTCCGGCGCAGTGCTCCGAGCCAATTAGAGGGCGGTGAAACGACAGGGGTTTAGGGGGTGTATATTTACTAGAAAGGGGGGTGTACAACTACTAAAAAGGGGGTGTACAGGTACTAGCGCCCTATAGCTATTTCCTAGGGGCGCTAGTACCTGTACACCCCCTTTTTAGTAGTTGTACACCCCCCTTTCTAGTAAATATACACCCCCTAAACCCCTGTCGTTTCACCGCCCTCTAATTGGCTCGGAGCACTGCGCCGGAGCTCCGGTTATTCACCTATACATCACGTGAGGCTATACAAATCGGCGTGCAGCCTTTCCAATTTGTGCAGCCTTGCCAATTTGTATAGCCTTATATACGAGCTCACGTACGGCTATACAAATCGGCGTGCAGCCTCGCCGATTCGTGTAGCCTCACCGATTCGTGTAGCCTTACGTACGAGCTCACGTAGTAAGTATAAGTCTAAGTCTAAGTATAGAATAGAAATTCTATTCTAGAAGTGCCTCCGTGTCTATAAGTATGCCAAACCTGTTAAACCCTTACCTTATTACGGCTCCTTTGCATTAAGCCTAGCCCTCTCGCATCACCGCCTCAATATCTTCATTATACGTCGCAAGCTGACGTAGAAGCTCCTCTCGGCTAAGCCTCTGTGCCTGAGGATAAGGCTAAGGCTAAGGCTGAGGCGTAGGCTGAGGCGTAGGCTGAGGCGTAGGCTGAGTACTATCTTGCCTCTGAGCTCGTGCCTTTTTCTGTGGTACCTTATCCTTTGCACCAGGCGGCCGGCCACGCTTTTTAGCTGCAGGTGCAGCCGTAAGTGCAGCCGTAGGTGTAGCCGTAGGTGTTGCTGTATGCGCTGCCGTATACGCTGCTGTATGCGCTGCTATATGCGCTGCTATATGCGCTGCCGTAGGTGCTGCCGTAGGTGCTACCGTAGGTGCTGCCGTAGATGCAGCTGTAGGACTCGGGTTGCAGCACTACAACCTAGGGTCAGCAACTTATATGCAGTAACGTATCAGGATAGCATGCTGATACAGGAGGAAGTAACAGGTAGTGCAACAGCAGTGCTGCAGCACGGTATCAGTACTGTATCAGGAAACAGGATGAATTAAGTAACGCGTTAGGAAGAGATACCACGTTATGCCCCCGGGGCTGGCCCCCCTCCTTCCCCTAGTATATAAACAACGAGCTAGACACCTATAGAAATCAGAGTTCACATCAATTTCAACCTGAGTGTAGGCCTAAGAAGGGCTGGATTAATACGAGAAAGATTAACCGGTGTAGCTGTCGACTGATAGGCATTCCGAGCGTCAGGAGCTGGACGAGGGACTACAGAAATAGGCGGTGCTGGCGGCGAAGCTGTCGGCATCCAGGAGGTATGCTCGTATGTCCACTCTGTCTAGTTTACTACGGTATTTTGCTAGGCCGTAGCCCTGCGCTGATGCGTGCGCTTGTAGAGCAATATGCGCTTCCTCTGCTGTAGCATAGTACGCCAGCCGTGGCAGCTGGAGGGCCATAGTGAGGGTATTGTAGAGGAAGAGGAAGAGGAAGAGGATGTAATTAATTGCGATCAAGGCCGCATTTGCAGAGAGCATTTGGAATTAGTGAACAAGTGAAGCGAGCCAATCGGAGGCTCTGCAGCAAGCCTCGAAGCCAATTAGAAGGCGGTGAAGTGACAGGGGTAGGGGGTGTATGATTATTCGAAAGGGGGTGTACGATTATTCGTTAGGGGGTGTACGATTAGCCCTCCCCTAATTTTTTAGCTGTATACTAGTTTCCTAGGGAGAAATGTCTAAAAAATAACTAAGTCACTGTCGCCACTCCTAAATACTTAGAACACCTCCTACCTAAAAATTACGGTCGTATCGTCGCCATTGCGTCTGATTTGCGGAGAGCCTCCTTTCATGGCGTAGCGTAACAGAATTCCTTTATCACAGCGCCGCTATCGAGCTCTTATTACTCCTGATGCTTATAAAAGGGCCTTATCCGAGCCTTAGAACCTTACTACTATACTGGAAAGTCATTATTAACTTGTGGCTGACTTAGGTTGCAAATTGACGTGAACTCTGTCTTATTTCGGGGGCCCGAAGGCCAAACTATATACTACGTAGGAAGTGACTGTACGCGTAGGCAGAAGCA